TTTTTTAACAAAAACATTTTGTAAAATAAAAAAATTTACTTAAAACATTATTTTCGAAAACCGTTTAAAACATATCTAAGTGATAAATTTTAATTACGTGAAAACTTATTGAACTTATACACCGCAAGACTTACGGACCAAAAGGACGGGATGCTAAGCCCAACTTGTTCTCAAGCAATTTAAATTCAACACTTAGTTTTGTTTTTAAACAAAAACATTTTGTAAATTAAAAAATATTTACTTAAAACATTAGTTTTGAAAACCGTTTAAAACATAACTAAGTGTTAAATTTTAATTATGTGAAAACTTGTTGAACTTATACACCGCAAGACTTACGGACCAAAAGGACGGGATGCTAAGCCCAACTTGTTCTCAAGCAATTTAAATTCAACACTTAGTTTTGTTTTTAAACAAAAACATTTTGTAAATTAAAAAATATTTACTTAAAACATTATTTTTGAAAACCGTTTAAAACATAACTAAGTGTTAAATTTTAATTACGTGAAAACTTGTTGAACTTATACACCGCAAGACTTACGGACCAAAAGGACGGGATGCTAAGCCCAACTTGTTCTCAAGCAATTTAAATTCAACACTTAGTTTTGTTTTTAAACAAAAACATTTTGTAAATTAAAAAATATTTACTTAAAACATTAGTTTTGAAAACCGTTTAAAACATAACTAAGTGTTAAATTTTAATTATGTGAAAACTTGTTGAACTTATACACCGCAAGACTTACGGACCAAAAGGACGGGATACTAAGCCCAACTTGTTCTCAAGCAATTTAAATTCAACACTTAGTTTTGTTTTTAAACAAAAACATTTTGTAAATTAAAAAATATTTACTTAAAACATTATTTTTGAAAACCGTTTAAAACATAACTAAGTGTTAAATTTTAATTACGTGAAAACTTGTTGAACTTATACACCGCAAGACTTACGGACCAAAAGGACGGGATGCTAAGCCCAACTTGTTCTCAAGCAATTTAAATTTAACACTTAGTTTTGTTTTTAAACAAAAACATTTTATAAAATAAAAGAAAGTAGTGTTAAAAATACTTAGTTTAATTTTTAAAACAAAAACATTTTCTATCTTATTATAATAAAAAAATGAACGAATAATAGAAGAAATAACTTACAGAGAATTAGTAGTGTTGATGATAGTGTTGGTCCCCAAATCTAGTAGGCGATAACTTCCAATAGGCTGAAATTGAATAAAACGAAGAAAGGAGTTAATATTGGTTGAGAGAGATAAATAATAAACTTAGAAACAGAAGAAAATAAAGAAAAGCAGAGAGAATTTTGGAGATTACTTACAGGTCAAGAAAGAGAGGATTATGAGATTGGTGTTATTGTTGAGTCATAACTGCATCAACCCTAGTTATGCCTAGAGAGTGAGCCAAAATTGAAGCGGACACAGAAGACATGTTGAACGATGTCTGTTGAATGGTTTTGCTCATTGATACGGTGTTACTCGGCTGTGACCTAATCGACGATTGAGCCTTGTTGCTGCCTAGCTCTCCGGTGATAGAAACAAAAGACCATCACTGGAATCAAACGCCGATCGACGACGTTCTTGTTCTGAATCTTCTTCATCCTTCAAATTAAAAATCGCCGGTAAATAGTCATCTGTTTCACAAAATACAAAACAAACCCTATCAAAATCTCGGATTAAACTAACAACGAAACTCACACTTAATCAAAAGCAAAAGATTCACACCAAAATAGTTTCGGAGCAGACGTACCGACTCAGTAAAACGCAAATAGATTCATAGATTCAGAAGAAGAACACGAAAAGATATAATTTTGATTTCTCATCGCTCTATTAGAACGTTCTCTCTCATGATATAATTTTGATTTCTCTGGAAGAACTAATAAGAGATTATGCTTATATTTATAAACACAGGTGTTTGGTCGTTGTTTCAGAAAAAAAGGAAATTTCTTTTACACACATGTTATATCAAAAAAAGGAAATCACTCGATCAATAATAAAAATAAAATGCAAAATAACCAAAAAGAAAAGGAAATGTTACGATTTTTTTTTGTTGAAAATTTGCTTTTGCATTAAATTAAATGTGGCAAAAGTACTTACTATTTACAATAAGCCAACTGTAGTGGTTGTTGGGCTTTAGACCCAATAAACATAAATTAAAAGTGCTGTATAACGAAAAATAACTCAATTTGAGTCCATAATGAAAATAGCCCACCAATGCCCAAAGCTTGTCATCAATACAATAATAACATTAAGGATCTCTCCAGGGCTGACACCTCAACATTTTGAGCTATTCTGAGCTTGACACCTCATAAAAATCGTCGACCAATGAAAACATTTCAAATAATACAGCTCAGATTTCTCAGCCAATAATAACTCCTCCCTATTCCACGTCATTTTCTTTTTTCTTTCTCTTAAAAAAAACGTTCAATTGTTCTCTGAAGCATATTCGTAAACATTTGGTGTGCGTTATCTCTCTTTTGCTTTGCAGAAATCTCCTCTTCATTGAAATCAAAGAAATCGAACATGAGTTCCGGTGAATTACCGTATGGAACCTCCGAGCGTTTCGCCGGAGATCTACTCACATGTCTGCTACCACCACCACCGCCAATTCTTCTTTCTCTCCTTCCCGATCGATAACTCTTCGAATCTTCCCTTTCTCTGCTCTGAGTTCGTCTTCTCCATTCTCGAGGTGAACCATTCACTCTCTCGAAAAGTTTAGTTTGGCTAAATATTGTGAAAGGTTTGTTGATTGTATTTGGAATTGATGTGAAATTTGTTTTTGAATTAATGTGAAATTTGATATCTGTAATCAATCACTCTGGTTTCAAATCAGATGAAATATGCTATTGAATTCATTTTTTTTACGTTAAAGAAGTTTTCCAAGGTTTTATTTTTATCGGAGATCAAGCATATTTAGCTAGATGACTCTAATTTGGTTCAATCACTATGTGTGATTTGAAGCTTGAAGTAATCCAAGAATAAGACTAATAAGTTTAGGTTTGATGTTCATTTGATGTCGCATATTTTTTACTAGATTTGATATAATCATTGTATTAAATTTGAAGCTTTCTCTTGAAATTAGTTGGAAGTCGGTTAAGCTAATATAGTTATCCACAGACAAGGAATATGACTAAGTATAGGTTTTGATTTTCATTTGAGGTCATATATATTTGGCTAGATTACTCTGATTGGTTTAAATCACTTATGTGAAATTTGAGGCTTTCTGATGAAATTAGCGACAAAAGTCATGTAGAGCTAAAGTAGTTATCTAATAACATGTTCTAGCTAAATTATAACAGTTTCTCTTTAGATTACTTTATAAACTGCTAAAGTTTCCTGCAAATACTTTCTAGAGTTGATTATTTGTTTTCGTATAGTCTATAAGTTTGACATAAGATGCATACGGTCGGATATTCTTCATTCGCTAGGGGTTATTCTTCATACGGTCGGATAGTTTGTTTAACATAAATTTGTATCTTTAGATCATCCTTAAAGATTGGTGCGTACAAGTTACAAGTTTTGTTTTTTTCTAATGAATAGAGAGACATAGACTTCCCATTGACTTTTCTTCAAAGAAAAGTATGCAAGTAAACTTGATTGTGATCTATATCAGTTATTTTGAATGTTGCAGGTCATAGCGATGCTAAAAGAGAGGCTTAGAGTAAAAAAAAAAACATTTGATTACAAGTAAATAATTCTTACTATGTGGAAGTGTCGAATTGAGGCTTACTGAATCTAGAGCTATTATCTTTGTAGTACACTTGGCTCACGCCTTATACTATTAGGGGATATATACATAATGGTTCCTAAGTAGTTCATGCATTATTGTGTAATCTTGATTAAGAGTTAGTGTGAAAAGTAATCCCAATATAACAGTTAGTGTGCTACAAGAGTGAAAGGCAAAGTTTGGAAAATGTTGGCTTTTATCTACCAAAGCCTATTTTCAGTCACATACAACTCTATGTCGGTTTATCACAAGTCACCTCAAAAATAATGGACGGCGAATTTGGAGTGAAGCAACAAACAGAAATAAAAAGCTTCAACTATCAAATACATCAAAGAACGTCGTTTACAGAGAAATACTACAAAGACACATGTATTTCAAATCAAACAAAAATAACCACACAATGACTATTTACAATACTTATCAAAATCAAACAAAGATCAAATGCAGGAGAAAATGACCAAGAAACATAAGAAAACTGAGTCGGGATCAAAGATAGTGTGATATTTTCTCATGAAACTTTTTTTACTAAACATTGATCCTCATTGTTTTGAGAACAAGATATGCAAAAAATGCTAAAATCTAAAAAAAGGTAAAACATCGAATTCTAAAACTTTATTTAATTTTTACAAATTTTATTTCTACTAAATTAAAAAATCAAAAATATATCCCGCGGCGCAGCGCGGGTTTCGATCTAGTTAACCAATAATAATGGCTGCTAATAATTTAATGAACCAGAGAACCCTAGATCTCACGAGATTATCAACCAAGAGATAACCAGAGCTCACTTGCTAATTGAAGATGCTACGGCGAAGTCGTGAGTTTTGTTACGAAAAATTAAAGGAAATTGTTACGACGTCGTTTGGAGTGATGACGTCATCTGATTCGCTGGCGGATGAGTCAACGCGAGAAACCTCTATTTGAGACTTGAGGGTTTCTTATCGAATTTGATTTGGTGAGTAACAAATTGAATTGATCTCTTGGAAGATAGCAATATTTCTATTTTTTCTTTTTCTTAATTGCAAGCAAAATATCTCTTCCTGTTTTCTTGAAAAAATAATAACAACAAAAGAACTATAGTTTATAAAAGACACCTTTTCGCGGTTGGAAAAAGTCACGTTTTCGCGAAACGCTAGTTTAATAAGATTGAGACGTGGCCTTGTTTGAAAAGTCAACGTTTGGTCGTTTCGGTGAGGTATATTTATTTTTACAGCAACCAGAGTGATTGAATGAATCAATGAAGAATACATAACAAAAATAAAAGGTTATCAGAAACAATTCCTTCTTCTTCATCTTCTTCTCTCCGATGTCAGCCATGGATGTTATGCTTCACTCTTCAAGCTTTCTCCTCCCTTTGAATCCCGTCGACGATACTACAGGGACGAGATACGCTCTCATTGTTCTTAACCAGAGTTTACCACGATTCACTCCTCTTCTCTGGGAACATGGTACTGATGATGATTCGCTCTATTCTTCAGAATTTATGACTCTGTGTTTTTTAGGGTTTTAGGTTTATTTATTTGGTTTCGAATTTTCTGTGTAGAACAGCAAAACTTCGTCTCTGTGCTGATGGAGGCGCTAATCGCATCTACGACGAATTACCTCTCTTCTTCCCTCATGAAGACGCTTTGGCCATTCGAAACAGGTCTCAGATTTATCTCTCTCTCTCTCCCATTCCTTGAAATCTGATACTCTTTCTTCGGATTTTGGAGATTATTATTATTCAATTTGTTTTTCCTAGTGATGGTTTTTTGGAATAATTAGGCTAAATTTGAGCTGGAGATTGTTTTGTATGAGTTCATAGATTCACCTTCTTCTTATCTTTATGATTTGATATATATAGATTTGATGTTATATTACATAGACAAAGGTTTCATGAAGAAGAACTTGAATCTGGAAAATCTTGTGTTTTTAGGTATAAGCCGGATGTTATCAAGGGAGATATGGATTCTATTCGGCGTGACGTCCTCGACTTTTATGTTAACTTGGTAAGCTCTTTGTGTGATTTTCTTCTTACATTTTTTGAATCATTGTGTGTGTGGTGTCTTTGTTAGATCGAACATGCTTTCTCTGTTTTTGATTGTACTTTTTTTTTTTTCTCTCCAGGGAACTAAGGTTATAGATGAATCTCAAGATCAAGATACCACTGATCTTGATAAATGCATTTTGTATATCCGTGACTCTACTTTGAATCAAGAGACTTCCAGAGTATGTTTTTTTTAATTAAGAATGCTCTCTGCCTTTGTTTCTCTGCAACATTTTCGCCTTATTTTTTTATGTTTCTTCTGTCAGCTCCAGATTCTTGCCACTGGAGCACTTGGTGGAAGATTTGATCATGAAGCCGGTAATCTCAATGTCTTATATCGATATCCAGATACAAGGATAGTCCTTTTATCTGATGATTGCCTCATCCAACTCCTTCCAAAGAGTCATCGACATGAAATACATATTCAGTCTTCTCTTGAAGGACCTCACTGTGGACTCATACCCATTGGAACTCCATCTGCTAAAACCACAACCTCAGGGCTTAAATGGGATCTCGGTAAGTAACATTTTGCATCATCATCATCATCATCATCATTATCATCATTATCAGATCGATCTAACTGTAGTTTATATCTGTTTTTTTTATAATCGTCTTAAAGCCAACACTGAGATGAGATTTGGTGGGTTGATAAGTACATCAAACTTGGTTAAAGAAGAGAAAATCATAGTCGAATCGGATTCCGATCTTCTCTGGACTATATCAATCAAGAAAACAGGACTTTCCATAGAAGACCATACACCTTAGAGGCGCGGTAACAACACACACTTTAGTTTCATACGCCACTATGATATTCCTGATGCATCAAATTAGTTCAACATTATTGTGTTGATTTGTTTTCATTATACCAGCAAATGATACCTGTACCATTACTGTCGTTATACATACGATACTTTTTTATGAGATTATTATTTCTTTGGTTTTGTCATTTTTATGTGAGGCTTCTTTGATTTAACTCAAAATTGTGATTGGATGTTGGTTAGATATTAGAATCTACTTGTGCGGTATATGAGAAAAACACACTTTGTATTTGTGATTGCGATTACATGTTACAGAAACATAAATATGAAGACAAGAAGCAAATATAAACATAAAAAAATATTTAAAAAGAACAATTGTAGTCTAAACAGAATTGGAAAAGTGATAAAAGAATGAAACAAAACCAAATTGTTACACATTAGCACGACGTACACCTCTTTCTCGAATGGGAATCTTGAATAGAATGTCTCATCATGTGAGAGATATGTTAAAAGTATGTCAGATTTTGTCTACTTCTAACCCTAAAAAATGAATGATTGTCTTATCTCATATCTCCTCTACCGTCCGAGTTCCGACATGTGAATGAACACAGTTCATGCTATCTATCTATCGGAAAGTTAATTGTCTACCAGACTACGGCCCATACATACCTAAAGTGTTCTATCTTTTTGAACATAAAGTTGATTTTCTGTCTCCTTTCCATAGTTTGTGCACTTGTTCCATGAGCGGTGCAAGCACTATTTAATGCGTATACAAGTTCAACAAAAACCATCAAAAGTTGAACAATGAATGATTCGGACTTCCATGTTAACTATAAGATTAATTGATTTTTAAAGTTTACAAATTTGTGTGTGTGTTTTGTATGTTTGCGTTATTCGTGGCCTACGTTAAGAAAAGAAAATACTTTGAGGGCTTATATGTAAATATCAATGTCTATAGTTTGCAATTAAGGGTGTGTACGTACATATAGTCTGTCTTTACTCTTTTGGTCGGTTTCGATTCTGTTTTATCGATTTATTAGTATGAGAACATTTGTTACAAACATGAAAAACTGAATCTAAACATAGATTAGTATTAACACTTATATTACGTAATTATTAAATTTATAAATCTTGTAGATGAAAGTGAACTATACACATGTTTTTTAAAAAACTTGTACATGCTTTAAAAAAGGACAAATAGGATTCATATATGTGATACGAAAATTATATGTTTGGTAAAGTATTGAATTCGAATATGGGCCAAAAAAAAAGTAGTTCCGTGTTTCAAAAAACTGAAAAAGTAAAAGGCTATTATTGGCTATTTCAATTATCAGCTTTTCCTGTCTAAAATAAACCTCAAATCCTGAACATTAACGAAGCTCTCAGCCGTTAGATTCTATATGATTTACCTAACACCTATACACTAGCACGTAGACGATAACCACTCGACGTTCTATAACATAGTCTATCTGAAGAAATTAGTTGAGAGAAAGACTCTGCTCGATCAAAAGAAAATCTTTGCGACGTCATCGTTGTTGTTCTGTCTCTTTAGGGTTACACGAGTTCAGTTCTGCTTCCAGTACATTATGAGGTAAAATCAAAAAGTCGGCGTCATTTGTATTATCGATAGATTTGGGGACACACTTGCTCTTAGGTTCCTGTAAAATGGGAACAATAAAACATTTGGGGGTTTTAGATTCAGTCCTAGGGTTTATGGTGTCGGTTCGGTAAATTCTTTGCGTTTATGAATGTCGCTTCGATGAAATTTGGTTAAATCCTTAAAACCTATGGAGTCTTTAGATTTAGGGTTTTGGGATCTGTGCTTGTACTCTTGTAGGGGTTTAAAGCTGCGGTTTTTCATTACCTTCATGCATAGTTATTGGGATTATTGTATTTGCTTAGTGTTCTCGTTTTACTAGGTTGTTAGCACTCAATTAGATTGTTTTTATGTGAATTTACAGTCATCATCCAGAAGTGAAGTGGGCTGAGAGAGCCGATATAGTTTATTTAACCGTGCAATTGGCTGATGCTAAGGATGCAGATGTTAAACTTGATCCAGAGGGAATCTTTAGTTTCTCTGCCAAAGCTGGACCTGATAACCAGCTTTATGAGCTTAAGCTTGAACTTAATGACAAGGTTAATGTAGAGGTAACCTTTTATGAGACTTTGTCTCCTCTTTTTCCTTTTGCTGTTTGTGTGTGTTGCCTATCAGGTTCTAATTCTCTCGTTTTTTTCGATTTAGGAAAGCAAAATCAACATTGGATTAAGAAGCATAGTCTGCATCTTGGAGAAAGCAGAACCAAAATGGTGGAATAAGCTATTGCGTGGAGGGAAACCGCCTCACTATGTTAAAGTTGATTGGGACAAGTGGGTTGATGAGGACGACGATACACCCACTGGTTAGCACCTTCTTGACCATATATATCTATCCAACTTCATTTTTCTGCACTTACATAAATTTGTAGGCAGTGTTTAAATTTTGGTTTCTTCTTCTTTTCTTTTTCTGGTATAGGTCCTGGAGATATGGATATGGGTGGAATGGGTGGGATGGGCGGAATGGATTTCTCGGTATGCAAGTGCTAATTATCTTCTGCTTCCTTTACTTTAAGTTTTGAGAAAAACTTCATGTTTCTTGCTTCTTCTAGAACTTTGGTGGAATGGGCGGTATGGGTGGAATGGGCGGTATGGGAGGTATGGGCGGTATGGAAGGTCTAGAAGGGCTTCAAGGGCTCGGTGGAATGGGCGGCCTTGGTGGACTTGGCGGAATGGGTGGTATGGATGAATTTGATGATAGTGATGATGAAGGTGAGATCTTTTTCAAAACCTTTTCTTGTTTAAGTTTGATCAGATCATTTTTGATGCAATGATTTGGTTTCGCGGTGTTACACCCTGTAATCCATCATTTAGTACTCTTAGCAACCAAATGATTTTGTATTTGCAGGAGAAGAAGCTAAGTCTGGAGAGAAAAAGGAGGAAACACAAGCTCCTGCTCCTGCTCCTGCTCCTGCGACAGAAGAGGCGAAAACCGAAGAGCCAACACCTGTTAAGAGTGACAAATGAAGACATTGTCCATAAACCGTATGGTATGACTAACCGAGAAAGTCTTTATGCGTTTATGAATACTGCGGGATGGTTTGCTCTTTTAAATCTTTCCCTCTGCTTATTTAATTGTTGAGTTCACGATCGGTTCTTATATGGTTTGATCTTTTCTATTTTTATCAATTTGAAATGTTGATCCTGCAATAATTTTGGTTGGTTGTTGTAGACATGTAGTGGACTTGGAGTTTGTGAGAAGAACCTCTTTAAGTTTGTTGATCTCCATAAAACTTATTTGTATACGATCGCACAAAACCGGAGTTTATGGTCCGGAAGTTACCTAGACAGGGTCAATTTTGGGAAAATGGTCTTCTTACAAGAATGTTAAAAAAAAAATTATTGTACAATGCGCCTTTTTTTTTCCTATACATATGAGTATTTAATACGGCTTTTGTAACAATGAATCTTTTGTTTAGAATTTGCTTTAGCAACAAATTTACTTGTCAAAATTATAAAAGATCCACTGAACCAATCAAATATCTATTGGCGAATTTCATCACGACCGGTTTAAAACTTCATAGAGGTAAACAACAAACGACGTCGTTTTACAAAAGTAAACGGATCCCTTGTAAACCCTTGTAAGTTAGTTAAACCCTTTCCGCCGCGAACATCATCTCTCTGCTTTTTCTTCTCCATCGCAAAAAATTCATTGAGAGACAGAGAGAGAGATGGCGAGGTCGAGAAGAAAGTACAGGAACTCTAGGGCTAAAGTTCGCGTAGCTCTTCCTAAGAAGAACCCTAATATCTTTAAACCAGCTTTCAACTTCCCTCCCAAGCTCCGTGCTCTCATGGCCGACGATGTCCCTGAATGGGACGATCAAGCTAGCGTTATCCAGAACTACAAATCCTTTGGCGTCCTCTCTAACCCTAATTTGCTTGGTATCCGATCTCGCACCGACCATATGATTCAGGATGATTCCCTCAATGTTCCTCCACCTGTAGAGCCACCGACTGATGATCCTATTGCTAAGGAGTTCGAGCCCATCGATTCCGGAAGCGAACTTGAGGAAGACGGTACGTTTTTCTCCTCTGCCTTTGATTCGATTCTAGATTCAACCTGGATTAGTCTTATTGATTCCTTTTCGAGTTAGTATTGAGGAAAATTGAGAAATTAGGGCAGAAATTAGGGTTTGGAGTGGAATTTTTCTTATTAGTTTATCATCCATGGATTATTCTGCAGCATTATCCTTAAAATGCTTGTGTAAAGCTTACAACTTTAGAGACAAGTTCACTATAATCATGAATATATGTTGATGACATTGATGAAAACTACACAAGCTTAAGCAAGAGTCAGCTTCATTAGCTTCAGATTCTTTACTCCTTCATCTCTTCTATCTGGTTAAAGCAATTTACTTAGTTGATGTAAGTTTCATTTTTGTGGTAACTAATTGTTTAAATGCTTTGTTGTGAGATGTGTAGATCTTAAGACAGCATTGGGGAAGCAAAGAAAAGATGGAAAGAGTGCTCCTTTACAGCCGCTTACAACTATGCAACGCACACATATAAGACGTCTGGTGGAGAAACATGGAGATGACATTGAGGTTAGATCTACAATCCTGCTGATTCTACTTTTTTTGCTTTGTGTGATGATACTCTTTCTAACATCTTTTTGTTTGAACAGGGCATGTACCGTGACAGAAAGCTAAACTCGATGCAGCATACGGTTGCAACACTTCGAAAGCTATGCACGAGATATCAGATTTACAAAGACAAGAACCCGATTTTAGTTCCATGATGTTGATGATAAGATCTTTGTATCTTGTGTTCGATTTTGTTATAAACTTGCAACAACACTACAATGGTTATGAAGTTTCTATTGAGAAGCCAGCTTCTTTTAACATATGCAAAACTTATAAACCATATTGAATGCTTAAGAGTTTTCAGTGATCACAAACAAATCGTCACTCTCTGTGCAAGGAAACACACTCACAGAGGAAAGCAAATCAAAATCAAGATTATTTTTACTATCTTATTAAGTTATTATCAAAATCAAGAATCTCACTTGAGAAGCCACAAATCAAGCTATATCATATTCCAGTGAAGCTTCGGCATTGGTAATCCCAATATTCCTTTGCTTGTTGTAACCTTTCTGCTCTCTCTGTTTTACGCCTTTCTTCCCAATAGTCTCTGCAGCTGCATTATTGCAGGTTTTGGAAATTGTAAGTTAGTCCTTCTCCTTTTAGAGACAGGTTTTAAAAGACTATAAGAAGATAATTTGTATTGTGTATGCGTTTACCTTCGCTTAAGTAAGATATTGAGCTCATCCAAGTGAACAGCACCTTTATAAACCCCATCCTGATATCGAATGGGCGAAAAAAACAGGGATTAAGAGCATGAAACAAGGAAGACTAGTAGATTACTAAGTCGTAATTAGCAGTGGAGAATGTGTCTAACCTCACGGCAAAGCGGACATTTTTCAGTTGCTTCTGCGGTTTTCAAGCCATCAACTACGTTTACTGATGCAGCAGAGCAAGCACACATGTAGCAATATATGTGACCGCAGGTTAGAGATATTGGATCAAACACCGTGTCCTGTTTTTGGCCAATCAATTGAAACCCGTAAGTTAAAGACTTATTCATAGCATTACATTCAAAAACATTCTTTCAATCAGATGCTAAAAAAGACTTGATCTTTGAAGTGGAATCTGCAAGAGGAGAGTGGAATAGCACCTTGACACGACAAAGATAAGACTCTATCCCTATAGGCTGATACTGTCTTCTATATTTCAGATTACTAATAAGTCAACTAACAGCTTTTTGACATTGAGATTCTTTTAAAGTTTCTTACCAGGCATATTGAACAAGTCAAGTCAATGTCAACTTTGACGGAATCAGAGAGCTCGCAGGAAAGCAAAGGCTTCCCATCGTCGAAAGTCAAAGCGCAACCATCGAACAATGCATGAACAGGAGGAGGAGAAGCCACAGTAGCTCCAGATTCCTTCTTAGATTCTTTCAGATTGATGTGAAACGCCATAAGCTCGCAGAGCCATGGTGACTGAAGGATTTCGATTCGCATTTTCTGGACCTGAGTCTTAAACGCTTGTCCTTGCTTAGACTCATGAATCTGCAACACAAAGATGCAAACATATTGAATAAGAAGTGATCAAAAAGACCATCAGCCTTTGGATTTTACAAAGTAGATTATCATCAACCTTGTCATATTTCTTGAGGATTTTTCGAATGGCGACGGCATTAATGAGAGCATAATTAACCAAGTCTTTGCCCTCTTGGATCAAACCAAGATGGTCCTTTTTCCGACTATTGCCTCTGAGCCAAGTAAGACACTTTGTGAAACCAGAAGCTAAATGTAGCTCAAGAAGCTTCTGAGCATTCTCGTTGAACCATCCAACAACATCTTCCATTTCTTTGAGAAGCTCCGGGAAAAAAGTTCCATCACAAACTACAAAATCAAAGATTGAAGTCTCATACCAAAAGGAGAAAGCAGGGGATGATTCATTCATTCACAGGGGAATTATGTCGAACAGTACCTGGGCATTCACGAGAACAATTGTGGTTGATTGTTTCAGTAAAAGACATTCTAGAAGGAAGATGATTTCTTCTGCATCTCTTGAGAATCTTCTTGAGCTTCTTAAAGCCAACACCAGGAAGATTCTTCTTCTCCTTCTGTCCTTGCATGTACTCTTCATACTTCTTACAAAACTTCATTTTTTTTTCTCGATTTCACAACGCAAAATCACTCAATAAAACAAATAAAGGTTATAAATTTTAGATGACCATCAACAAACAAATTCAGCCCTCGAACAAAAATGGATTTTGATCAAGGAAACACATAAAGGTTACAAATTTTTTTCTCTTATCTCTTCTTCTTCTATGTCTCTCTTGCGTCTCGTGTTGGCTTTATTATTAATGTATGAAAACAAAACAAAAACAAAAACAGAACAGAGACGTATTTATGAATAAATGAAGGTGAAGACTGGTGAAGTCGGCGGAGAAAAACAAGTTGTGAAAATAAAAATTCTGAGAAAAAAAAAAAAGTCAAAACGTATTTATTGGGAACATATCTTCGTTAAAAGGTGAATTTTGTGTTATGGGAGTTATGGAAATATTAATTCTTCTGTGCAAAGATTTACCATTGGTGGATTTCAGTTTCAATGAGATTTGACAAACTCGTTACGAATAGATTATAAGATTTGGGTTTTTAATTAATGAGCACATTTGTGATTTGTTGCATATCACAGTCGATCTATTTCTTTATGCCGCGTGGATGCGAAAGTCTTAGATTTATCATCGTAAACTATATAAAACATACTCTATAATATATACGTGTGTGTGTTTAAAGAAAAAAGATCTGAGAGATATTTTACCATTCAAGAATGGTTATAATTTGCTAGAATTTTTGTCATGTCTTTTAGATAAAAAAAAAAATACCACTAAAATGGGTGTCTTCTTGTATATATTGGGTATTTAGGTATAAATACTGAAAAACTCATTATTTATAGAAATATGTGATCTTTTCATCTCCATGATATAAAAAAAGAAAAGAAATTCTGATATAAGATAATATATAAAATATGAAATTACTGTGTAATTTGGGATAAAGATGCCACCACAAAGGGCCTTTTGAAGGTTTTTCTTCTTTGTGGGGTCAAATTAGAAACTTAGAAATAGTATTAAGAATATAATATACAATTTCTTGGAAGTTTATATTGACTTGGATTGGATTTCGCCACTAAAACTTTGCTTTATATCATTTTCAAGCCGCGCATTTTGTTTATTTTTAACTTTATTACCCCCTTAATTATTACATATGCATGTATCATGATTTTGCACTAACATATATCTTCACCAATCACCACCACTGTCCGTTTTTCTTTACTTAAGATTTTTTTCTTGTTCTTATATTACTTGGTTTACTTTCACGTTTAGTTCAACTCTACATAGTTTTAATTCCTCAAAGAATGTGATTCTTTCTTATCTTACAAAAACAAAATTAGAGGGATATGCTCTTTTGCTTTATGTAAGTTTCAAAGAAGATGCTCAAGTGGCAAAGAAATTTTAACTTGAAACTTTAACTTACTTTTAGCTTTATTTGAATGGTGTAATAATGATGCTGGTTCATGTACTAAACCCTTTCAAGTTAAATGTTTAATAGAAAGCTATATGAATTGTATTTCTTACTACATAATGAGGTATTGAGGTAATGTGATAAGATATAATGTCATGATTTTTCATCTGGCTAGTCTTCTAGGTTTGAACTTTTCAATTCACTATTTACTTTTTAAAAAGTTCCAAAATATCAATTTAACGTTCCAAATGATCGACAAAAGTTGCAAAATTAAGTGGCACACCATTCATTTGTCTGCTCAAGTGGTCATTTGTTTTATTCAATTCGACTGGTTATGCTCATCTTAAGTTTTATTCAAAATTAAGGCCCAGTGGAATTTGAAGTTTTCAAAAGGAAAACAGAAAAATACAAATTAGTCAAATATTTTCGTATTACACGGTTACTAACTTGGCATACAATCACTTTATAGATTCTAATTAAAAATACAACAATGTACGATGCGTTACGTAATAAACAAGTAAATAAATTGTTGCCTTTAGGATTTGACAAGAAAGCAATCGTCTCTTGCGTAAAAAACTGCAAAAGACACTTAAGGAATAATAGGTGTTAAGTACGACTTTTATACGAAAGTGTAATGTCTTGCTTCATACGCAATATTATATATAGGTCAAACACGCTAAATCCAGCTCTTATGCTAATCCAAAAGAATACACATATGTCATGACCATTGGAACTTCGAATTGTAACAATAGACCAATACCTATTTCTAACATACATTGGTTATATCCTGATTTTTTGTAAAGATGATAATTAAAAAAAAAAAAAAAAAAAAAAAAGACATATAATATTTATTCTCATTGTCTGCAACTAAGCATTAGATCATAACCATTGAAGTCAAAGGATCAAACTGAATCATGCGATTGATGGTGCAGTGTTCCCATGAGGAAGGAAGAGTACCAATGAGCAGAGAGTTTAGGGCTCCTCTTAAGATGAGGATCCTTGAAATCCACGTAAAATAATCCGAAGCTCTTCTCGTAGCCACCAAATAGCTCAAACACATCCATCAACGACCACTGAAAATACCCTTTTACGTTCGATCCTTTCCTGATATGTCAAATTTTATACTTAGAATCTGACTGACACATCCATTGAATGGAAACTTGTACAACTTTTTACTGTTACCTGATTGAATGAAGCACTGCTTCAATGTATGAGCTCAGATACTTCACCCTCGTTGTGTCCTCAAGTGATGACCTGTGAGGAGTCATCTGACCTGAAGAATTAATCATTCACAAGAGAGAGAGAGAGAGAGAGAGAGAGAGAGAGAGAGAGAGAGAGAGTTTCAAACACATGAAAGAAGCAACCTGAAATCTGAGAGAGGCAGAAAGAGATAAGGAGAGACCATTCTCTAGGATGTAGACAGGAGGGTTTCTATAAGTTTCTTTGATATACAAAAGTATCTGTTGCAGACTCCATGGTGTGTTTGCAAACTGTAGGAAGCAAATCATCAAACGTCAATCTTGTCTCTTTTAAGTGATCACATATGAAATTGATATCTACTGCATACAAACCTCATTCTCGAGCGATGTGTTTCCAAACACTGCAACCGCAAAATGGAGAAACCAGTGAGCCAAATTTTTAAACTTTCATTTTCAGAATGTATGATGTGACTTACAGGTCATTTCCACGGCCATATCTGTGGTGAAATCCTGGACATTTGGTTTCAGAGAGGAAGAGTTGTCCTTGACGTAAAGTGCCATGTAATTTATCACTCCAAAGAAATCAAATGCGCCTTTAACTTGTTCTGACTCCTCCTCTGTAAAAGCTGGCAATCTAGACCCAACATTGGTCTTCATCGTCTCAGGATAATCGCCAAACACCAACGGATGTAAAATCCTTACAAAAACCGAATCAAGAAACTCAGCGCGATCATGACATATATAGTCGATTCTTCAACATTGGATTCTTTAAGACTTACCAACCAATATAGAAGTCATTTACTCTAGCAGTTGCCTGCTTATCCTCTCCAGAGTTAGTTAAAGGGACAACACCGTATGTGTATACGCTAATGCCTACTGATCCATGTTGCTTGAACTGTGTAATGAAGAGGAGATAAGACAATGAAATGCATATGGGAGATGGAAGAGAAGCATAGAGAAGAACCTTGTACTGTTGCTTGTATAAGTTTGTTGCAGAAGCATGCGCGAGCAACATGTTGCGTACGGCAATGTAAGGCTCAGTGGAAGAGTTTCCATTGGTACAATTAAGTCCAAATGGAGGAGAGCATCGAGCAGGCGGTGTTAATCCCTGGTCATACCCTCCAAGGGCAAACACATTGACCTCGTTTATAGTAGTCCAATGTGACACTCTATCTCCAAACTCCTTGAAGCAAGTATCTGCATAAGCTGTGAAGTCTCTCCTATAACAATCATTACAAAAAGATTGATGAAGAAGTTTGATATATATCAGAATCAAAAAGAAGGTGCAAGGAGAAGAATCATACACAATTTCTTGATTGAGCCAACCTCCATACTCATCTTCTAAGGCCTGTGGAAGATCAAAGTGGTGCAATGTAACGTGTGGCTGGATTCCTGGTGAGTCAAAGAAGTAGGAAACATCATGAGAATATTAAAAGTAGATTTGTTTGGTCTTGTAGCTAATTAACTAACAGGGTCAGGGTACAAGTTTAACCATGAGTGATCAATTGATCAATAAGATTGTTGTAGTATTGTAACCCCTTGGCATTAATTGGTCCTCTTCCACCTGAAATAAAATCATATTCTTCATCAATCCATTGAGAATGCTTCGCTTCGATTGGTTTATCAATCGAGTCGTGGAAAAATCATACTTGGTAAAAGCCTTGACCAGGATATGGAGAATCTGTAAGCCTCCAATCCCATGTTTGCCATGAGCTTCACATCTTCCTGCAAACATTAGTCAATGTTAATATGCCTCTATTGGTTGATGCAGAGATTAACTAGATGGGAAAAGGGACCTTGTATTTGTGATACTGGTCACATGCAACATTTCCAGCTGCTACTCTGGAGTGTCCTGCAATGAAACTCGAGCTTATGAATACCATTCAGTTGGTTAAGCTATGTGACCTCCAGAAATTCAGGGCAACATCAAGCGAAGAAATCAAACCGGCATGAGCAAAAACATCCCAAATGCTAGGAGTTCTACCATCTTCGTCAGCAGCTCCTTCCACCTGTTGTATAATCATATGGAAAAAACACTGTTTTTACCTGATAGTTTGTGATCTTTTATCATCACAACATGAAGGTGGAAATTGTAATGTTACACCTCAGGAAATAGTCAAAAAAAAAAGGGAGTTGGAGAACCTGATAAGCTGATGTGCCAGAGCCAAAGACAAAGCCTGGAGGGAAATCATTTCTGCTGTATTCAAGCGACGAGACTGCGGTAAGAGCCAAAGCCAGCAGAGGAAGGAGCATTAGACTATTGCTCAACAACTTCATCTCTCTTGTCTCGTCACCGAACAGAGCTTACAAAAGCAAGTACAAATACGAAAGGTGAACCCACGTGATATATATTATTTAAGTGGAAAAATTTGGTTGAAACACGAACAAATTGCATTCGTCTGTTTCTAGGAGTGGGTCCACTTGTTTTGACAAGTTTGATGAAGAAGTAAAGAGCAAAACGTCCAACGAAATAGAAGATAGGGAGCAACATTAGCTTTCAAAGAGCTTTTTGTTTGTTTCCTTCGTTTTAGTATTTTTGTTTGGACTTTAACATATGGAGTGATCAATCACCATATTACCACACTCTCTAAGTGATCAAACTTTCACAATCTCTCAATGAGCAGCGAATACTTTTCAAAGAGATTGTTGATGGCCTTTTGTTGTTTGTTCTATATCATCCAGTAAAATCAAGTTTTGTCTTCAGGCTTATATAGCTCTCTAGGCTAAAGAGGACACAGAATCCAAATCAGTTACTACCACTATCCGAAGGAAGTTGAACTGAAAATATCAAATCGAACATGATATGATTAGGGAAACGAACCAAGGACAGAGGAAAGGCCATCAAAAGCAGCGGAGGGTTAGGAAAATGATAAATCGTAAGGGAAACAGAAAATGATATCTTCAGGAAAAAACATCATTCCAAGAAGTATAGGATCCAGAAGACGAATCGTAGCAAGAATATTACAAAATGATAGTGCAAATCATTCCCAAAACTTGTCTCATCTTCTACAGTCAATAAGCGTTAAGATATGATCCACTTCAAGAAAGTAGATTTTTTTGCGTAGCAAGAAGATGCTTCTCTCTCTTCTCTTTTCACCTGGATATCTCCAATTTTACCTGCAAACAAGAGCTCAGATTCAGATTTACGCAGTACACAACAAAACCAGATTGCAATGTTTCATATCTAAGAAAGAATATGTACCGCGATGGACTCCTAGTGCGGATAGGGCTCTTGGCTGGACTTGGCTTGCTAGGGCTCTTGCTTGCTTCCTTCTGAACCTGCTATACAGAAAAGCTATTAAGATAACGAACAATGTAAAACAGAAGATAATGTCATAATAAAAGAGAGGTCAAAAGTTGGATTGTTACTCACAGGAGGTAAAGGAGATCTTGATCTTGAACGTGATCTGCAAAAGTTCAAGAAAACAAACTCAGATTCAAAAATCCAAACATGTTGTGTTTAATACCGTTCAGCCAAGGTCCTCCATGCCTCTTCTTCTATCTCACATAGATTAGAAGTAACAACAAATAAAAAGAAGTAACTTAGACCAAACTATTCTGCTACTTAGTTAAAACATAGGACAGAGGTATTATAAGCCATGTGCCCAAAACAACTTCTGTTGCCAAATGAGCCATGGACGTCCCAAGAGAACCCAGATTCCATATTGTCATCATCCATCGAGCCAATATAGTTTTACTGAAATCCCGATATAATATTGTGATCCAATGTCTCGACTGTTATCCATCTAGCAGCAACGGAAATTAGTGAATACTACATAAGGGAGCCAGGAAAAGCAAAGTCTCTATTCCAAAGTTTCCCATACCTCTTAGTCGAAACACTTGTCAACAACCAAGAATTTCCATCCAGATATTAATTTCCATTTTCTAGTCGATTGTATGTAAATCCATATCTATGAAACAAGACCATTTTCTTCTCAGGAATGAAAAGAGCAGATTAAAAAATGCTATTGTAACAAAAAAAAAAAAGCAAGGCTAAACTGGCAAATCTTAACCAGAAATTGACTAAGCATCTAAATATAAGGATTGAGTAAGAAGAGACAATAATGACAACCAAATAGCAGGTGTCAACAAAAAACCAGTATATGCTCAATCAACAAGAACTTTGAGTCATCAACAACGACTTTTCTAATCAGATTTTCATAAACTTCACAGGAAAATCTACCGACTAAGAACTGTAAATCAATACCTTCTTGGAGACGGTGACCTTGACTTCGAGCGGGGGCCAGGAGATCTTGATGTAGATTTTGCAGGGGACCTACGTGAAGACTTTGCCTTTGGACTCCTGCTCCTGCTCCTGCTCCTGCTTCTGCTTCTGCTCCTGCTTCGGCTCAAGCTTCGCCCACGGCTGCGGCTGCGACTCCTAGAATAGGATCTTCCCCGGCTAGGACTCCTAGAATCCTTCCTTGAATCATATTCTCTAACCTATATAGATATGAAAGAAAGAAAAAAATTATACACAACAATGAAAGATCACAATTCACAGGAAACTCAGCTTCAACTAACCCGAACATATCCATGAGAAAACGCATTTCGAAACTCTGTGTCGTCGAGCTTTTTCACCTGGGGAAATTCAAGAGTAAGAGCTAATCAGTAATTAAGGATGAATACAAAAAACTCTCAACCACATGAGAGAAACAGGGAAAATAGCTTACCGCATACTTCATGTCCTCATAGCAGGTGTAATCCACAACTCCAGTTGTACCTACAATAAGATTGTCCAAGATTAAAATCTTTCAACCTGGTTTAGATGCACAAGATTATATGGGCACACTTACCTCTACCATCACGGTACACTTGCGAGAAACAGACGTCTCCTCCTTTACGCATGTGATCCTAATGTAAAAGTGATTCATGTTAGGATTCAGAAACCTTTGAAATATATATGGGAAAATGACGAGTTTATCCACTAGTGTGTACTCACCTTGAGATCTTGCCAAGAAGCAGATGAAGGCAAGCCTGTGACCAGAACTGTGGTGGACAAAAGAAAAACAAGTAAAATTAGAGACTATTCCTACAACTTTTGACAGAATAATGCTAATTATATGACTACATACCACGGAACTCTGATCTCCTAGATGGGCCACGACTACCACCATCACCACGGCCATCACCGCGGCCACGACCACCACCACGGCCACCACCATTGAAACTACCCCGAGTATCATCTGAGGAACGCCTCCCACCATGCGCCAATTCCACCTAAAAAGGCCAACATCATTAAATTTGATTGAAAACCAATCCAAAAACGCTCAAGTGTTGTATTTAAATATCTGAAATCCGATTAATAACTAACCCGCAAACGATGCCCATCAAAGTCATAGCCATCCCGACCTTGAATAGCATCTTCAGCATCCCGAGCATCATCAAACTAAACAGATTAAAGAAACAAATTAGAGCATTCATAATTGATGGAAACGGTGCTCAAAATTCTCGAATCATAACAACAGAGAGCCTAACAACTGTAATAACATCAAGAATCATAAGACATGTCACTGCAAGAAAAAGAGTTGTGGAATTGGTTGGTAAGCTGACCTCAACGAATGCATAACCAGGAGGCCTTGGAGGGACCTTCAAATCAATTTGAACAACAGGTCCATACTGAAACAAAAAAAAGGAAGAGTTAATGTTATGAGACTTATTGTTATTGAGTGTGAGCAAAAACAAGGTGGTTCATAACATAAAAACGAAACCTTTACCTTACTGAACAAATCTTCAACCTCTCTCTCACGGATATCGCCAGGAAGGTTTCCAACGTACACGGTTCTACTCGAACGGCTGCTCATTCTTCCTTTATCAAATCCAAAAACAAAACTCCAAACTTAAGATTCAAACAAGAACACGTTCTCAGGAATGTCGGAAGCGAAAATTCACCTGTTGGTCGATTTGAGATCTCTCAGCCTCCGCAATTTGGGAATTAGGGTTTCGGAGTTGGTGATATAGGTTAATAAGGGACCGTCACGTGACTCACGTGAGCCTTTTATAGAGTGACGATGAAACAATTCAATTATAGTATCTGCTTAATTAACAACAAATCAAAGCTTAAAACATATTATAAAGAAAGCAACTTTAAAAATTCTCTCTCTCTCCCAAAAATCAAAATCTTGAGCTTTCTGTTTTTGGCGTTTGAAAGATTCGATCTTTCAATTCCCGATCAGGGATTTCGCGGTAAGTGTATCTGTTAGTCTCCATTGATCAGTAAAAGAAAGCTCTTTTAGCTTTACATGTCTCCGAAACATCTGGAGTCGTCACAAAGCTCCGTCGAATCTTTCACCTTGCATCTCCTCTCATGGCGTCCGTTTCACACCGCTGGTTCTAAAACCTTAGACTCATCATCAGAGCCGTTACACAAACCTTATGGCTCTCACTCCACTCCCAAACGCCCTTGTCTCTCTCATCGCTCCACTGCTTTCTCCATTGAAGCTTTTAGCCGTCTCTCGCTAGCAGACAACGGAGAGAAAACGGCGTCGTCGTGGGTCTAGATTGGGTTCTGGTCGGAGTATTGATCGAAGTGGGACTCTTCGGTGCTGCTCTGTCAATGCTCAAGTGACCACTTGCTCTGAATTTCAATTTGCTGTTGGTACGGATTCTAGTGGGGAACTATTCTGTGAAGCGAATTGGTCCTCCGATGTGAGTGAGGCGGTGCGAAATTCACGGAGAGATCGAGATTCAAGCGTCGGAGAAAAGGAAGGAGGCAGAGGATTAGGATTAGGATTAGGATTTGGGATTGGGGTTAAAACAGAACTGATTTGCATCTTTTGATTCTAATGTTGGGGCTCGAGTGAAAAACTTTGAATTGTATCATCAGAATTGGCTTGTTAGAAAGATACACTTGCATTTAACCATTTCAACTTTATGGAGATGCTTCTAAGTGTATGTTGTTTGAGTAATGGCATTTTTCCGTCGTTCCTCGTTAGTATTGTTCAGCTACAAACATAGATATTTTCAGAAAGTTCGTTTTAGGAAGACAAATATGGCATAACGTATATATGTTTCAACTAAAGATACTTAACTTTCAAGGTAATTAGTTGCGAAACCAAAGCCACAAGCTTGTTAGATCACTAACTAGTAACTAGTGTTGGTTCTTTCCAAATTTTGACATTCTGCTTTCATGATATGCGTAAGAACCTCGTTGAATGGGTTTGTAGTTGAATATTTTGATATGATTTCGGATCAAACCGAAATTAGACAAGTTATTAGCCCAAGGATTGGGCCTGAAAAGCCCATTGGGCTAACACTAAACAAAACCCTAGGGCACCCTTGTGGGTCATTTATATATTCCATCCCAAACCTCGCCGGGGGAAGATTTTCCTGCGTCTAAGCGAGAGAGTTTCAATTCAAAAACTCTCAAGGAGGATGGCTCGAGGAGTAGCGGCGAAGTCGAGTGGTGGTGCTAAGAAGAAAGGAGTGTCTTTTGTGATCGACTGCTCTAAACCAGTTGATGATACGATCATGGAGATAGCCACGCTTGAGAAGTTTCTTCAGGAACGAATCAAGGTCGGAGGTAAAGCCGGTGCTCTTGGTAACTCCGTTTCCATTACCCGAGATAATGGAAAGATCACCGTCAACGCCGATTCCAACTTCTCTAAACGGTACACTTCTTTTCTTCTCTCTCACGTCTTTATAAACCCTAACTTGAATTTTGAATTCAGGTACTTGAAGTATCTGACAAAGAAGTATTTGAAGAAGTACAATCTCCGTGATTGGCTACGAGTGATTGCATCTAACAAAGACAAAAATGTCTATGAGGTACGCTACTTCAGGATTGACGATGAAGTAGTTAGTGACCAAGAAGATTAAGCTCGACCTTCTTCATTCATTTTTAATTACACTTAGTCTAGATTTTTCCTGCTTAGGACGGATCTCTATAATTGTTCCTATAAGTTTTTGCTGTGGGCATTGGTGTTTTTTTGGAATGATTTAGTGGTTAAAATTGACACAAGAATGAGGACTAAATTCATTTTAAATTTCTGAAAGAAAGAGTGACTAAATGGCCGACTCTTTTTGAGGCCGTGTTGGTTCGGCAGAATTGAGTGGTTGCGACTCAATTTAGTTTAGGAGATCAAAAATATCTACATATATGCATTCGTAATTATTTTTATTGATATGAACATTATGCTAATAACATTAAGCATTATGAATACATACATATTAAAATATGTCAATGATATATATGTAAATTTATATATTTTGTTGACAAAAAAAAAGGATAAAATTTGGTTTTGGGTAAATTATAGAATTTGTATATTAGTAAACAAGTTGATAATTACATCGCAAAACGGCTTTGAAAAAAAAAACAATTCTAATTACAAGTTACAACTAACTTTAAAACCCTAAACCCAAATAATTAAAAGAAACAGAAAATAAAAACGGAAAACAATAACTTTGGGAGAAAGCCTAAATTGACGCAGCCTATCTGCTCTGCTTCCTCTATATAAACCCTCCTCTCCTCTCTCTCTTCCTTCTCATCCATCAAGGAAGACCACGCTTCTTCGATCTCGTTGCCGCGAAAGGTAACAGTCATCAGAACAAGAACCTGAGAAACCTCTCTTTTGCTCTGTTTTTTCTCCAAAACTCGTTAAACCATAAACCACAATGGCTCGTTCTCTCGCTAACGCTAAGATCCTCTCCGTCTTCGTCTCCGAAAAGCTCTCAAACGCCGTTTTCAGGTAAAAACTCCTTTCATCTGAAACAAAAACGTATGTGTTGTTCTGTTTTCTCGTCGCTTTAGCAAAAACGATGACGTTTTTTGGATTCTTTTCAGACGAGGGTTTGCAGCCGCAACCAAAACGGCGTTAGATGGGAGCGTTTCGAGCGGTGGAACCGCTTCTGCCGCGGAGATGAAGAAGAATGTTGGGGAAGCTTCAAGCGAGAAGGCCCCATGGGTACCAGACCCTAAAACCGGTTATTACAGACCGGAAACCGTTTCTGAGGAGATTGACCCGGCGGAGTTACGAGCTGTTCTCTTGAACAACAAACAATAAATTTATTAAGAACCGTATTTTCATTAATTAATGTTGTTTAATGAGAAGATTAGAAAAATGGGTTATGATCTTTTGTGGTCAAACGCATCTTATTCCGTTACCATTTGTGTAATAATCGTTTGATCTTGTTATTTATGAAGGCTTCCAAGTTCCATTTACGAAGATTTTACTATGACTCAAAAGTCATGAGACATTATGACACAAAAAATTTAAATTTCAATTGGTATAAAAATGGTAAAACTAAAAATAAATTATCATTTTTTTAGACTCCGTGCTCAGTGATCCTCTAGCGATCTAGCAATGGCGAAGAAGTCATTTGGAGTACCGGATCCGAACACTTGAAAACCCTCTATCTCCAAACCCCTTTACTAGGTTGGGCTTATTCGACGGAAATTAAAAGTTCAAACTAGCTATTGTGATAAAAAAGGCATTGCATGGCCCTTTTCTTTGTGCTAAAACCATGGGATTGGGGTAAAAGAACTGTAGACTGTAGAGTCACAAAAACATGGTATCTATTTTTGAAGTTTATAACCATAATGTTTTTCTTCGACTAATAGCACCACCAACATTACAATTATCAAATTTAAGAACCTTGGTAGTTTTTAACCCTATTGCTTTATTTTTGATAAAAGACTTAATATTATTTTTTCTTTCTATAGTTATTTTCAGTATTAAAACTTTAAATATGATTTTGAAAAATCAGCTTCAAAATATTGATGTACAATGATGTGTGAACAATCGCTAATTCAATCATACTTAGAAAAACATGTCATCTTTATATATTTGTTTCTCTTGCACTAACAAATCAAAGCCATGAACAAGCCAACCACGTGGCAAGCCATGTTGCAGTTGGGAAAATGTTGATCATAGAAATAAGTAAAGTTTAATACAAGCAAATAGAAAAACAAGAAGACGAGAAAGCTCTAACTTGTGAGCCTCAGAAATTAACTTTAGGGTTATGAAGACCACATAACTTCCGTGTTAATGGTTGAGAGACTTGAGAAGAAGTGGCTCAAACTAAATCCCAAAGGCCAACATGCAATAAAAAGACATAAGAATAGTTTGTAACCTCACATTCTTAACTAAATGGCGCTTCTTAAGCTAAATATCGGTTTTTTTCTTCCTACACAATCCAGATATTGATTTAATACAATAAAAAGGAAATACATGTATGCCAAATTTCAAAATCGAGAGAATCATCAAACATACATGGAAAAAACTATCTTCCTACTTCTTCATCATAAAAACTTGAGCTTACACAAAGATTTTCGAATCATTGTAACCTAGTTCATTACTACATGATATTGTCCACTTTAGTTTTATCAAAGTCTTCGATGAAGAAGATAAGACCATGTCGGAGGCAGAGAATATCGAGGCATGACTCAAACAAAACTAAAGGAGCTGGTAAATCTGAATCAGAAACTAACACAGGTCAAGGAGTTCAAGAACCGAAGAATGTGGAGTCCAAAGAGATTGTCTCATCATCACTATTCACTAGGCTAGGCTACAATCAACTTCTAAAGAATCTCATATTGATCCATCCGAAACCAAGGAACAAAAGATCTAACATTTCATATGGACATTCATAAATTAACATTCCTAGGATGCAACACACAAGCCATTGATCAGCAAAAAGTAAAATCAAAATTCCTCAATTCATGCCAATCTTCTCATTAGACATAAGAATTAACTTTTCCATCCACCGTTTTATTCCTGCTCGGTTCATAAATACAATTTATCGGTTCAATCCTAAGAAGAAATACAAACAAAGCATTGACTGAAACAAGAAAAATTAAATGATTGGAGAAAGAACATAAAGCATCCAAAGAGTTCAGATTTTGTAATAAAGTCTTAACCTTTAAACAGAAGAAACAAAAGGGTTTCTTCCTAAAGTCTTCGTCTTCGTTTTGCAATCAAATCCGCAACCACACTGTGGCGACTCGTAAAACTCATCGATCTCGAAGTTCGCCGATGTGATCCCGACGGAGAACTCGAGTTCGTCTCCGTTCCTAATAACCTCAACGATGTTGAGCCACAAAAAGAGAACTTTAACCTTCACGCCGGTAAGTTTTGTGATCTTGTTCTCCGATATGTAGCCAGAGATTGTAGATTTGTAATCCAATTGGTAAGAACCTTGAAGAGCGAAACTACACGATTTGTTGAAATAGGCGTGAAATTTACCAGTGGATTGATCTAGATCATATGATACGACTCCTTTAGGAAGAATTCCGACGGGAAAGTTGTAGCTTTGGAGGAGAGTGTACGCCGTCGGTACATCGTCATCGGTAACGGCGGCGATTAATGACGAAGGAACGCAAAATAAGAAGAAGAAGATTGAAATCGGAAGCAGATTCATGTCTCTTTTAGTCCAATGTAGCAAAATCACTAATTTAGGTTTTAGGTTTTAGGTTTTAGGTTTATCCCGTTTGGATTTCGTTTTCCGTCACTTTCTCGGCGAGAAAATATAAGAAATCTCTGGGACAGACGTGAGAGACTTTTCTAGGAGCTGGCCCATCTGATCAGATCAAGCGACCATAAACACGACATCGTTTTCACCCAACAACTGGACACGTGTCATCAGTGAGCACATGAGGTGTCTTTTTGTCATTTAGTTAACAAAACAAAGTAACAAACCAACAAAAAATTCTTAAAATGGGCTAATTTGGGCCTAAACCAACAAAGTGTTTTATTTATTTATTCATAACAGCTTCAAGGCCGTGTTTATTTTATTTATTCGTAACAGTTTTAATTTAAGGCCCATGGGCTTTAAGAGGAAGAGATAGGCCTATAACAATTAAACCCACAACCACACTTTGGGCTGTCCACGAAATACTTGGTCGAGAACTCCTCCGAAGCAGCACCAACGAAGAACTCGACATCGTCGCCGTCACGAGACACCTCGGAGATGTTGATCCAAAAGAAAAGAACTTTGACGCTTACGCCTATCAACCTTATGACCCGTCCTCTTGATATGATGCCGGAGATTGTGGGTTTGTATTTGACCTTGTATGACTCTATAGAGAACTGACACGTGGTGTTGAAACGGACTTTGAAAACGCCAGTTCTTCGGTTTAGCTCGTAGTCGTGGACACCTTCTGGTAAGATTCCTCGTGGTAAGGTGTAGTTTTCGAGAACCTGGTAGACACTTGGCTTTTTTTGGCCGGCGACGGATAAACAAGTAGAGAGAAGGAGGAGGAAGATGATGAAAATGGACATTGTTTTGTTTTTTACTTAAATCTCTGTGTTTTTTTCTTGGATTAGTGTCTTGTCTAATCGTACAACGTTTTCTTGAATCTGTTTTAGAAGCTGGTTTTGGGATGTCTTTGTGTGTTTAGTATAAGTAGAGAGATGAGGGATTAGTTGGGCTCAGGGACGTTGTGATCGGTCTTGTATAGAATGAACGGCTGAGATTTGACGAGCTTAATGCTCACGTGTTCAAGAGTTGACGAACGACGCCGTTTAATTTAGTATGATGCTAAATAATTTCATTAAATTCGTATTTTTGGCAAAAATTGTTTACAGTTACATTACCAAGCCTAACATTTCCTTTGCGTTGAGCTTGATTTTCGGTTTATTACAGTTCAACAAAAATAATACAGTTTCTTTAAATTAAATTAATAAAAGAAAGTAATTATAAGAACAAATCACAAATTACTATGAAATTAAACCGCTGGTGTAGGGCACTCCGGTTTTCCAAATCCAATCATCTTTGATAAATAAACCAGTGACTGTGAAATTAGCTGCATCAGTCGAATTAATCACGTGGTAACCAGGCCATGCTACCCGGTTTGTAGTGTTTGAACCAGGTCCGGTATTGTTATACTCTGCATAGTACAATGTACTTAACGCAAAATCAACGTTCCACTCTCTCCAACCAACCGGTTCAACAAAACCGTCTATGTACGATTGCATGTAAACCGTCCGTGAATACTCTTTCCACGGTCGACCCAAATACGTTCTTACCGTATAGTTACTCGAAACAAGATCATCAGCGGGCTTAATCGTACAGTTTTGGATTGACGTACCAGTGTTCTGGTTCGGATCAGACCGGCCTTGTGCGGTGATGGCATTGAACTGGTTCGGCACTGGTTTTCTCGGATATAAATTACAGTTCTGAAATACCACTGCCGCATTTCCAAATATAAAATCGACCGTTCCATAGACATCGCATTCTCTATAGAACTGTCTTAGAGTATGTGTGTAGAGAGTATCTTGATAAGCCTCGAAACTACAACTATAGAAGATTGAGAAATCTGCGCCGCTTCGTAACGCAACCGCCTGATGCTTCTCCGGTCCCGCCGTGTTCCGGAATGTTATGTTCACCGCAACGAAGTTCGGTGCTGTCACAGCTGAATAAAAAAAATAATGTGCACGATTAGTTACTATCAATTGAACCCAAAAATATCGTTATTTAATGCCTGCATCATCCAACTATGTACTAAAAAATCAACAAAATGGTTAGTACACTCAGACTCGGTATTAATGCATCTTGTCCCCTATTCACCACTTTCAATTCTAACCTTTTTGACCTATAGTTTAAATGCAATAATTAAAGGCAACTAGTTACGTACTCGAGAAATTAAAATATTATTGAAAATCTCGAGACATTATGATTAATAACATGTGATTGTGTGACGCGTACCAAATGTGGCGGAGTTAAAAGTAGTCCAACCGTCGACGACGCTTCTGTTTCCGGTGACCACCGTCTGATTAATCCCGTCGCCGATCATCATCATGTACCTTTTATTCTTCGCGATCGAGACATACTCTTCGTAGATTCCCGCCGTCACGTAGATCAAGAAGAAACCGGCGCTTCCGTCTGTGTTATTCGGCGCCGCCGCTACAGCCGCCGTAATATTAGTGAAATTTCCGGTTCCGTCTTGGCTCACGGTGACGATATCGCTAATCAGAACCATGCTTCCGTCGTCTCCGTCACCGTTACCGCTACCGTTACCGTCACCTTCGGAGAGTTTTCTTCTGCTGAGTGACTCGTAAACGGCTTTTGTTTTTTCTGTCATCTTTAGCGGTAGAGCTCCGTTACGGAACAGACGGTACGGTTTAGTGTGGGTCGATGAACCGGATCTCGGTTGGGCCCAAGCAAACCCGGCCCGTTTCTTCTTCTTTGGAACCCAACCTTTGGTGAAGAGAGCGAGTGAGACGCCTAAGAGCTTCGTGTCATTAACGAGAGGCAAAGCGACGCCGTTTCTCACAGTCCACGTGGCGGAAGAAGAAGCGGCGGTGGTAAGTCCTTCAAGACACGTCTGCTCATTAGTCAACGCCGCGGAAAGAAGCGTTTGGATGTCGTCGGCTTTTGGAAATGACAGCGTCTTGAAAGAGGAGTTTGCTGACGTGTCGTTAACGGTTTCAAACGACGTTAAGAGGTAATCCATCGTTAAACCAGCGAGAAAACGGCAATCTTGGAGAGCTCTGATAACGGCAGGTTGAGATAAATGAGCGTTGCGTTTGATATACCTATCGATGGTGCGAATGAATTTTCGCGATTGCGATAGCGATTTGCGGATAGAGAAGCGGCCGTATTGTTGAACATTGCCTTGGCTATGTGGGAAAACGGATTTGCAATATTTTGGATCCGGTGTCGTTTTGCAGATTGTTGAAGAGTTTGATAGTGTTTGGGAAGAAACTAGAAGTGATTGGAAAAAGAATGATAGTGTGATGAGAATGAGTAATGGAGATTCCATTGTTACTGGAAATGCTATGTGAATTAAAACTTTAGGTTAAGTGATTTATATATATAAGTGTGTTGATGATGAGTGAGGATGAGGTAGGTCCATTTTAATATTATAATTTGTGTATGAAAACTATGATTATTGTAATGCGATTATTATCCTAACTGCGATTATTGTAATGCGATTATTATCCTGAGTCAACTCGTTTTGGGAGTCTTAAAAACGCGTAGGTTTGTTTGGAGAACGTAATTTAATAATCATCGGAAACTCTGTCTGCTTATTCAAAGATGCTTAGCTGTTATTGCAGAACCATATATATGTTCATAATTCATTCAATCTTAAGAAAGATATTAATTATTAATAGTAGTTCGCATTCTTGATTTTATCATAACAATGCGGTTTCGAAGTAGCCGTTATCAACTTACTTGTTATGATATTTTGTTTTTCTTTCTATATACATATAGTTTTGATTGACATTAATTAGTGCATCATAGCGCGGAATTTCGAAACAAATGATGTAATATAATGTAAACTTGTTGAAGTATTAAACTTTGCTAGGTAACTTTGTTTGTATGTTGTTAAACAATTCACTCAGTTTCTCTAATTACCGAAAGAAACAAAACAAAACACGGTATTTAGGTTTTATTTTATGGGTGCAACACTCTTGTTTAAGTAAATTATAATAGAGAAATTCATAAAAATAGCCCTAAAACAAGTTTCATTGACAATAATAGCATACACTCCATAAACTTCCAAAAATAGCACTAATTAACTTATTATTAGTGTTTTTGATCTAAAAATTTTATCACTAGTTTTTTTTTCAATAATACCACAATTTTTATATAAAAGCTATTCAACAAAATAAATTAGAAATAAATTTAAAATATTATATTTGGGTTCTCTATTTCCAATTTAGGGTATATATTTCCACCATTTAAAAGAGATTTTGATTCATTTTAATATTAGTTTGTGGTATTATATTTGGGTTCCCTATTTCTAATTTAGGGTATATATTTCCACCATTTAAAAGTTTTTATTTTAATATTAGTTTGTGGTATTATATTTGGGTTCCCTATTTCCAAATTAGGGTATATATTTCCACTATTTAAAAACAATTTTGATTCAATTTAATATTAGATTAGTGTTTGTTCTCTTTTTTATTTTCTATCTTATATTTTCATGAGAAATTCCCCAAAATAGCACTAAAACAAGTTTTATGGACAATTATAGCACACACTCCATAAACTTCTACAAATAGCATTAGTTGATTAACTATAAGTTTTTGTTCTATAATTATTGTCATTAGTTTACTATTCCAATAATATCACAATTTTTATATAAAAACTATTCAACCAAAATAAATTAGAAATAAATTTAAAATATTATATTTGGGTTCTTTATTTCCAATTTAGGGTATATATTTCCACCATTTAAAAGAGATCTTGATTCATTTTAATATTAAATTTTTGTTATTATGTTTGGGTTCATTAATTCCAAATTAGGGTATATATTTCCACCATTTAAAAAGAGATTTTGATTCATTTTAATATTAGTTTGTGGGATTATATTTGGGTTCCCTCATTCCAATTTAGGGTATATATTTCTACCATTTAAAAGAAATTTTGATTTAATTTAATATTAGGTTAGTGTTTACTCTTTTTTCTATTTTAATTAAAGTTTAGGGTGCTATTTGTGGAATTTTAGAAATGTTGTGCTAATTTTGGGAAAAAAAAAATTTTGGGGCTATTTTTGTCAATTGCCCTATTTTCATTAAGTTAAATTGAAGTTTATGGTGCTATTTGTGGAACTTTTCAAATGAGGTGCTATTTTTGGAAAAAATAACTTTTTTGGGGCTATTTGTGTCAATCTCCCATTATAATAATTATTTGAACAAATATGTTAATCCATGCCTGGGGCAGGTTTATTTGTACGATTGACTTATTAGGTGTGTTTTTTTTTTTTTTTTTAATTGTGTAAACTACTTATTAGGTGTTAATTTATCGTTTTTCTTTGTTGCAATATGTTGACAATTTGTTCAATTATTTGTCAGCATTAAATATTTTCTCAAAATAATTATCGGATCAAAGCGTATCGATGGTTCCAAGTTCCAACCTAACATTAGCTCTCTTTTAAAATACTAGTAGTAGCTTTGAAGTTTTTAAAATAAAATTAGAATAGTAGTAGTATTATTGTGTTTACTTCTAAGTTCTAATCCAATGCATTTGTACGTACCTGTATTTAATTTCTAACGATCTAACGTAATTATAATTTCGTCTGCTTAATAAACGACTGAAGCGACGTCGAGTTGTCTCTACTTTTTAATATGTCAACACGCACGTAATTAATGAAATTGTAACCGTTGAGATTTGATGAGCTCACATTTCATAGTAAAGCGCCTTAATTAATTAGTTCTCAATCATTTATTTAAATGTGTTTCGTATCAAAACTTGTTAATTAAAGTAGTAATTAAACTTATAATTTTTTTGTCAGATATATGGAAACGTTGCATTTAATTGTCATGGAACACAGTTTCAAGGCAGAACGGTCCGAAATCCAAAAACGACCGACTCTGGCCTAGATTTGTATACCATAAATATCTAGTTGATTTTTTTTAATTTCCAGATTTCTTGAATCTTCGCGTGATATATACCACAGCTACTTCATACCAATCTCATCCGTAGACAACATCTATTTTCTTCTTTTGGATAATCGTAGACAATATATTATAGGCCTAGTGTGGTGTTGCGATTATATCGGCCCAACTACTATATCGAAGTGAACACAATTCCAATAGATCGAGAACAAAGTTTCATCTATATATGTTCTTTTCTTTGGAATCGGAATATAGTTGGATGGGAATCATGGGATATCTGATCTTGTCTTAATTTTACTAATCAGTTCCAGATACTTCAATTATATGAATTTGCAGAGCATATTCTTGATATTTTTTTTTTTTGTGTGTGTGATAATATTGTTGATGTTTTATACCCACTAGTTAATTCATATTATACCTGAACAATAAAATTTTGCTTTTCTCGACCATAAACAAAACATTTGTACATGATGTAAAAAACTTATAGGCTAGCCATAAAATGATTAAAAGACGGTAAATTGTGAAAACGACCGTAGATTTGCCATCAAGACTTGCATCTGTTATGGAGAGCAAGAATCCTAAGACGTAGAAAACGACAAGCCGGTCAAACTGGCCCGGTTATAAGGTATAGAATAACTCTATGGCACTATCGGTTCATTTATTCAATGTAACGATGAAATTATTGTACTAGCTAGGACTCATCACATGCCTGCAGCATGTACATATCTCCATTATTATATATTAATCTTTCTTGGCTTCTTCACTCCTTTGTACCAGTACATACATATGCATATATATTCACTATATATATATATATACTTATCGGAAACCACATGCATTCATATTAAAATTTCTTTGAACATATGATATTTGGGTTTGGTAGAAACATGTGATAGTTTAACATTCTTGATGGTTTTTTTGATTGAAGTTATTAAAACTTGAAAATCGAAGCCCTGTTGAAGAGAACAATGTTATTGGAGCTATTTCTTTAATTCATGTGTTCAACTAAAAAACGTTGAGATAATGAAAATCCGATGTGCATGCATGCAAATGCAATGCATCAATAGTAATGTTAAAAAGGAATAAATGAAGGGCAAGGCTTATCCACTTTATAAGTTGGGCCCTCAACGTTTAGCCCATTTTCAAGGAGCCGAATCATGCGTACGGACAATAGCAAATTTACCAAATATTACAAAAAGACCCCCTATTTATTTTACGTTATACGTTTATCACCTTGATTTTTTCTTAGTTTGGACACAGTGCCCACAACTCTCGCATTTGTTCTTTCGCTCTCTAAGCTTTTTTTTTTGTCTGACAAAGCATATGCATATCTCATTATTATTATTTTGGTCATTACCACGTAAAATTGACTGGACGTTTCATTGAATTTTTTTTTTTTTTCCATTTTTTTACCATATTTGATGAACCACTTAAATGTTTCAACTGAATTCGGTATGGGTGTGAATGATTACAAAAAACTTTTACGATTTCGAGATTGTGTTAACAATGAGCACGCAAGATTTACAAGATCCTTCAAAGTTAACTTTTTTGTTACAAAGCTAAGTGAACAACTTACAAATCATGCTAATTAACAAATAACTTTAGTAGAAATACACAATTAGAAATGTGTGTTTAGTTTTTTGTCACCTAGCTGGTAAAAAGATTAATACTTCTGTTTGTTCGGTTCATATGACTAACTAACCGGTTTAGCAAAACGAGAGAGAAGGTAGAAGTGAGGAAAGATAAAAACCAAATCTTTTCTCTATGTAAAGAGCTAATCCTCTGCTCACCTAGCAGCAAGCTTCCTCTTCTGCACACTCCACATTGATTGGCTAACCAAAGCTCTCTCTATTTTCTCTTCCCATCTCTAGATAAATGGCTCTCTATCTCTACTCTTCTCGACTCATCATCTGTCTCTCTTTTCTCTTGCTTATCACCAATGGCTTCTCGTCCTCTTCCTCTCGCCCTAGCATCCACCATCGTCACCACCTCGACAACCACAATTACAAAGACGCTCTCTCCAAGTCCATTCTCTTCTTTGAAGGTCAAAGATCCGGAAAGATTCCTCCAAACCAGAGGATGACTTGGAGAAGTAACTCTGGCCTCTCTGATGGCTCTGCCCTCAACGTAAATGACACTACTTTCTCTTGCTTTTTTGTTGCTTTTATGGAAAATGTGAAATGGGTTTGTTCTCGATTAACATGAATGCTAGTAATATAGGTTCAAACTTAACAAGTATCATCAAAAGGTTCAAACTTTACATATATCATCAAAAAGGTCCAAACTTTATGGGTTTGTTGCATAAAACAGAGGAATTGAAACCCTAATTTTTGTCATTATGGTTTTTAGGTTAAATTGCTCTATCAAAATCATCAAAACATTCAGACTTTATGGGCTTGTTGCTTAGAACAGAGGAATTGAAACCCTAAATTTCGTTATTATGGTTTTTAGGTTAAAACAGAGAAACTAAGAGCATGGTCATGGGTGATACTCATAAAGTATCATTAAGAATTTTTTAGTATTATTTATAATGTTTGTTTAATGTTTTTTTATTTTTTTCTCTTACTTTTGGCAAACGCGACCAATCAGGAGATGCCACGTCAGATGATACTGGTATCAAAAGTATCACTGGGTTGATACTAATCATGCCCATTATAATTGTTTTGTCTATATAAAAATAATTTATGGGCTTGTGATACTCTAAAAGTATCACCCATGTACATGGTCTAAGTTACATCTTTTCTTGGAAAGCCTAATTTGTGTGAATGGGTTTAATTTGTAGGTGGATTTGGTGGGAGGATACTACGATGCAGGGGACAATATGAAGTTTGGATTCCCAATGGCATTCACAACCACAATGCTCTCATGGAGTTTAATTGAGTTTGGTGGTCTCATGAAATCTGAGTTACCAAACGCTAAAGTCGCAGTTCGTTGGGCCACTGACTTTCTTCTCAAAGCCACTTCACATCCTGATACCATTTATGTTCAGGTTTCTTATTTTACTCACAAAATTCAAACTTTGGGAAACAGAGTGGTTTAACGTTAGCGTTTTCATAGGTTGGTGATCCTAACTTGGACCATGCTTGTTGGGAGAGACCAGAGGACATGGATACACCAAGAAGTGTGTTTAAGGTTGACAAGAACAATCCTGGTTCTGATATCGCTGGTGAAATCGCCGCCGCTCTTGCCGCTGCTTCAATTGTTTTCAGGAGATGTGATCCTTCTTACTCCAATCTTCTCCTCCAACGAGCCATTACGGTAAATAAGCACAATTTGTCATTTTCCACAATTAATTAATAAAAAAAAAGATTATGAAATTTCAGTGAGCATTAATGGAAAATTGCATTTGTGGGTTTTTAAGGTTTTTACATTTGCGGACAAATACAGAGGACCCTACAGTGCAGGTCTGGCCCCAGAAGTTTGTCCATTCTACTGTTCTTACTCTGGCTATCAGGTTCAACATTTTAATTTTTTTTACGTTGGATCTAAATTAATTTAAAGTGTAACAAAAGAAACTGAAATTGAATTGTTTTGTTCAGGATGAATTGTTATGGGGAGCTGCTTGGTTACACAAAGCAACAAATAAGCCAACATATCTCAATTACATCAAAGCTAATGGACAAATCCTTGGAGCTGATGAGTTTGATAACATGTTTAGTTGGGATAATAAGCACGTTGGTGCTAGAATCCTTCTTTCCAAGGTTATACAAATCTTTGAAACTAATTCAAAATTTAGACCATTGGTTCTTGAATTTTTATAAAACACTTTTTTTTGTGTGATTTTGTATTTTCAAGGAGTTTCTGATTCAGAAAGTGAAGTCACTTGAAGAATACAAAGAGCATGCTGATAGTTTCATTTGCTCTGTTTTACCTGGAGCCTCCTCTTCCCAATACACCCCAGGTTTTTGCATATATAGATATTGACCCCTCATCTTCTCATTATTTATATAAATACCCGTAATCTTCTCATTGAAATTTAAAATCCAGGAATTTATGAAATTATTTGAAGATATATGTGTATATGTATAGGTGGGCTATTGTTCAAGATGGGTGAGAGCAACATGCAATACGTGACGTCTACATCGTTCTTGCTCTTGACCTACGCCAAATATTTAACCTCTGCTCGCAGTGTCGCTTATTGCGGTGGTTCCGTCGTCACCCCTGGCCGCCTCCGCTCCATCGCCAAGAAACAGGTTTGTTTCAAAACGAATGTATATTGAATCTTGCCTAAAATGAACACTTTCATGAATTTTATTCTATAAGGTTTATTTATTTATACTTTTAGTATACTTTGGATGTCAAAATCAAACTTGACTATCAAGTAATTTTCAGTTAATGCACATAATAAATGTAACACCGCCTGCAAGACTACAACATACCAATAAAAGAATCTATAGTTTATTATAAAGATAATTAGCAAAAATGAAACAATTTATTGTTTTTTTGCTAAAGCATGAATGAATTAATATGCCAATATAAAATTGAAAGAGTAGTATTTGCTTAATTAATTGATTCATGTGATATATGCTCCAGGTGGATTACCTACTTGGAGACAACCCGTTGAAGATGTCATACATGGTTGGTTATGGTTTGAAATATCCACGTCGGATTCACCACCGTGGCTCATCTCTCCCATCCGTTGCAGTCCACCCGACCAGGATCCAGTGCCACGATGGCTTCTCCATGTTTACCACTCAATCTCCTAACCCTAACGACTTAGTCGGTGCAGTCGTCGGTGGTCCCGACCAGAACGACCAATTCCCTGACGAACGGTCCGACTACGGACGGTCCGAGCCAGCAACTTACATTAACGCTCCACTTGTTGGAGCTTTGGCTTATCTTGCTCGATCCTAATTAAGGCCAAGTTTAGCTAAGCTTAAATCATATTTAACTGTTGGTTTACAATGTTAATTAGTAGTAATGATTTTATAAATGAATGGCCAAGATTGTCCGATCCGGCTGAATGATGTTTTAGATGATGTGGAATTTAATTTTAATTTTCTAATTGGAAAATAGTAGCATTAAGAAATGGGAATGGGTCTTTGAAATGAGATTAATCAAAAAAATATGAGTGAAATTGATAAAACATCCAACCCCATAAACGAGATGGTGAACAAAAATAAAATAAAATACATTTACTGCTTGTAATACAACTACAAGTCTACAATTACGGTTTACCATGCAAAAATAGAGAGAGGAGAGGAATTTTTTTTTTTCTCTAGTCACGATAAAGGATAATATTTATTTAGAAAAATAATATACAATGACGAAGGGTGATGAATGTTTTAATGGGAAACGAGCAATTGACCAGATAGAGAGAGAGATGGGTCGATTAAAGCTGTCATTGTTTCTTTTATGACAGAACTAAGTTCACGTTTACGTAATTTGAATTTTGATTGATAGAGGAGGGATTGTGTTTTATAATCACTGAATTGTTACTGATTTATTGTGAATTGCATATCAATTGGTATCTACATCATCATGATTCCAAAAAGTATAATTGGTAAACCTGTAAAATTGTCTATCATTTTGTGGAATACCAATCTTATTTATGAGAAATATCAGTTTCATTTACATCAATAATTTAAAGATATTTACTGAATAATTTAGCTATGCCGCTCCAAACATAATCAACAAACAAAACAATATTTTACATTTTTTTAATATATTTTACATATATATACAAAAATTTGAGGAAGAAACAAAAAATTATGGTGGTTTTGGCAAATCCCAAGTTGAGGTAATTGCTTGCAATTTTAGATTCTTTTATAATTAACCGAGTAATATTGATCATTCTCAACCACTTAATCAATAGATTCCGTTTTTTTTTTTTTTTGCTTGATAAAATTGGAAATCGTTACTACCTAAGGTTGGGGTCAACAATCCGCAAAAGAAGATGGAATCACACACTCTATAATACCAATACTTTTCTAAAAGGATTCAAATCTAAAAATAGCATACTAACTAGCATTATAAAAACATGATGAATCCTCCTATGAGCAAATCACTTTTAAATTTGTTAACACTCTTTTAAAAGAACAAAAAAAGCAAAAATAAAATAAAGATATTATCACCATGGCTAACGCAAGAAGTTTGGTCGCCAAGGCAAACAATATTAACGTAGGTTCATTGATTCTAATGGCCTTGGTGTTTGGTTCTTGCGTGGCTAATGGTGAATATCTCGGCGGCCGCCGTGGTCTCGCCGCTAATTCCGGTAACCCCACGGTCTATGATATTACTAAGTTTGGAGCCGTAGGAGATGGTTCCACCAATACTTTTAAGGTAAAATTTAGTTTCAGTTTCGATCCATAATCTTTTTGAGTATTTATAGTAAAATGCATGTGACATTCTAACGATTGATCCAATAACATCCATGCAGGCGTTTTTGAAGACATGGATCCAAGTGTGTGATAGTCCAGTACCAGCAACGCTACTAGTTCCTAAGGGACAATTTTTGGCTGGTCCAGTCATTTTCGCCGGTCCATGCAAGAGCAAAGTGACCGTCAATGTTCAAGGCACAATCATCGCTACGACCAGCGGGTACGCAACTCCCGAATGGTTCTTGTTCGAACGTGTCGACAATCTCGTCCTCACCGGAACCGGCACATTCCACGGGAAAGGTGAAGCTGTCTGGAAAGCAGATGGTTGTGGCAAAAAGGTCCAATGCAATCTTCCTCCAACGGTAAGAACAAATAACTATATATTATATCAAATCACATCAAATAACTATATATTATATCAAATCACATATATATTAATTTGCAATAATTAATCACACATATGTATGTATACATGCAGTCTCTCAAATTCAGGAACATGAAAAATGTTGAAATCAATGGCATAAGCTCGGTGAACGCAAAGGCCTTCCACATGTTCTTAGTCAAAACTGAGAATGTTAACATCCAAAACATTAAGCTTAGCGCACCTGCTGAAAGTCCCAACACCGATGGTATCCATTTGAGCAATGCAGACAACGTTAGCATCCTCGACAGTACCATAGCGACTGGAGACGATTGTGTTTCAGTCGGTCGTGGCTCCAACAACGTAACCGTCGAACGTGTGATTTGTGGTCCAGGACACGGTCTAAGTGTCGGTAGTCTTGGTAAGTACAAGAACGAGGAAGACGTTAGCGGAATCCACGTTAACAACTGCACGATGATTGAGACCGACAATGGTCTTAGGATCAAGACATGGGGTGGTTCAGATCCAAGCAAGGCTGTGGACATTAAATTTGAAAACATCATCATGCAGAGTGTCAAGAACCCAATTATCATTGACCAAAACTACGGTTCAAGAGGCGGAGTAAGTATATATATATTACTGAGAATGTCTCAAACCAAAATTTTAACTATTATTTTGAATATATGCCTTAACAATTCATTTTTGTGTGTTTTTGTAGGATTCACAAGTTGCTATAAGTGATATATTGTTCAAGAACATTAGAGGAACAACAATTACAAAAGATATCGTTCAGATTATGTGTAGCAAATCGGTGCCGTGCAAAGGAGTCAACGTTGTTGACGTGAACCTGAACTATGTAGGCAAGACAGGAGGAGAGAAGAAGTCGTCGTCCGGCGGTTTGGTCGGAGCTCTTTGCGATAACGCCAATGTTATATTTGGTGGAAAACTTAGCTTCCCTATGTGTCCCAAATAAGCTTTTTGGTATAAAAAAATTTACTATTAAAAAAAAAATCAAAAGTTGTCACAAACATTATTTTGTTTGTGAGTTAGTTTGGGAATTTATCAACAAGAAATAATCAGTGGAATATTTGACTTTTGATAATGTTTTTTTCCCGATTTTTTTTTTTTGGTAATGTATAAATAAACAGATCCTTCAGCTGGTTGCTTAATAGTTTCTGGTTAGAAATTTCGTCTGTGAGTATTAGTGTATACACCATTTTATTGCTCTATCTAAAGACACCGATTTCTTTTTTTTTTTTTGTATAAAGTGGCTCAATATCTCTTTCATTATTCTATCTTGGCATTAAAATTTAGCTTAGACTATTTCTGAAACTTGAAAAGAATATTACTACCTGAGATATTACTCAGACTTAAACTTAAATAGTAACAACTAACAAGCATATCATAAGTCATGCTACATGCGATATTGATGTCTTCATCTCAAGAATCTCTCTTATGAATCTGGTTCCGATTATTTTAGTTTCCCATCAATCACCTTTTTAGGAAGTTTGGTTTTTAAAAAATTGCCCCACAACCAAATGTTCTTGGTCTAGTGGTTGCCACTTGTGGAGGAGTTGCCCTGTTGGTTTAGGCCAGGGATCGATTCCCCGCAAGCGCGCAATTGCTAGATCTCCACTTGGCCACTGCGCAATTTACCTGCGGGGCGCAGCGTCCCAGACCACCAGTTCCAGGGGGCCCTTAAGTGGAGGCTTAAAAATCCCAGGCACGCGGGCTTAGGCCCAGTGGGCTAGTCGGATCACTGTGTGGTCTGGACACTGGGTTATCAAAAAAAAAAAAAAAAAATTGCCCCACCTGCTTAAATTCACTTGACAGTTGTAAATGTTTTAAATATGCAGTTTTTAATCTTCTTCTTCAATAAACAGCTGTAAGTTATGCAAAATGAACCGATTATATAAGTTATTATCAACATTCATAAATTTAAACATTTTAACAGAATAGATATACTTTTTCCTTGAATTAAAAGTGAAATTTTAAAAGAGTCTTTTAAAGATAAGAGTTGTTTATACACATTTACATATCTAACAATTAAGATAATACACACACACACACACACAATTCTCATTGCTGCGTTGAAACATGTTAATACCTTACAAAGATAACCATTGTGTTTTACATAGTTATAAAATATTTTTCATATATAATCTACAGTTAAATATAAAACGATAAGGTCTAAAGCATGCTTTTTCAAAATTGTGTATTTGTGTTTCTCAACCTTAATGAAATTAATTTATAAAGTCACTCGTTAAAAGGCTTATAATGGGGTTTTAAAAAAGCCCATTTTGAATTAAAGCCCAATAGACTTCTCGAAAAGGAGGAAACCCTAGAAACATTGAGGTATATAAATTCTTTTCGTCTGGTTCGCTAATCAGTTCTCCGCCACACCAATCTCCAGAAAAGGGGAGAAGCAAAAATGGTTTCTCTGAAGCTCCAGAAGCGGCTCGCCGCATCAGTCATGAAGTGCGGGAAGGGCAAAGTTTGGCTCGATCCCAATGAAAGCTCCGACATCTCCATGGCCAATTCCCGTACGTTTTTGCTTTTTTTCTTCATCCTTTAGCTTTTACCTTCGTAGCTATTGTTTATTTTTGTCCTGTGTTTATCTGCGACGGTGGTAGATGATATTAGGTGTTGAAAATCACTGTGTTTGTTTCCGATCTGCAAATTTAGAGCTTGTAGGTTTCATTTCTCTAGTTATTGGCCTTGTAGAACTATGATATTGGTTCTTAGTAGACTGAGGATTTGTATGATGTTCCATTTCAAGGATTGTTGTTATATAGTTGATGATCTTTTTATAGCTCTATTTTGTTGAGAAGCTGATGCTTGATTTTGAACTGAACGTAGGCCAAAACATCAGAAAGCTTGTGAAGGATGGTTTCATCATCAGGAAGCCAACCAAGATTCACTCTCGTTCCAGAGCTCGCAAAATGAAGATTGCCAAGATGAAGGGTCGTCACTCTGGATACGGTATATACTTCAACACTCTGGATCTCTCTGTTTATTCGCGATTTTGAAGGCTTAATGGCATTGTTTAACCCTGATTTTTTGTCCTTGCTTGTGTATGATTGATAAAAGGTAAGAGGAAGGGTACCCGTGAAGCTAGGTTGCCAACAAAGGTACTGTGGATGCGTAGGATGCGTGTTCTGAGGCGTCTGTTGAAGAAATACAGAGAGTCGAAGAAGATTGACAAGCATATGTACCATGACATGTACATGCGTGTTAAGGGTAATGTGTTCAAGAACAAGCGTGTCTTGATGGAGAGTATCCACAAGTCTAAGGCTGAGAAGGCTAGAGAGAAGACTTTGTCTGATCAGTTTGAGGCTAAGAGGGCAAAGAACAAGGCTAGCCGAGAAAGGAAGCATGCTAGGAGAGAGGAGCGTTTAGCTAAGGTCAGAACTTTAAACTTTTTTACCATTTTATAAGATTTACTGATTACGATCACAGATTCTTATGTGTTGTGGATTGGTTGATGTAGGGTCCCGGTGGAGATGTTGCGCCTGTAGCTGCACCAGCACCTGCTGCTACACCTGCTCAAACTGCAGAGTAAGTCTGATGATCTCAATTGTGTTGTAAATTGAGTTTTGTGTCAAAATGGTTAAGATACCTAAATCATGTATGGGTCTTTGCTTGTGCAGTGTACCGAAGAAGAAGTCTAAGAAGTGAAGAGAGGATATATAGTGAGAAGCTATATCGTCATCAGTTCACGGATTTGACTCTGAAGAAGGTTTTGAATGTTTTATCGAATGCGTTTGTGGAATAACTTTTATTTTCGCAAAGAACATAACTTATGTCAGTTAATCTTTATGCTTTCAGATTTTTAGTTTACAGTGTTTCAACAGATTGCAAGAAGTTGTTCTTTTTTTGGTTTCTTAATGTTTTTCGTTCATCATACACAATTAAAAAATCCATCCATAGCATTAGCACTAATTGTTAATTTATACCTATCAACGGAATATCTAATCGACGTTAGGAAATTTAAAGCCATTTGGTGAAAATTGAAACCATGTTTACAACAATTATTTAATAATAACTGTCATATATCAGGGCCTTAGGCCATGCGCAATGGCGCATTTTCTCCCCGGGTGTAACTATTAAAATAATCGAAAATAAGAGAAAAGTTGTCTCTCTCCTCACACCCGGGTGTAACTTTACACTCGGGTGTAAGACACTCTCTCTCTTTCTCTCTCTTTCTTTCTCTCTCTCTCTTCTCTCTCCTTAAATTATAATAATAAAAAAAATTTCACACCCACACTCACACTTACCCCACTGTGGATGCTCTTATTGAAAACAATTTGATCATCTATTTGTTTATTGTTCAGTAGAAGCATTATTTAATAATAACTGTCATATATCAACCTAAACGATACTGAAATGTTTTCATTTCAATTATCTACATTAATCAAACACTAATAACAATTTCAGAGTAACATATGAAAAACATCACTGTCAGAAGAAAAAAAAATCAGGGGAGGTATTACGTACCACCAACTTGTAAGCGCCAATTCATTGAACACTACTAACACAGTAACAAGTAACAACCACCCACTCCCATGTTTTTTTCTAGCTTTTACAATACATACCAATACCATGGTATTTTGTCATTTTCTTTTAGATAAAGCCTAGATATATATTAATTTAATTAATTAATTTAATTATATATTAATATTTAATGATATATTCAAAGTATGAATTATTGTTTAAATGGTCTAGAGAAATTTATTTTTTCACCTAAATTAAAACTAAAACTAAGTTTTAAAAGATAAGTTTTTTTTTAAAATGCTTCTTTTTTTTCAATAAATGATACACGTATTTCATATTTTTATTTTACTTTCAGTTATGTTAAGTATTTCTCTCAAAATAATTTTTTTTATCAAATCTATAGTATATTGTGGAGATTAATTAGTTGTTATATTTATCTTGATTTATGACCTTTTACAAAAATATATGCAAGAATTTTGAAAACAAGGTACGAGAAAAAAATAAAACAGGATATCTAATAAGAATAAAATTATTAATATCTAAGAAAATATTAGATATTTTATAATCATTTCTTAGGAAAACCCAAAACAAAATGAAAGGAAAATTAATGTTAAATAAAAAAGAAAAATAAAATGGGGTCAAAAGTAGAAAATGATCATGTGGCATAGGGGTCAACATGGATCTATTATAGCAAAACATCTAATAATAATTTTTTTTTTTTTTTTTTTTTTTAACATCTAATAATTTATTAGTAACTTACCTTATAACAAATTTTTTGATCCCCTACCCATTGATTAGCTCCGCCCCTGGATTAAGCCTCCCTCTTCAATAATAGCTTAAGTATTTCACAACTCATATGCGAGTCAATGTTCTTCTTCTTGTTTTTATTACTATTACGAGAGAATATGTGTTTGTCAAGACAATTAGACGAAGAAAAAAGTCATAAAAACTTCCATAAATATAGTGTAGTCACATTTACTCGACTCCTGCTAATGTGTGTCACACACCATGACACCACCAATAAACCAATGTGTGTGATTTTGGATATGCGTTGAAGATATTAATACGGACAATTGGACAAAATTCTGAGGTTATTATATAAAGCAGTGGTAAGTTAAACAACGTTGTGGTAACTGGCTTCGTTAGCGTGTTAAAAACAGCATGCTTTTATAAAGTTGTATCGCCCACCGTGGGGCTCGAACCCACGACCACAAGGTTAAGAGCCTTGCGCTCTACCAACTGAGCTAGACGGGCTTGTTGACTATATAGCACACTATTGTTATATTGATACCCAAATCTAACTAGATGCAGGAAAGAACTTTGCAAGGACGGTGCTCTGCGATAATAATCTTGTTAAGAAACAAACTGAAAACTCATCAGCTTATATTATAAGACTAAAGCTAGTGTTATGTCTGTAAAAAAGATGCATATAAATAAATAGAGCTTAATAAATTACAACAATGACAATCACCTGCCCTTTCCCATTGGCGACTTCACATCTTTATTTTACTTTTTTTTACTCAGAAGAAGTCACATTCATCACCAAACATGGCTGATGACAATAGTCCCTGTACAAACTCACACTTCTTTGCCTTCTCCAATTTATCACTATCCGATAAAGGAGACGACGATGTCCCCTCTTTTGCTGTTGACGAATCCTTAATCGGATTCTTGTCTTCTACACTTGCATCAGGCTGCACAAGCTTGGTCTGATTTGGTAATGCAGAATTGTCGATGAATGATAAAAACTGATCGGAAACAACAAAATTAGAGGTACGATGATGATGATTCCTAGATGGTGGCGACTCATCAAGAGGTGGTTGAAAATATTTATCAGATGAATATGGATCTTCCCTGTACGACATTTCCTTCTGCTCACTGTAAAGTTATCGGTCAAGGAATTTCAAATAAATCACATTCATTATAGAGACGGAAATTTGACTTAAAAAGGTTTTGAAAAGAATGAAAAAGGATATCTTCAAGACATCTCTATGATGTGATGTTATATGATCCACCATATGCATCTTCACCCTTTTGCTACAAACAGGACATATCTACAAAAACCACAAACAAATTGTAAGATGATGTTACCACATGAATATTCACAGAACCAGAAAAATAATGTTCCATCACACCATTAAATATTCATTTCTTGAAATCGTGAAGCCAATCAATACTTCAACAAGAGAGATTTTAAGACTTAATATTCGTTGAAGATCGTTGAAACTATTCTTAACTGAAATTGGATTCCCAAAAGCATCGATCAAAACAGTCCTACTTAACTCAAATCCAAGAATTCATTACCTACTCTCTAAAGCAAGCATGTAAAGCCAAAAAAATGTCAAAAGTATTAATATCCTAAAACCTTAAACGGATCAATGGAGAGTTATGTCAACTCAAATAGTAACCTAAGATAGGAGTGGCATGTTTCTCTTTTGAAACTATTCGCAATAGCAATCAGAATCTTAAAAGCCTCGATCTAAACAAATCCTAATCAAATTATAGATTGAAGCCATGTTTCCCACAATCCGAATAACTAAGCTGTATAAACTGCTTCATGTGAAGCTTGAGTGTGAAATGGAAAACGCAGGAGAGACAGGAAGTGAATTCACATACCCCATTGTTAGCTTCAAGATGATGTTCTTCGTCGATATGGTGACACAATTCAATTAAATCATAACCACTCGCGCAAAACGGGCATGGGTACTCCACTGCTATATCGTCAACTTCTTCAAACTCTTCCAAATCTAGATAAGGCCCTGAAATATTCGCCGCTAATTAACTCGAGAACAAAAGTAAAAACCCATTAAGAAAAAAAAAGTCTTCTCTCATCTAAAAGCAAACGTAAAGCTACGATTTTTAACTTAACGACCAACTACCCAAAGAGACCAAACAGAACCCAATTCAATCGAAACCCAATTCAGACCAATCTAAAATCATAAACCCTAAATGAAGTTTGAAAGAAAATTGATAATAAACCTGATTGATACTTAGCAGCAGTTTCTGATCGATAGCTTCTTGAAGAACCAGATGAGCTAACGCACCACATATCGTCCTCCATCTGATTTATGAATCTCCACGAATCGGAGCTTTTATAAAAATCTCAGATTATTGAGACCTCCTTCGTCGTGTCAGCTAAATACCCAATTGTGTGTGAGATATAGAAAATGTCAAGAAACTACTCCTCCAAAGGCCTGACCTTTTTTTTTGTTTAATCCGCCGAGACTTAATGGACAAGAATACTTCGGGTGGTGCTAAGCTAAATTACTAATATACCCTTCAGTTGTACCGAGCCACTTTCTCAGCCACCTCTGGGGTGTTTCTGTCTTTTTCTTGTAAGAATGCTAATGTTATTGCATTGCACCCCAAGTTAATAACAGTAAAGGCCTGACTTGAAATTATTTAAATGGGCTTAAAGGCCTAATTATAAAAGCCCATATTAAAATCTGAGAAATTTGAGATTCTGACATAGAAAAATCCCCAATTTTCCCGGAAATTTTCAGACAAAGCCGCGTTGAGATTCAACAAATTTGAGTGAGTTTTTTTTTTGTCATTTACCTTGTCGCTTCGACGTGAGACAAGCCGTGGAAGAAGACGAAAGGGCTCTTAAGCCGCCATTGCAATCCCTAAACTCTTCTTTTTTAGATGGGAAGCCCTAGCGCCGCCGCCGAGACGGATCTTACAACCGATGATTTCATCGGAGACACACGACGGGACTCTGGTACTGATACAGAGACCAACACTGATTGTGACGGAGAAGACTTGCCTCTTCTTCTTCTACCTGCTCCTCCCGGTCACTTCGAAGAAGGAGAGAGAGTTTTAGCCAAACACAGTGATTGCTTCTACGAAGCCAAGGTAAGTCAAACACACTCTCTCTATTCTTGAATTAGAGTCTTGTTCTCTACTTGTGAGCTTTATGTCTGTGATCGTTTTTCTGTTCTTTATTTTTTTATATTCTCAGGTTCTTAAAGTTGAATTTAAAGACAATGAATGGAAGTATTTTGTGCATTACATTGTAAGTAGCTTTGCACAATCAAAAAGTTAAATAAAATCATTTCTTTTGAGCTACTTTGTTTCTATTTGTTTTGAAGATGTAAATTTATTTCTTTTGGCAGGGTTGGAACAAAAGGTTTGAGCTTCCTTCAATATAGTTACCGTCTTCTTATCGGTTTGAAATCGTTTTAACCTATTTATAAAAAAGGGAATTCTTCATATGATTATTTACTGATTTGTTTGCCAAGCTTCAATTTTTTGATAATATCAAAGGTCTGAATCTTGTATCTCTTTTATACGATGATAGTTGGGACGAATGGATAAGTCTGGACTGTCTCTTGAAACATTCAGAGGAGAATATTGAGAAACAGAAGGAACAGGGTTTGAAGCAGCAAGGAATTAAGAGTGCTATGGCTTGGAGAGTTTCAAAGATGAAACCTAGAAGCCCTAATGGTCAGTCAGCTTCTTCTTTGTTTGTTTTTACATATTCTTGTCTCGATGAACTTCTTTCTTGCTGCTTTCGTGGATATTCAGAGTCTGTATCAGGGACTCTCTTTTGGTCTTGCTTGCTTTATTCTTTGTTGACTAAGTAGAAGTTGTAGAGATTAAAGTATACATACACATCTTTTGTTTTTATTGTGTTAATAATGCTGTAATGAGGCCAGGTTTAGTTGATATAGTGTCAGTGGATATTTTGTCCAAAATTTTCTTACTTTTGGCAGTTGCTAGAGGAAGAAAGCGGAAGCAAGATTCTGTTGATACGGTAATTGCTCCATTAGTGGATGTATTTGCTTAATCTTTCAGCTTTCAAATATCAAGGGTTATTTTTTATTAGGGGAGTTTTACTTGAATCTTGTTGTTTGCTGAATTCAGGAGAAGAATGTGGTTCCCTCTGACAATCTTTTAAGTTTCAATATTCCACCAGCATTAAGGAAGCAACTAATTGACGATTATGAATTTGTTACTCAGATGCAGAAGGTAGTGAATGTCTCATATGCTTTTATTAGGTCCATATATTAAGGAATTTATCTTACCTCATGTTTGGGAATTATTTGAGCAGCTTGTGCAACTTCCGCGTTCTCCAAATGTGGATGACATCTTAAAGAAGTACATTGACAGCCAAATGAAGAAACATAGCAGGTAAGCTCTTCGTGGATTATAGTTTCTTTCTGTTGTCAGTTTCCAACACTTACACTGTTAATCTCCTTTGTTGCTGTTCTCATATACTTAAGAGAGTATAAATCATCTGTAGATGCTCCATTGATAGTGGCCAGATTTTATATGACGGATAAGAGTATTCCAAGCTTCTGATATATCTATTACTTTCTTTGGTGAGTCTATATAGGGTAACTGATTCATTAGAGGAAATTCTGAAAGGTTTGCGTTGCTACTTTGACAAAGCTTTACCGGTGATGTTGCTTTACAACAATGAACGGAAGCAATACGAGGAATCCGTATCAGCGGATGTTTCTCCCTCAACTGTGTACGGAGCAGAGCATTTGTTACGACTCTTCGGTAAGGCCCTTCTTTTAATCTATAAACACCATTTTATATCCTGAATGATTTGCTAGTTCTTATCAAACCTATAGAAATACACACCAAGACCACTTTGTCTTTGTTATCAAAGCCTAAATATTGAGTTCTTGCAGTGAAATTGCCGGAGTTGCTAGTACATGTGAATATGGCAGAAGAGACATTGAAGGAATTGCAGGACAACTTTGTTGATATTCTCAGGTTTCTTCTTATTGTCTCCTACTTAATGCTTTACACTCTACAGGTATTTATAGTAATATGATAAAAACCAAATGATAACGCAGGTTCTTGAGGAAGAATCAGAGTGTGTTTTTTGTATCGGCATACAAAGCAGTGGAAGAAATGGAGAAGAAAGAAGATTAGGGTGTTGTGTTGTGTGCCTAATGACGTGTGTCATTCTTGTAAGTATGTGCAGCGAATCTTCTGTTTGTAGTATATTGTATGTAACGAGACCTAAGAACTATTATATAGGTTCGGTCTCGATTTTGAAAGCACTTAAACGTCGTTATCGTGTTTGTCTCGGCGTTTTAAAAAACGTTAAAAAACTAATTAAAAAAAACATTAGTCATTTTTAATTATATCTCTTCTCCTTTTCAATTATCGTTTCCATTTATTTATGATCATAGTAACTTGTCTTGATTTTCAAATTTGTTACAGAGTTGAATATACAGATGAAAACATTTTATAGTATGAATTCAAATCTCTTGAATTTTATGAGTACACAAAATTTAAGCATATAATTACCACTGTATCACAAGGAATAATGATCTACTCGAGTAGTATATATAAAATAATAATACTAATCAAAATTATATACCAATGAGTTCAAAATCATCAAACCCCATGCGATGATGAGCAAATAATATTTGTATCAGTACCAATGAGTTCAAAATTATCAAATCACATGGGATGATAAAAAGCATATTACTATTTTTAATCAGCTCCTCCAATATAAATTTATTTGACCGTTACGGAAAGTTGAGAGAGATAAACTCCTTTTTCTTTTATTTTTTCCGTTTATTTGACTTTTCTTCTTTATTAGATCGTTTGGTCCCACATAATCTTTCAAACTTACCGTTTGGATTGGATAATCACCGTCCGATCTCACATGAAGCAACGTGAAGAAACTGAACGGCTCAGATCTATCGACCGTTTATAGCAACACCTTTCTCCTTTATATCTCTATATCTCTCTCTCTCTAAATTTTGAAAATTATAATGCTCTTCTGCTTTGTACTAGCTTCTTCTTCAGCTTCTTCTTCTTCTTCCTTAGATTCAAAATCTCTTCTTCTAAGTTTCTGATTTCAGTTTGAGATCTACTCTTTGATTTTTTTCTCTCGTGATTTTTGTGGTTCACTGCTAATTGTGAACCGAGAATGGTGAAATCAGCAGCTTGTTCTTCTTCTCCGGTGACTATAACGGTGACACCATGTAAAGGATCTGGAGATAGAAGCTTAGGATTGACGAGTCCTATCCCACGCGCCTCTGTTATCAACAATCAAAACTCTCCTCTAAGCTCAAGAGCCACGCGTCGTACTTCCATTAGCGGCGGAAATCGGAGATCTAGTGGTGGTGAAGGAAGATACTGTTCTATGTCTGTGGAAGATCTAACGGCGGAGACGACTAATTCCGAGTGCGTTTTGAGCTATACTGTTCATATTCCACCTACGCCGGATCATCAAACGGTGTTCGCTTCACAGGAGAGTGGTATGGGTGAAGAAGATGAGATGCTAAAAGGGAATTCAAATAACAAAAGTTTCCTCTCTGGGACGATTTTCACCGGTGGGTTTAAATCGGTGACTCGTGGTCATGTAATTGATTGCTCTATGGATCGAGCTGATCCGGAGAAGAAATCAGGTCAGATCTGTTGGTTAAAAGGTTGTGATGAGAAAGTTGTTCATGGGAGATGTGAGTGTGGTTTCAAAATCTGTAGAGATTGTTACTTTGATTGTATCACAAGTGGTGGAGGTAATTGTCCTGGTTGCAAAGAGCCTTACAGGGATGTAAACGATGATCCAGAAACCGAGGAAGAAGACGAAGAAGATGAGGCGAAACCGCTTCCTCAGATGGGTGAATCAAAGCTTGACAAGAGGCTTTCGGTTGTGAAGTCGTTTAAAGCGCAGAATCAAGCTGGTGACTTTGATCACACTCGGTGGTTGTTTGAGACTAAAGGTACTTATGGGTATGGGAACGCTGTTTGGCCTAAAGATGGGTATGGAATCGGGTCGGGTGGTGGTGGTAACGGGTATGAAACGCCACCGGAGTTTGGGGAGAGAAGCAAGAGACCTCTTACTAGGAAAGTCAGTGTCTCTGCTGCAATTATCAGTCCTTACAGGTAAAAGAACTTGCTTTATCTATAGCTGTTTCTTGATTAAGTATGTTTTTCTTTAATGTTTGCTCAATTATGATGATGGAATTGATTTACTGTTGGATTATAGCATTTGCATTTGCTAAAGTTTTGATTTTTCTTGTGTGTGACGAAACAGATTACTCATTGCACTGCGTCTGGTGGCTCTTGGTCTGTTCCTGACATGGAGGGTTCGCCACCCAAATCGAGAAGCAATGTGGTTGTGGGGAATGTCAACGACCTGTGAGCTTTGGTTTGCCTTGTCTTGGCTTTTGGATCAGCTTCCAAAACTCTGTCCGGTTAACAGATTAACTGATTTAGGTGTTCTTAAAGAACGCTTTGAATCTCCTAACCTCAGGAACCCCAAAGGAAGATCTGATCTTCCGGGTATAGATGTGTTTGTCTCAACTGCAGACCCTGAGAAAGAACCGCCTCTGGTCACAGCCAACACCATTCTTTCGATCCTAGCTGTTGATTACCCTGTGGAGAAACTTGCTTGCTACTTATCAGACGATGGAGGAGCTTTGCTAACATTCGAAGCCTTGGCTCAAACAGCTAGCTTTGCAAGTACATGGGTGCCATTCTGCAGGAAACACAATATAGAGCCAAGGAACCCTGAGGCCTACTTTGGACAGAAGCGTAACTTTCTCAAGAACAAAGTGAGGCTGGATTTTGTGAGGGAAAGGAGGAGAGTGAAGAGAGAGTATGATGAGTTTAAGGTCAGAATCAACTCATTGCCTGAGGCGATAAGGAGAAGGTCTGATGCTTATAACGTGCACGAAGAGCTAAGGGCTAAGAAGAAACAGATGGAATTGATGATGGGAAACAATCCTCAAGAAACTGTTAAAGTTCCAAAGGCCACTTGGATGTCAGATGGTTCTCACTGGCCAGGGACTTGGTCCTCTGGAGAATCCGATAATTCCCGAGGAGATCATGCTGGAATCATTCAGGTAACTTCTTTTGTCAAGATTGTTTGCTAATTGTCTAACTGGTTTCATGTTTTTATATGGTTTGTCTTAAAATATGAGTTCTAATATACTGTGTGTTGCTGCAGGCAATGTTGGCTCCTCCAAATGCAGAACCAGTTTATGGAGCAGAAGCAGATGCTGAGAACTTAATTGATACAACAGACGTTGACATCAGGCTACCAATGCTAGTCTATGTGTCCAGAGAGAAGCGGCCGGGTTATGATCACAACAAGAAAGCAGGAGCCATGAATGCTTTGGTTAGAACCAGCGCAATAATGTCTAATGGCCCATTCATCCTCAATCTTGATTGTGACCACTACATCTACAACTCCATGGCTTTGAGAGAAGGAATGTGCTTCATGCTTGATCGTGGTGGCGATAGAATCTGCTATGTTCAGTTCCCTCAGAGGTTTGAAGGTATTGACCCAAATGATCGTTATGCAAACCACAACACTGTCTTCTTTGATGTTAGTATGAGAGCTTTGGATGGACTTCAAGGTCCAATGTATGTGGGAACTGGCTGTATCTTCCGAAGAACAGCTCTCTACGGGTTTAGCCCGCCGAGAGCAACTGAACATCATGGCTGGCTTGGAAGAAGAAAGGTCAAGATATCGCTGAGGAGACCAAAAGCCGTGATGAAGAAGGACGATGAAGTTTCTTTGCCTATGAATGGAGAATACAACGAAGAAGAGAATGATGATGGAGATATTGAATCTCTGCTTCTCCCAAAGAGATTTGGTAATTCAAACTCTTTTGTTGCTTCAATCCCGGTTGCTGAATACCAAGGGAGACTCTTACAAGACTTGCAAGGCAAAGGCAAGAACAGTAGACCAGCTGGCTCACTTGCTGTCCCACGTGAACCGCTTGATGCAGCCACTGTAGCTGAAGCAATCAGTGTGATATCTTGCTTCTACGAGGACAAAACTGAGTGGGGTAAAAGAGTTGGATGGATCTATGGATCAGTGACTGAAGATGTAGTTACTGGATATCGAATGCACAACAGAGGATGGAGATCAATCTATTGCGTGACAAAGCGGGACGCTTTCCGTGGAACAGCTCCAATCAACCTAACGGATAGGCTTCACCAGGTTCTGAGATGGGCAACAGGATCTGTTGAGATCTTTTTCTCTAGGAACAATGCGATCTTTGCAACCAGAAGGATGAAGTTTTTGCAGAGAGTGGCTTACTTCAATGTTGGAATGTATCCATTCACATCGCTTTTCCTCATCGTCTACTGCATTCTCCCTGCGGTTTCGCTCTTCTCGGGTCAATTCATAGTTCAATCACTCGACATAACGTTCTTGATCTACCTCCTCTCGATAACACTCACACTCTGTATGTTATCACTCCTTGAGATCAAATGGTCAGGCATAACTCTCCATGAATGGTGGAGAAATGAGCAGTTCTGGGTAATTGGAGGTACAAGCGCACACCCTGCAGCTGTTCTTCAAGGTCTTCTCAAGGTAATTGCAGGAGTCGATATCTCGTTTACCTTGACTTCCAAGTCATCTACACCAGAAGAAGGAGAGGATGAGTTTGCTGATCTGTATGCTGTGAAATGGAGCTTTTTGATGGTTCCTCCATTGACGATCATGATGGTGAATATGATTGCGATTGCGGTGGGGATCGCGAGGACTCTGTACAGTCCGTTTCCGCAATGGAGTAAGCTTGTTGGAGGAGTGTTCTTCAGCTTTTGGGTGCTTTGTCATCTGTATCCGTTTGCTAAAGGATTGATGGGAAGAAGAGGCAGAGTTCCGACGATAGTGTTTGTGTGGTCAGGTTTGTTGTCGATTATTGTGTCTTTGCTTTGGGTTTATATTAACCCTCCTTCAGGGAAACAAGACTATATGCAGTTTCAATTCCCTTGATTTTCTTTGTTTGTGGTACAAGGCATGAAAGTTCTTCTTTCTAGGCTTCATGTTTGTAATCAGATATTATAATTACGATTTTTCAAAGTAAAGTCTCAATTTCTTACTTTGTTAATGGTTTAAGTCTGGACCAATGAAAATCCGGTTTAGTCCTCATGGCTGGTCAAACCAAACTTAGATGAGATTGTGAGTCTGAACTCTGAACATTGCAATTAAGTATTAACAATCCAAATATGTAAGAAAAGGTCCAAAACTCTTACAAAGTGACTGCTAAGTTACATCTTTTTCACATTTGTTTCAAAGCCATTACTAAGGTTGATGATAATTAATCATCAGATTCTTCGAAACAAAAAAAGTGACCAAGAAGTGTCAATGCAGAAACAGGTAAAGATTCGAATCCTTATTACAGTCACTTATAAAATATATACATTCGAATTACCAGAGGTTGAGTTTTACAAGTTTGTTTTTTAACGTAAAAAATAGTTTCGACTCAACCAAAATAACAATAACATGGACCACATTTCTCTATGTTTTCACAGCTTGATATGAAAATGAAGTATCTAAATGAAAAAAACAAAGTTGTATATTTAAAACATTATTTGCAAAAACATCTTTTGAGTTTTACAAGTTTGTTTTTTAACGTAAAAAATAGTTTCGACTCAACCAAAATAACAATAACATGGACCACATTTCTCTATGTTTTCACAGCTTGATATGAAAATGAAGTATCTAAATGAAAAAAAACAAAGTTGTATATTTAAAACATTATTTGCAAAAACATCTTTAAAATTTAGTTTAATCGTTAAATTTACATTAACTAAAAACATATTGAACTTATAACATCTAGTAGACCAATCCTAAATAATGGATGTAATGTTTGGTTTGTTATCCACGCAATAACACTTACATTTAAAAAAACCAAATTATTTTGTATAACTAAAACAATTAGTTTATACAAAATTACAAAATTTAACACTTATATAAAAAAAAACATTACATTTAAAAAAATAGCAATTGTTAAAAATTTAATTATGTGTAAACCATATTGAACCTAGAACACCTCTTAGGGGTTTGGATGTTGTATCCAATTAGTTTACACAAAACTAAAAAATTTAACACTTATCAAAAAAAAAAAACTTTTAAAACAAAAAACAAGTGTTAAAAATTAAAGGGAAATTGTTAATAATGCCACTTTTTCAATGCCACTTTTCAAAAATACCCCTTTTTAAAAATCTTATAAAAAATGCTCTTAAAAATATAAGATTTACCCAAATATGTATGTAATATTATTAAAACATACACAAACTACATTTCTATGTATCTAAAATTTTATAAATACTTTATAAATACCTTATAAATGCATTTTAAATACCTTTAAAAACCTTTAAAATATCTTGTAAAACCTTTGAAAAACCTTAAAAATCCTTTAAAATAACTTGTAAAACCTTTAAAAACACCTTATAAAACCTTATAAATACTTGGATCGAGTCTTCAAATAGTAGTTACAATCCATAAGTACCTTATAAACCTAATAAAACTTTATAAAAATTTCAGATTTAAAAAGGGGCATTTTTGAAAATGGACATCTAAAAGGGGCATTTTTGAAAAGGGGCATGAGAAAAGGGGTATTTTTGCTAATCCCCCAAAATTAAATTATGTGTAAACCATATTGAACCTACAATACCTCTTAGGGGTTTGGATGATGTATTCAATTAGTTTACACAAAAATTAAAAATTTAACACTCATAAAAAAATAAAAAATAAAACAAAACATTAAAAAAAAAACAAGTGTTAAAAAATTAATTATGTGTAAACCATATTGAACCTAGAACACCTCTTAGGGGTTTGGATGATGTATCCAATTAGTTTACACAAAATTAAAAAAATTTAACACTTAAAAAACCAAAAAAAAAAACAAAACATTTAAAAAAACAAAACAAAACATTTAAAAAAAAACAAGTGTTAAAAATTTAATTATGTGTAAACCATATTGAACCTAGAACACCTCTTAGGGATTTGGATGTTGTATCCAATTAGTTTACACAAAATTAAAAAATTTAAAATTTATAAAAAAACATTAAAAAACAAAATCAATAATTAAAATACTAAAATCAAAATATTTTTTTGAATGCCATCCAGCGAGACAAATTTGGGCTCTTTCTCAAATTCCTTCGGTACCGGGAATTTTCCCTACGGCTTCTATTTACGAGAACTTGGATCACTTATTTTGGAGAATACCTTCAGAGGTAGATTCATCTTCTTATCCATGGATAATCTGGTACATTTGGAAAGCAAGGAATGAAAAATTCTTTGACAATGTGGATAAAGATCCATTAGAGATCTTACGCTTTGCGGAGAAAGAGGCGCAATCGTGGCAGTTAGCTCAAATTGAGCTTCATACTGATAACCATGATTTTTTCGATAATGAAAATCGAAATCGAGTGAGGGAAACCTCACTGGATTCTAACTATTCAGGATATCGTTGTTTCATAGATGGATCATGGAAAGGAACCGATACTTTTTCAGGAACAGGATGGTATTGTACATCATCAAATGGAGAGATGCCAACCATGGGAGCTGCCAACATCCGTAGAAGTCTATCTCCTCTACATACAGAAGTCGAAGCTCTTCTTTGGGCGATGAAGTGTATGATTGGTGCTGACAACCAAGATGTAGCTTTCTTTACAGACTGTTCAGATTTGGTGAAGATGGTGTCTTCTCCTACCGAATGGCCGGCTTTTTCAGTGTACCTGGAGGACTTTCAGAGTGACAGGGAAGAATTTTCAAGTTTTTCTTTATCTTTAATTCCTCGTAGCGCAAATGTAAAAGCGGATAAATTGGCTCGACAAGTTCGTACCGAACCGCTTCACATCACTTATGTAAACAACATTCCGCAGGAATGACTCTTTTGAGCGTTTAATTTAAGCTGTTGACAAAAAAAAAAAAAGAAAAAAAGAAGAAAAGGAAATTAAGAGAGGTACCTTGTTCGACGAAACAGAGACTAATCGATCACCCTGAGGAGACATCTTTCATCATGATCACAGCCATGGAAACACATTCTCTCTTTGTCTCTCTCATCGTTGTCCTCTTTCCCGCTGTCGCATCCTTGGCCGTCTTGGTGCTCTCCTTGGCCGTCGGTGAAAGCGTTTCGGTGGCCCGTCGTTGGCCGGATTTGAAATCGTTTGGATTGAGTGAAGATGAGTTACAACATAGGATGGAGATCAAATTACGAAACGAGATTATATTTTCCGCTCCCATCAATCTTACGGAGAAGAGATAATGAAAGATGAAGAATGAAAGATGGAAGAATGCTTTTGTTTTGGTACCGAATAAGAAGAAGAAGAAGAGAGAAGAGAGAAAGAGTGAATATTGATATCTCAAGGAAGAAGAGAGAATGAGTGATGTTGGAGATTAGCATTCTCTCAGGCGTTTATTTATAAGCATTAGCTTCTTCCAAAACAAAAAGGAAACTTTCGATTGTTATTTCCTTTTTCTTTTGTAAACTTAAGATTGTTTCCTTTTCACATAATTGGGCTCCAAAAGGATCAATACCCGATTTCCTTCTTTGGACCGGCAACTAACTCCTTGATGCTTATATTCGAGAACAGGAAGAATAAGCAAGTTTTGCCTTCTTTGAAGCTTCTACGATCTCTGGAATTCTGTTCCTCCTAATGCTGATCCTGTTTATGGAGCCATTCATCCTCAATCTTGATTCTGACCACTAACACCTGCAACTCCACGGCTATGAGGGAAGGAATGTTCTTCTTGCTTGATCGTGGAGGTGAATAGGTGATAGAATCTGCTATGTTGAGTTCCCTAAGAAGTTTGAAGGTATTGACCCAAATGATTGTTATGCAAACCACAAAACTGTTTCTTTGATGTTAGTATTATGTCTGCAAGTCTTGTATTTACAAGAAAGAGCCATTAATAGTGGGATTGCTACCGGGGATGGTCTATTACAATGCACAGACCACAGAGAATAAGCAAATAGGAACAGAGTTTTGGTGATTACAAAAATGCAGTGTAAGGATTGCCATTGCTTGGTCACACATGTATGCTGTTTGGTTAGTCGGAAACAGAGTAAGAAGACATCAGCCACATGACATTTCGAATATAAAAAAGCAACATCTTTAACCATATATAAGGTTATGTTAAGCAGGCTCGAGACAGAGAGGTAAATCATCTTTTTAAACTTGAGAACCAAAGTACGACTAGTATTTGCACAAAATTACTTTCAGAATCAATAGTAAACAACAAAAACTCTTTAACCTAACTATACTTTTATTTTTTCTCCCCACAAGAACATATTCAACCGCCTATACAACACTTTCTCTCTTCGAAACCGTCTATCCAATCTGTCTGAAGCAACACTACTATAGTACTCTTCCGGCAAGGTTTTCTCATCTTCTTTAGAATTGTTTCCAGTTGAACCAATCGGTCTGGACCAATGACTCCGCTAATCTCTGGTTTAGTCCTCATGGCTGGTTAAAACAAACAAAACCCAACTTAAGATGAGATTGTGATTCTGTACAATGCAATTATGAATCCATATATGCAAGAAAAAGTCCATAACTTTAAAAAAGCAATTTGATCCCGCAAAAAAAATAAAGTTTCAGAAAGTGACTGGTAAGTTATAGATGGTAATCATCAGATTCTTTGAAACAAAAAAAAATCATCAACAAGTGTCTTATGCATAGCTTGTTCAATGCAGAAACTAGGTAAAGATTCGAGATCCTAAAGTTATTACTCAATCCCACTCATATGTGCTTATCTATGAAACTCTTTTGCCTTTATAAGCTAGATGCACTAAGAAACTAAAAAAAAAGGGTGAAACAATCACTGGATCAGTGTGCTCATGGTGTTCCGCAATGCATCAGGTCCAGTAAGAAGCAAGAAATGTGCCCTACCACTAACCCAATTCCCCCACTATTACAATCTCCACCAATTGGCCAACAATGGAGTATTAATTATAAAGCAAATCATAAAGCTTCTATCTTTTTTGTTTATGTAATGTTATGAGTGCCAAAACAAAAGCCATAGCCATACCCAGAAATGGTAAAAACTTCACATATGCTTAAAAGAGTAAAAAAAGCCAACCCCCCAAACACAAAGAATGAAGATTCCTAACTTATAGTTGCACCACTATTGATGAACAAACGCAGACAATAAGCAAAACAGAGTTTTGTATAGAGAGTTTACCGATGAATATGTCGAACTCAGAAACCGGTGTCAATGGGAGTGTTTATACAAATCATAAGGTGCCCACAATGTGTCTAAAGGACATGGAAGCTTCGAATCAAGTCTTAACCATGGCTTACCACTACCTGACCAATGAAGCAAACTCACAGGACCAGAATGCAAATCACGGCAGCTACCTCTAACATTATCTCCACCAAGTCCATGTTGATTCCACCGATGTGAAATCGGAGCTACATGACCAGCAAATACCAGAAGAAACGGAGGAAGAGAACCCAGCTCATAAATCCTCTCCATCTTCTGAATCTCCATCCATTTCTCAATTCGTTTCGTGAACCTAAATCGTCTCCACTTCTTCAAATCAATCACCATTACACCAGTATTGAAGTAACAAGGGTTTCTCCCTTTGAACGTCCCGTTAAACCTCTTATCTGACCAAAAACCTCCGGTGAAGTATTTAGTGAAATTGGCGTGACAATACTCCGGAGCTCCGATTGTTCTCTGGCCTAAACCCGTTTTCCAAAGCTTGACGATATCATCGACGACGACGAGATCCGAATCCAAGTAGATGACTCGCTTAACGCAAGGCTCGAGCAGATCCGCCAAGTAATTTCTAGCGTAATTCAACGGTTGCTCTAGTGCTTGTCTCACGGAAGAAGAAATCAAAGACTGTACGGTCTCAGGGGCAAAATAGTAAATTTTGAGATTCGTCAATTTGGGGAAAGTTGAACGAATCAGAGATTCTAGGTTTTGAATCTCGGAGGAGACGAGGAAGTGGAAGAAGACGTTTTGAGGACACATTGAGTGTTGGAGGATAGAATTGACGGCTGCGATTGAGCCACGGAGGTAATCGATGTCTAGAGTGATGGCTACGTGGACGAGATTAGGGTTACAGACGCCGGAATCTTCGCCGGAAGATCTGCATTGTTCGGCGTTACGGAACATTGGAGATTCTCTGAAGGAGGAGTGATCGGAGTTTTGTTGTGGTTTGAATTCGTCGGCGTAGGGGTGAGATGATCGGATAGCTGCCGCCGGAGAAAAGGATTGGAGAGAAGGAGAAAGGAGAATCATGGCTAATGCGGCGGAGAAGATGGCGGAGAATCTCGTAATCCAATGCATTGCGAGAATGCAGAAGAAACTACGAAGCTTCAAAATTTCTAAGGAAACAGCAATCAGAAAACTTTCATGGTGGAGAAGAAATTGAAAGAGGCGTACGATAAGAACCCAGAGAGGCACATTTCGCATGTCAATGCTACTCTGCGCCTTCTCTCTTTTCTTCTCCTCTGCTTTTTACTCGTTGCTTGAGTGCTCTAGTTTAAAGAGGAAGAAGAAGATGAAGAAGAAGAGAGAAATAGTTATAATGTTTTTTTTTTTTTTAATTTCACTGCAAATGGGAGTGTAATATTTTTATTTATAGTGGTTGGTAATTATTTAAAATCTATAATAACATTTTTTAAATATTTTTGATGATTAAATGTGGATTAATTTAAGCAAGTGGAAGTGGATACGTGAAAGTAAAGAAGAAAATTAATATTGTGAAGAGCAAATGTCATTGTCCTCTTTGAGGCTGGTGATGATTCTATTTCAAGATCTGTACTTTCTTTTTTTCTGTTACTTACCAGTTTTACAGTAGATTTTGTACAATGTGTAATTTGCATTCGAATTTTTTTAAGTATGCATTCGAGTTCTTAAAAGATAACGATGTTTAGATTTCTTTTCATGGAGCATGTTTAAGTTTAAACTTTAGGTTAGTGAGTATATAACAACACACATAACCAAAATGGAAGATGAAATAATACAAAATATATATAGAAGCTTCACCGAAACGTCGACCCAACCTAACCAACACCGACTACATTTCGTGCCCGATAAATTATCTAACATGATACCCTATATAATAGTATTAAACATATCTTCTTTTTGCTGATTAAATATAATAATACTACTTTTTTGAGGGTCGGATAATGCTTTTTTATAACTACCGTTATCATAAGTTTTATTGAAAGTTAACGTTACAAAATAAAGATTTGTTAATTCATAATAGTATTGCACTCTTATTAAAGTGAACGATAATGAGTTAATGACGATTCTTGCCTTGGAAATGAACGATGAAGACTGACACAGTGACACACTTGAACAAATCGAATCTTAATTTTACATATTGCTCTGCTTCAAGAATCTAACACGTACCATATGAACGATGAAGAGAACTAGAGAAGCTTTTTTGGGTTCTCCTTTTCTGTCACTTTCTTCTTTTACTTTTATCGGTTTATCGATTACTTTCCAGCAGTAAATAACCGTCATTAATCATCTGTCATGTGTCTATCTCAAATCAAATACCATTAATTAAAAATCAATATAGAAATCTTTCCGTACCCATTTACTTTTTTTTTTAATGTAAAACTGCACGGTTAGAAATATTTTTAGTAGTTAAAATCTGGCTTTTGGATCTTAATTTCCTAACACTTACGACTTTTCATATTGCATACAGTAATTAGTAAAACTTAGGTGAAGTATATTTAACATGATTTACATTTTCAGATGGTCGACGACATTGGTTTCAAGAAGTTCATAAATAATATGGTTTGTCACAACTGTCTTCATCGTTTTTTTTATGGTTTGTCAAATCAAAGTAACTAGCAATTAAATTTCGATTTTCTTGTATATTTGCGTTTTTTTGTTAGAATTTGTCAAATCAAAGTAACGAGCACTTAAAATACGATTGAGACAGTAAAATCAAAGTAATGGCACAACTATAGCTACTTGATGAGTATCCGACTTGCTCCATATACTTATTGAGAAAAATGCGTTTACACACATGGTTATGCGTTTAGACTTTAGACAATAAAATCGTAGATAAAGCAAAACTAAAAAAAAAAAAAAAAAACCCAAAAGGTTTAGTTTATAATCTCACTGTTGTTTAATATCATTATGATAAATACTAGAGACCTTGCTAATGAAGGAGAGATCAATGGGTTACATGATGAGAGTAAAATATAATTTCCTAGAACCAGAAATCGAATATCTTTTTATGAATGTAAGAATTAATAACGGAGAGAGACAACAAATAGCTGAAGATCGCTACAACATTATTGAAACAGAGAGGAAACTAGGAAGGCGAGAGCAACAATTAAACTGATGGAAGCAGATATCCCCGGGGACGCATCTGCGGCTGTGATAATGATCGGTGGTCTAGGTTTATTCGGAACACATTCATTGCAAGTCGGCGGCATCGGCGGTGGAAGCGGTAACGGGCAGTGATTACACGGTGGTGGTGGTGAAGGAGGAGGAGGTGGTGGAGAAGGAGGAGGTGGAGAAGGTGGTGGTGGACAGAAAATCTCTAGCGGGGGTGGAGGCGGTGGTAGCGGTGGAGGACAGAGAATTTCTAGTGGTGGCGGAGGCGGTGGAGGTGAAGGTGATGGAGGAGGTGGCTGATCACATGGATTCTCACATTCTAAACACATTGCACATTCAATCTCTTGTTTCTCTGTTATTCTGAATGCAACAACAGATTGTGATATTAAAAACAGAGTGACGAAACAGAGAAACAACTCCATTTTTAAGAGGAAGAGAGAAATTGTTGCCATTTATCAAATGGTGGAAGAATGAAGAAGAAAGTCTATGGCTTTTTAAAGAACTTGACTTTTTGTTAAGAACCTTCAAAAGCAATAACTTTGGAATCTGATACCATTTTAATTTTACAGCTTTGGATTGAAGAACAAAACCCTTTTTTGGACCATATCATAACTGTAACCCATAATGTTCGAACAAATTCTCTTGATTTTAGGGTTTCTAGAGATTTGGAAGATAGATATAAAGAGGCTTTGTTCACTTTCGTAAGGAACCAAAATGTCTCAATGAAGCTAATTGACAAAAGTTTATTCAGACACTTTTTCAACATTTTATTGTAGTCTTTAGTTTAAAACCACTCGCCTCTCATTTCTCTTAAGATTCTAGAATGAGGAAACGTTTCAGGATCGCCACGTTCTGCGTTGCGTTTGAATATCATCGTAGCTTTCATCAAAGCTTCTTCCGCCGTGTCTAGCTGCTCAGGCAACCATCCGATCACATCTTTCCCGGCTGCGTACGCCGTTCCATCGGTAGCTTGCGTAATAGGTTTCCGAGTATCGGCAAATTCAATCTCCGATAACGGAGAAGCTTTGTGGTGTTTGTAAAACTCTTGGTCGCTCGCTGTTTCACCTTCTCTCCGCCTCTGCTCTTCTGCTTCTCCTTCATCTCTTGGCCACGGTGAACCGTCTAGCCCGGCGCAGCTCACGGAATCAAGCGACGGCGGAGAGGCAGTGGAGTTTTTTCGTTTCTGTTGGAAATGAGGTTCTGACGGGTGACCAACAGGAGTACTCTCTAGCTTATGTGCGGTGGCGCGTGGAGATTTAGGCGGTACAAGCGGTTGCTCTTCTAAACTCGGTCGTGGAGTATCGTCTACGATTTCTTCTGCCGCTGTCTTAGGGTTTGCAACATCATCCATACCCTGAAACACAAGGAATAACACTTAACAGAGATTTTTTTTTTGTTTATTTTAAATTTAAAACATCTTCACATCCGAATTGATTAATTTTTAACATGGTCTGAATTTAAAAATTATAAATTGGATAACTACAAACTTGATTCAAAGAGTATTAAAATTAATGATCGAATAACACATTAATGAAAAGCTGAGAAATAGAAAAATTTATACTTCAGGGTCTGTCGGATAAATAGCTGGATCAGCTCCATCGTTACCGGAGTGGATCTCTGGATCAGCGGTGCGGCCAGACGTGGATGATCCAAACGCTAAACGCCTTTGAGCGATTGGTCGAACACGGGAACGCGCCGCAGAAGCAAACGCTAATAATCGAGATTGCATCATCATCATCTATCTTTCTTCACAATTGTTTTTGCTGCGTTTTTTTCGCTGATTAAAAAACTTTATAGTAGCGATTTTTTATAATTAGTCCTTTGGTTATCAAAGGCGTGAGACTCGTGTTGACACGTGGCCATGACATGCCTCGTTGTTAATGACGTGGCTAATTTAGAATGACTAGAAAAACTTAGAAGCTGCTCGGTGCCTCCAAATTTGTCATCTTAATTTTTTTTTTTTATTTGTCAATCTTAGTCCAGAAAGAAAAATATGCAAAATTTGCATTACGCTATTGGTAAAAAAAATAAAATAATAATAGTAAAAACTCATAAGAGCCTCAAATTATTAAAAGGTATACACAATTACGTGAAATGTGAATCTGTGACCTATTAAAATTGTAAAACAACTCTTTATCTACTAACTACATAAATTTTGCCGTCAAAAACAAAATGACAGTCTATTTTATCATTTGCCGCATTAATATATGCAAAATTTAATTTTTTTTTTTTTTTTTTTTTTTTTTTTTTTTGATCTATTAAAATTGCATTACAACGCTTTACCTAACTAAATATATATAATTATATATGACATTCAACTAAATATTTGCAATTTAATTTGCGATATTTATGGTCGACAAAAAAAAAAAAAAATTGCGATATTGTAGACTGTCTATTTTTCTTATTATTTTGCATTAATACTGGCTATTATTATAGATTTACATTGACGGAACTCGAAGCTTATCTATAAAACTGATTTTTGTGTAAATAAGACGAGTAGATGTTGATTCTGCATAAATTTGGTAGTTTAAAAGTCTCTTTTTTTTTTTTTCATTTGTCTCTTCATGTTTTTTTTGCAGAAGAGCAAAAACACACAGTAGAGCAGATAAAAAAACACTTTAATCTCCGCCATAAATGCAAACAAAAAAAAAAATTCAAACTTCTAAAAATAGAAAAATACAAATTCAATCTAAACGTGACCCAAGAAAAAAACCTACAAATTTTAGAAACGACCACGAGAGACCTCTGTTCTTAAGTTCAAGCAACTTAGAATATCTTTGATTCTACATAAACCTTCAACCAAAGTTGAATCCACCAGTAGGAGCATTACCACTTTGGTTTCCGAATTGGAAACCGGAAGCCTGAAAAGTCTCAGGAGCATCCACACCGCCAATTTCATCCTCCTCTTCTTCTTCAGCCCAGTACGACTCGAGGATTTTGACAGCTTTCTCGTAAATCTCATTATTATCGTGACTCTGAAGATTCTCAATCTTCTCCACACCTTCTACTTCTTCAATCATCTGCGCATAGAGATTACCGTTTCCTGTGTTGCCTAGATTCTGCTCAGCTTCACCTACTTTGAGAATGTTCTCTAGACCTTCCAAAGTCACCGTGACAATCCTTGGATCAGGACACGTGAGGAGATCACACAGGGGTTTAATGCAGCCTTGGCTCACGAGAAACCTGCAACGAAATAACAGTTTCAATAACAAGAATCGCTAATCTAAAAAGACAGAACAAAAATGAGATTTTTGTGTTTTTTTTCCTTACTTGATTTGGTCATGATTGCCACCAGAAGTTGCATTAGAAATTGCCCAAACAGCTTCTTTTTTAATTTCAAATTCACCGTTCTGAAGAAGGTTAACCAGAGGCTGAATAATGCCTGCTTGAATCACTTCCTGCACAACAAATTTTTCAGTGTTTAAAATACAACTAAAAATACGACTTCTGGTTTTATAAAAGAAAATCCGCGTTTTCGACATTGTTATTTGTTAATGAAAATAACTCACTTGAATTTGACTTGAGTTCCCAGCTGTAATGTTAGAGATCGTCCAGCAAGCTTCCTTCTTGATACTCTTCTTGTATGTGTTTTTCAAAAGGTTTAACAAACCTGGAAGCGCTTGACTGCTAATAACCTCCTGTTATGGAGAAAACAGAGATGATTTACTAAGTATACATTTAACCTATAGGAGACAGTTTGTATATATAAAAGGTAGACAGTTGGGGATAGTATTGGTACCTGAGTCTGAAGATCATCTCCGGTTACAATATTACCAATGGTACGGAGAGCTGGAACCAGAACTGAGGGTGATGGATGACTAAGAAGACACAGATGACGAGATTAGATTAAGATATATGTGTATGAATATGGAATTGGTTGCTAAAAGAAAAATACTTACGCTAAGAGCTGAACAAGACGAGGTATGACACCAGCGTCGATAACAGTTTGTATTTTCTCGTTTGTACCATCAGATAGATATGAGAGAGCCCAGGATGCATCTGTGAGAACTTCTTCGTCGGTTGAATGCAGAAGGCGCTCAAGAGCTGGTAAAGCTGCTTTTGTCTGCTCAACAAATGCAATGACACATTCTCAGATTAATAAACAGTTAAGAAAAAAGATTTTAAACACTTCAAATTGGTTTATATATGAAAGGAAACCTGTTCAAATGCAGGCTGCGGCTTCCCTCTGCAGAAATTTGATAATGTCCATGTAGCATTCCTCAGCATGGAGAGCTTTGAATGCTCATTGAATTGAGCCAAAAGAGACATCATGGCCTCGCAACTTAGGACATGATCACGGCACTTTGGCGAGTCACCAGCAACGTTTCCCAATGCCCAGACAGCCTGTAATCAGGGGGAAACATAGAACTCAGGGTGTTTAAACAGTCTGAATGGAGTTATCTACAATTTGATCTAACAGTTTCTTTGCCAAAACAATAGACAAAAATTGATACCTGTTCTCGGACTTCATCACTTGTAGAACTAAGAAGTTTGACGAATAAAGGGACAGCCCCACTATCAATAATGACTTTAGTGTTCTCAGATGTCCCTGAAGCGATATTGGTAAGCGCCCAAGCTGCCTCAAACTATAGTAATACAGGCAGAAGCAAATAGCAAAAGCCAATCAGCATATAAATCAAAATACAAAGCTACACATCAATATCAACAACGCAGGCTCACCTGAAGTTGAGTGAAGTCATCCCTGGAAAGAAATTGCACAATGCGAGGAACAACACCAGATTGAACAACTTCATTGATTGGAGGGTTTCGCTCTACAAAAAAATCAACAACCACAATAAGCGAAAACTAAAACTAAAACCACTAAACGCCATATTAAGAGATTTCCTAAATCACAAACCAATTGAAAGCAATTTCCTGAAGCCAGCCGTCGCCTCCAGTTGTATGTTTCTATCCTCTGACATTACTCCAGCAATCATCTGTTGTATATTCTCCAACTGCAATTGAAACAAGTAGCTTAAAAACCCCTTCAAATTGCAGCATATTATCACTAACCCATGCAGATTCTGAAATTAGGGTTATCTAAATTCAATTTCATCGAGAGAAATCTAAACTAGTACTCAATCTGAATCCAAAATCCCCAATCTTAATCATCTGAGTCAATCTCAAATCTAAAATCATCTGAAATCGAGAGAGAAACAAAAAAGCAATTAGAAGTAGAACACGAAGAACGTACTCTCTTTTCCGTAGGAAGAGACGAGGAGAAATCCTGCCCTAGCTGTGACGCCATGGAAGGAGTAAAACCTTCACGCCGCTTCTTCTGCAAGTTCTCCTCTCTCTTATTCTTACGAATCTCAACCATGTTATCCTCCCTTCTCCGGCGACCTTCATCGGCGTCCACAGATACCTTATACCTGTTCCGACGAACCTCAGTCTTCGCGCTCGGTTTATAAGACATGGTAGAGCTTAATCGAATCAACGGAAGACAGAGAATTCGTAGATTCTGAAGGAATCGATGTAGCCGAACAACGAATTGATCGATCAAGTTTTTGATTCTCAGGTTTCGGAGGAAGACGACGAAGTAGGAGAGAATAAGGGTTTTGGAGTGATGCGATAATTTATACAACGTGACGTCGGGACTTGAGGAGGCTACGGTTTATTGTCGGTGAAAAGACGATAATGGGCTTGGGCTTTAGTATTAATCACGATATTGCCACAATTTTTGAATTTGAAATCGCAACGTCTACAAAAGGTATAGCGCGATTTTATTTTAGTAATAATACTGATTACTGACGTGTCTTTTGACTTTAATAATTTAAAAGACTTTATTAAATAAAGTAGCCCAATAACGGCCCAATGCTTTCTCGCTTGGCCGTATTTAGTCAAAATTAGTTGCCGTTCAAGTTATGTAACTAGAGTGAGAAATGATAGTTATCATAGTTAGAAATGAACGAGAATCCATTTGAAAAGAAACTTGAAATAGCAAAGTTGTTCGAGTTAAAGAGAATTTTTCATTTTGAGAATGTTTCAGTGTCAAGCAATGCTCCATCTTTCTTCCAAAGTTAGTGTTAGTCCTTTAAGTATTTGTAGGATCTCTGAGTTACGTGGAGCCATAAACATTTGATTACAGTAGATAAATCAATCATGGCCAAAAATATTCACATTAGGCCGGATCGCAACTTTTAATTTATATAATTTCATTCTTTGACATTGCACAAGATAAGAGATAACTGGGCTTTTGTGTGTGTGTATGAGTGTATCTCTTCTAGAATGATGTTTATCGACCCATGATTAAGAAAAATTAAAATAGATAAATACTCGAAGGGTAAAAGGAAAGACTTGAAGTGTACGGAAACAAAAGAGATGACCAAAAGTTGTTTCACACCGATCAAAATTATTGTCTTCAAACCAAAGTTTCACATTACTTCTCATTTGGTAAATCAAATCAAATGTTCACCCATTTCTCTTTTACTTTTTATACACATATAAATATAAAATTTTGCGGGTGTTGCCTCCTCCATCTTCTTTTGTACATGAGAAAAAAAAAAAGCTTCTTCTACGTAATCGAAGGCAGCAATGAAAACCGGAGAATGGAACAAGGAAAGTGATGATCATCACGAGTAGACATGTCAATTAGGGCCAAAGCCCGCGGGCTAGCCCGGCCCAGCCCTGAAAAACAGCGGGCTCGGGCTTAAAAATATATGTCCAGAAAAAATCGGGCCTTTCGGGCTAAGCCCGTTCGGGCTAAAGGGTTTTTTGGGCTTAGCCCGGCCGGGCTCGGGCTAGCCCGAAAAGCCCTTTAAAAAATATTTTGATCTTTTTTTGTTAATATTTTCCTTTAATTGTTAGATTTGTTGTAAAAAATTTGTTTGATAGGGTTGAAAACTCTAAACATAGTTTTTTTTGTTGTGTATTACTATAAATCGAAAAAGCAAATATTAGCTCTACTACCTAATTTGAATTATTTTGATTTTATATTTTATCTAGTATAAGTTTAAACAATTTATTTGGATTATTTATTTGATTTTAACTCTCTTTTTAAAAAACTAAATTAGCGTTAGTGGTTATTTAAATTTTGATTGACTCGTTTCATATATAGATTCTTTTTTAAGAGATATTATAACTTATAAGTTTGTTTTTTTGTTGTCGGAAGAAAAGCCCAAAAAAGCCCGGAAAAGCCCTGTAGCCCTGTTAGGGCCGGGCCGGGCTTTAAAATATAGGCTCGGAATTTTTACGGGCCGGGCCGGGCCGGGCTCAAATATGTACGGGTTTTGCGGGCTTCGGGCCGGGCCGGGCCGGGCTAGCCCGATTGACATGCCTAATCACGAGGTAAAGGTGGAGGAGAAATTAATCAAATGATGTGAATGGGAAATATCACTTTGGAAGAGTTATTGCGTATAGGGCATTGTCCGGTACAATCAATGGGCGCGGGTTTGGAAGTCGCAAGGTAAGAATCGGTAACGTCAAACCCGATGTTCCGAGCCGACTTAGCCGAGTTTCCGTAGCTCAAGAAGAATAATTATGATTTTATTTTGTAAAAAAAATGTGGATCATAGAAGTAAATCCTTCTCATGTGTTAAAGGAAGATATCAAATATATATAGCGACAAGAATGCTTAATTAGACCATAGTTTTTTTTGTAGATAATTTGTTGTGTAAGCATCTTAAATGCAATTTCATGACAAACATAAGCATCAACGGACAAAAACTTAATCACCTCTTCATCAAGAACTTCATTAGCCAAGTCGCTCCGACAAATCTCCCTCTTCGGTTTCCACGAACCAAATCCCAACAACTCACAAGCCATAGCCTTCAAGCTAAGCCTTGATCTCTCACCATAACTGAAAGGAAAATTGACCTTTACCAAATCACGAAGATCAACTTTCTTAACAACTCTAACTAGCACGCCGAGCTTAGCTACCGTTCCTACAATACCTATTCCTACAAAAACAAATCTCTCATCGCGAAATAAATCACTAAGGCATTCGCCGAGGTTGGTGTTTTGATTCATATGAAGTAGTTGGAGTATGAGGCATTTGGTTTTGATGCATAGTTGAAGAGTCGAGATTTTTGCATCATCTTGAGGATTGGTCTTGGAGTTTAGAGAGATGATCAACGTTGGTTCTTCTTGGTAGGCTAATCGTACGGCGAGGATCCAGTTCTTGGCTATGGAAACTTCACTTGTCACCGTTGTTTCTATAAGTTTTTCACGAAATGGAATAAAATGTGTAATCGTTACCATCACTCGCTATGATATTTCACTTACGCATATGTCCATGCATCGATATACGGTTGGAATTATCAAACTCTTCAATTTTACTTTAACAAAAAAAAAAAACTCTTCAATTTTCGAAAAGAACTCAATTCAATGAATGGGTCAAATGTGCTATTAATAAAACCAATTTCCGATTGATATGAGATAATTAAACACATTGAACATAAAAATATTTAATGAGACTTTAATCTGCAAACCAAGTTTAATATTCCCCACAAACACAAATACATATATTTCATTCTCCTATTTTTTTCATTAATTAATTGAAATACACTCACAAATTAAATTACAAAACAAAAATGAAGAAAAAAGTATAGGAATTAAATTAAATTATAAAACCCAAAACAAAATCGACCAAGTAATAAAAACCTGAATTAAGATTGATCCTTCGTCCACGTCGCACGTAATTAAGCCCATCTTCATGCATATATGATGATGACGTAAAATTCATAGATGATGCGAACCATAATTAAGAAGATCATTTATTTCATCACTATCCCTTTGGCTTTGCAACGATCAGTGTAAACCTGATTTTGCATCTTCATTTGCGCATAGAACCTCACGATGAATTCCTCAGCTTTCTCATCAATCATATCATCTCCTCCTTCGACATCACTATAACATTCATCTTCTTCCTCATCAATATCATCATCATAAGGATAATCCAAATCCCGTAAGGACATGGCTGATCCATATCCCGAGATTCCTGATGATGATGAAGAGGAAGCCGCCGTGAAAACCTCCATAGCCTCCGATAAACGATCTCCGGAATCATCATCATCATCGTCATTATCATTATTACCACCGTCTCCTCCCATCTCCGTCGCTGGAAGAGGAGGAGGAGCCGGAGGGAGAACAATTGTATTAATAAAGTTTGACGATGGCATTATCGTAATTTCTGAACGGACTTTACGTACGGACTCAACAACTCGCCGCCAGAACCTGGTGTTGAAGGTCTTTCTCCTCCGGCGACGACGGAGCATGAACATGACGACGGAGAACATGTGCATCCCACGTGATGGCTTTTTCTTCTTCATGGTCGTCTTATTTATTTGCTCTATCTCTAATTGCTCACCATTCTCTTCTTTTGTTAATAACTGATCATCACCATTCTGATTTATTGTTTCCATAGAAAAAATGAAATCAAAATATCAGAAAGATGACGAAAAGTTTAAGAAAAATCAAAAATCTTCTCCCTGGGTGAACAGGGAGAGAGATTTTTGTTTTCTTGAAGAAAGATTTCGGTCCGTGGAGGAACTATTTTTGTGTGCAACGATCTCTATTTATGTGTTGTTGTGTATAAGGGGTGTTATATGATAGTTTATGAAATATTGGGGTTAAATAATAAGAGATTAAATTGTATAGGGGTTGAAGGAAGTTGTATCTTTATTACCGTCATAACTAGAAAAACAGCGCGCTTTTTCTGCCGTCGTTACGGGACGATGAGAATTAAGAAAAGAAAGAGACAGCCTAAACCTAGACTAATTTTATAATTATTGCGGTAATTGATTTAATTCAAGAAACAAAAATTGTGTGGTTATAAATTTCTAATTAATAACATGCTATAGATGGATCCATGATACAAGTCTAATTTTATAGAAACGCAATATTTACTTAGATATTCCTCAATTTGGCAAGTTTAGTGAAATAATTTTTTTTTTATTAAACTCTTTAGTGAAATAAATTTATGTTGCAACATAATCAAGGAAACAAAGTTCTCAATCTGAAAAATACGTTTTTTCCCCACAATCGATAATGATTTTAACTAAATAAAAAGAAAAGTAGAAACAAGATCTATGATAGGAGTAGATCACGGTTGCGTGGAAAACAATTAAATTGAGACAGCCATAAGACACTATTCAACGGCAGCGTAACTAAACCAATCAAACCTTATCACACACGTCTCTGATTATCTCTACAATTATTATTTGATTACAACGAAGGTTCCATTGTATCTTAATTATATTTGTACCATTATGGACTTTTTGCATGTTTAGCTTATACAATTTAATAGCCAATCTAATTTAGGTCAAAGTCAAACTCATTAGAATTTAGAGAAAGAATGTAATGGGCCTTATGAGAATTCTCTAGCATTGCATCAGTATTTTAGAAAATGTAATGGGTCATATGAGAATTCTCTAGCATTACATCAGTATTTTAGAGAATGTAGTGGGCCTAATTGTAGCCCATTTGAACCAAAATATTGCGAAGAATCGTCGTCGTCGCTTTCACCTGAGAAATGGAGAATATCGAGGTTTTGAGGGGAGTTCTGGACTAATGTTGTAGGACAGCGAAGGATTGAAGCTTGCAGACTGCCAGACTCTGATGATATGAGGTTATTTCTTAATAGTATTTACCACCTCTTGAGAAATTCTGGATTCTACATGAATTTCCATGTTAGACCGGTTGCCGCAAATATGCACCACACTAGGGTTTTTCCAATCATCGTACAATCTCTAGAAGTTCTTGGTATTCGTACGAAATTTGTTTTACATAGAACTGATGTGGAGGGAGTAGAAAAACAAATCGATGACAAAAGGATTTCCCGTCAAATGATGAGATGGATGCAGAGCCGTGCTTACTTAAGGAGAAAAAGGGCATTTATCATAAGCTACATAAAAATAGAAAATTAAAAGGCCACATTTCTAAAACATTATGCTTAGTAATTCACTTTTAATTAATTTAAGTCAAGAAACAAAAATTGTGTGGTTCTAAATTTCTAATTAATAACATGCTATAGATGGATCCATGATACAAGTCTAATTTTATAGAATCACAATTTTTACTTAGATATTCCTCAATTTGGCAAGTTTAGTACATCTATATATGTTACTTGCACGAATTGTCCGCCACCAAACATGGTTCTTCTTCCATGTTGTGCACTACGTTCCAACATGTTCATTTTCTCTAAAGCATTACACATAAAAGATTCAATGTACATATCGACCATATGTGGTTTCATTTTATATATAAAAAAAATCTATCGAATTACATAAAACCGGATTCTTTTTTATTTTATTTTATAATATGTACATAATTAGAATCTGTTTTTCAACCATCAATATTTGGTCTATAATATATCGAATTGAAGAACCTTTAAAATTCTCAATCTCAAAATCCTAATTATACCCATGTATATTTGTTTTCCCCACAATTGTTAATGATTTTGATTTTAACTAAACAAAAAGAAAAGCACATAACCAAAATCTATGATAGGACACGGTTGCGTGGAAAGCAAATAAATTGAGACGACAGCCGTAAGACATTATTCAACGGCAGCGTTACTAATTAAACCAATCAAACCTTCTCTCTTAAGCTTATTATACAAGTCTTTGATTATCTCTACAATTATTATTTGATTACAACGGAGGTTCCATTGTACGTACGTAAATCTCTATTAAGTATAGTTGTACCATTATTAATCAAGTCCATTCATGATGGATTGATGGTTGAACTTAATTATTACTATGTATTTTGACCAGATCATTAGGTATTGACATACAAAAGAAATAAAAATATACATAAACGGCGAAAGCTGTTTTTTTCGTTGTATGTTGAAGTTTTTAAGATTCATTCAACTTTGTTTTGTCATGAGATTCCTAATTTTAGTTCTAAATGCCTACATTTTTGTTTTGTGAGAGAAAAGCCACAAGGTCTTTGTGGAATCATGTCTCTGTTTTTTTTTTAAAGACAGTTTGTGGAAAGAATACGTATCCATTTAAATAGTTTAATTTTCATATAACTTGAAAAATACTTCAATAATTTTGATACAAAGTTTAAACGATTATAGTTTTGACTTTTGAGAGTAAATCAAACAAATATAATAAGAATTTGATAAAACGAGAAAAGAAAAAAGAAAACATGTAACTTAAGAAACAAACAAAACGGCTAAACAGCTCAGATCTTGGCCGCGTACAGCCCACGTAAAATCCAGTTTATATGAAATTATCTTAATTTAAACAAACTTATTTTCTTGAATAATTTATACGTCAATCTCTCTCTCTCCGCGTCGACCAAACTTGCAAAAGAAAGCTGCTTGCGTTTGTATTATATATACACACATAAGTGTCCACAACTTCATTCATCACCACACAATCACCTGAAGAACCAAAGCAGCAAACAAAAAAATCATTAAGTGAAGTCAGATCTCGAAAAAGAATTTACAAAAACGAAACCATGGGGGAATCAAAGAAGAAAAGCAGATCAATGGCAACACAAAGAGCTTGGAGTCTTGTTAGAATGGCTCTTCTATGGGGAAGAAAAGGTGGAATCTTCAAGAGATGGCACATGTTCGAGCTCCGCAACTTGTTCTCCAAGCATCTCAGAGCCCTAGCTCATCATAATAGCGTTGACAACGACCGTTATATCTCACGTTACGGCGAGAAACAGCTCTCTTTCGACGAGACTCCCATCTTTAACGTTAAGATGCATCGTCCTGCATCCATGAGGTTCCTCTTGCCTTGCATTGATCCTCCCGTTGACTTTGACTACGACTTCGAATTGGATTGTCAAGATGATACTGACGATGTTAGATCCTACGGCTACTACGATGGTTCTTGTAATGAGAAATTTGATCGTTCGGCTAATGATGATCAAGAAGTGGAAGGAGAGAAGGGTGTTGATGTGAGAGCAGAGGAGTTCATTGCTAATTTCTATGAGCAGATGAAGTTGCAGAGACAAATCTCTTATTTGCAATACAAAGAACACAACGAAGTCGAATGATGAGTATTAAACATGTCAAGTTAATTCATTTTTTTTGTTTGTTATCTATCAATATATAACCCACCATTTTCCTATCAATCAATATTTCTTTCATAGGCTTGTTGTTGGAAGTTTTTTTTGCTAATTAATTCATTTTGATCTAGGATTTGTGGATATTCCTCTCCTTGCTCTTGGTCTTTTTTGCTAAGCTTTTTAACTTAAAAAAACACTTGTATTATACAGTCTTGAAAATAAAGAAAGGTCAATCAACTAGTTCCTTCTCATCCACATCAAAAGCTTTGCGTGCTTGTTTCAGCTCTTCTTGCATCGCCAATAGTTCTCTACACCGGTTCAATTTTGGCAAATCCTGCATAAATCAGAGACGCCAGTGTCATATATGGAATACAAAACCATAATCCGTCTCAATCAATCTTCGAATGTGTAGTTTAAAAAGACTTTACCTTGCGGATAAGATACAAGAAATCATCAACAAGAAGTCTTCCTCGCTTTGAACCAATTTCTTGAGCCTTATGTGTCTGCCACATATTAAAACATCACTTGTTAGCTATTTCTCTGTGCTAGTAATGTAAAACATGGATCCTTCAAAAAAAAGAAAAGCTCACTACCAAATCTGTGACGTATTCCACAACAATGTCTTCTACAAGCGCCACAGTCTCTGGAAGAGGCTAAAGACAAAGGAGTTTTGGATTACTGTCAGGTTGCTAAACACTAAAAGCTCTTACAACACCAAAACCACTTTCAAGCAAAGATTCTCAACCTCATTCGCTTACTTGTATGGAAGAAACTTAAACATATATCAATATGGTTCATATCACAAAATAGTAATTAAGATAGCGGCTTACGTTTTGCTCATCGCCAAATCCATACATCATATGCTGCACTGAAAAATAAACAAAAGCAGCAAAACCATTGTTACCAGAAGAAACGCAAAATGAAGAACACAAGATTTGTTAATCTGGTTTTAGCTAAAGAGTGTAAGAAAATCACTTTACATTCTTTCTGAAAGAGGGTTTTGCATGCGCTTTTCCTGTGGCTGAGAAGTTCCCGCAGCTTTTGATTTAGACGCCGCCGTTGCTGGTGTGTTACTCATCTTCTTCTGATAATCAAAACCCAAATCCTTGAGAGCAAAACAACAGAAAATCTTGAGTTTTCGGTTCTATCACAAATTCACAATGAGTATTATGTATGACGATTACGAAAATCTCACGGCTTCAGGGAAGAACCTGTGGTCGAATTTCTATGTACTGGTTGATGCGGCGGTTATGTTATATGAAGAAGAACAACGTCGTAAGACTGTCTCTGAAGAAGAAGCAAAAAGCCAGAAGAGAATCTTTTGTCTCGTCCCGAGAAAAACAAGATCGTCTTTGGTGAAGAGACAACAAAAGCTTAATGGGTTTTTAACTTCTACTTCTTCATCGCTTATCGATCTTAACCTTCTTCAGTTCCTTCTTTTTCTTCTTCTTCTTCTTCACGTCAACAAGTCTTGCACTTTTGCTACAATATTTTTAAGTTTCATTAATAAAAAAATCCAGAATCCTTAAGATTAGAAATCTCAACGTTATCAGATATTATAACTTGCCTTGGTCAAGAGCATTCTCCGTAAAACGAAACCGAGCATCCACAGGCAACCAGTCCAACAACTGCTTAAAAAACAATTGAAAATTAGGCAAACCAAAACTACTTGCGAGCAATGACAAAATGTATTAGTACACAAGTCAGTCAGGTTTGGCTAGGATGCTTGTTTACCTGCCGTTGATGTCGCCTACTAGTAACATGACTGGTGAAATTATCAAAGCCTTGGCCAAAAAGATCATCATCGCATACCGAGCAACTCCAGTAGGCAGATTCACTGCACTTATCCTCTTCAACTTCCCCTGAATCTGTGGAAAAAAAAAATCAAGTAGCCAGTTAGTTGTCCAACAGATAGCGTCTGAACAAATTAATTGAGAGGACAAAACACACCTGACAGAAAAAAGCTTTCGAGAGAATCAAATGGAACCGGCTCAATAATGATGTATCCCATCGGTTGTTGCCACAAAACATGTTCAGAATTGAAGCCTTTTGCATTGGATATAACCATTATATTAGCGGGAGGTGGATACATACAGGTAAACTGACAAATAAGATTATCTATGGTGCCCGAAAACCCTGTCCCTGTTTCAGAAACTAAGGACTTTAGACCCTCTATTCAACAAGTAAAACATAAAGGCGCAAAGAGAAGAAGATCTTAACTGTACGGGATGGTATTAAGAGCGATTCCACTGGAATAGACTCCTCTCAGGATGTCATTAGGGAGGTCTGTTAGTACGCCAATGGCAGTGATGGTGAGAGGACCAGAGTAGCCTTTATTCTCCAAAAACTGTTTAATACACGGACCAACCTGACGAGGATCACAGCCAGGTGGAACCGGGCACGTCTTGATGTCCCAAAAGACTGCTGTAACAAACTCCAGGTTTTCCTCAAAAGGCTCAGAGAGGGGTGCATTCCATCTTAGAAGTTGATTAGTTACGGGCAAGAGCTCCAACAGCTGCTTGAAAAACAAAAAAAAATGAGACAAAAAATAATTAAGAGCTTGTTTGATTCAAAATATAGTTAGACAGTTGTGGTTAGGCTAGGATGCTTGATTACCTTCTGTTGATGGTTTGTACCAGAGAGATGTCTGGAGAAACTTTCAATGCCTTCCCAAATAAAACTGTGGTTGCATACTGAGCAAATGCAGAAGCCGTCACGGCACTTATACTCCTCGAGTTCTGCTGAGTCTGTGGAAAAAAGATATAGTTTGTTAGTTGAACAGCAGATTTGCTGGTTATATCAACAACACTGAGGGAGAGGACAAACACACACACACACCTGCCAGACAAAAGGTCTGAAGAGAATCACATGGATACGGTTCCAGAAAATTGCATTCTGTTTGTAGAGAGTCAGGCTTCCAAGCGAAGATTCTGGCACTGGATATGAGCAATATATTACGTAGAGGTCCAGTCCTGATCGGGGAAGGATCAAAAATGACCTTATAAGCGCCTGAGGGACCGTAGGGCACGTTATGAAGATTGATTCCGCTGGAATAGACTTTTCTCAGGATGTCATTAGGGATGTCTGTCAGTTCGCCAATGGCAACGATGGTGAGAGGACCAGAGCAGCCTTCGTTCTTCAAGAACCGTTTGATGCACGGACCAACCAGACTAGCATCAAAGCCAGGGGGAACCGGACACGAGTTGATGTCCCAAAAGACAAATGTGGGACACAACGACTTAACAGCTTCCCAGTCCACAGTCTTCCTAGTAAACTTGAACAACAAAAGAACATGGGGTCAAAACTAAAATACAGGTAGACAATGAGAAAAATGTAATGATACAATACAAAGCTATGATGCTTATTGATTACCAGCAGCTCAAGATGTTCATCACTAGATAGATGTGTGATCAGATTGTTAAAGGTTTGGCCAGGAGGATCACGGGCGCATACAAAGCAATCCCACAAGGCAGGTTCAACCGTGTCAGACACAAGATCCCCTGAATCTGTGGGGGAGAAAAGAGATTAGCCAGTTGAGCAACAGATTCAATTGTTGGTTAGGATAAACACACACCTACCTTCCATAAGTAAGGTTTCAAGAGACTGTAATGGAAACGGCTGGAGAGGGTTGCAGCCCGAGTCTTGTAGTTCCTTGGATAAACCAGGGCAGGCTTTCCGATCGGATATGACCATAAAATTAGCTCCAGCTTTCTCGGGAAAACCAAGTAGATTCTTAATGTATGAGGGACCTATTTGAGAAAAAAACTAAAGACATGAGACTCAATTTCGAAAGGTAGGTATAAGAGGATGAGAGAAGATATAAACCTTCGGGGTCGACGTTGGTAAGAGAGATTCCGCTGGAAAAGACTGCTCTCAGGATGTTAACAGGGACGTCCGCTAGTTTGCCAAAGGCAGTGACGGTGAGAGGACCACGGTAGCCATAATTCTCCAAAAGCCGTTTAATACTCGGACGTACCACACGAGGATCACAGTCATCGGGAACCGGACACTTATTGATGTCCCAAACGACCGATGTTAGAGCCACAGCCTCCTTCTTCGTAGCCTTCTTCATCATTCAATTCAACACGACTCTTCTTCTAAAAAGAAAATTTAGAACGGAAATCAAACATCATCAGAGAAAGCACTATTCAGAGAGATAGATTGACAAGGTTAAATCACCAAGGAGCGAGAAATTTACCAGAGAGATAAGCAGGCTTGGTTGGATCTCGAAATCGACTACGACGACTAGGGTTTCGAAATTCCCTGATTGAAGAAAAATGATAGGTCTTCCGTAGATATATATGGAATGCTAGGTAGGGTTGATAATGGGCCTACAGTTTATATGAACTTCACTAACTAAAGGCTTCTTTCTCATCACCTTGACTTCTTCTTGTCACTTAATTATCTTCTTCTTTGCTGAATTTTGCCATCTTCTACACCGTTACGAACCACCGGAAAGAAGACGAAATCCTCGCCGGAATATAACTTTCCTGTTCAAATGACCGATCAAATATTCAACGAGTTTAATGGGTTTTTCAAGGTGATAAACCACGGGGTTAAACCGGAGATAATAACGAGATTCGAGCATAAAGGAGAAGACTTCTTTGATAAACCGGAATCGGATAAGCGAAGGGCAGGCCCGGCGAGTCCGTTCTGTAACATCGGGTTCAACAGTGATTTGGGTGAGCTTTAGTATCTTCTTCTCCACGCAAACCCTACAGCTCTCGCCGATAATTCTGAAGGGATCATTAGAGGAGTTCATTGCTAACTTGTGTGAACAGATGAAGTTGCAGAGGAAAATCTCTTGTTTGCAACACGAAGAACACAACGAAGTAAGTTAATTCAATTTTTTTTTTTTTGTTATCTTTCATAGGCTTGTTGTTGGAAGCTTTTTTGCGAATTAATTGATTTTGATCTAGAATTTGTGGATATTCCTCTCCTTGCTCTTAGTCTTTTTGCTAAGCTTTTTCACAAACCCGAAAAGAGATTGCACATAAAATTATGGCGCTTTATGTTCCAGCTCCACTTGTATTATACAGTCTTGAAAATAAAGAAAGGTCAATCAACTAGTTCCTTCTCATCCACATCAAAAGCTTTGCGTGCTTGTTTCAGCTCTTCTTGCATCGCCAACAGTTCTCTACACCGGTTCAGTTTTGGCAAATCCTGCATAAATCAAAGACGACACTGTGTCATATATGGAATACAAAACCATAATCCGTCTCAATCAATCTTCGATTGTGTAGTTTAAAAAAGACTTTACCTTGCGGATAAGATACAAGAAATCATCAACTAGAAGTCTTCCTCGCTTTGAACCAATTTCTTGAGCCTTATGTGTCTGCCACATATTAAAACATCACTTGTTAGCTATTTCTCTCTGCTTGTAATGTAAAACATGAATCCTTCAAAAAAAAGAAAAGCTCACTACCAAATCTGTGACGTATTCCACAACAATGTCTTCTACAAGCGCCACAGTCTCTGGAAGAGGCTAAAGACAGAGGAGTTTTGGATTAGTTTCAGGTCTCAAAACACTAAAAGCTCTTACAAGACCAAAAACACTTTCAAGCAAAGTTTCAGGTTACTTGTATGGAAGAAAGTTAAAACATATATCAATATGGTTCATATAGCAACAAAATAGTAATTAAGATAGCGGCTTACGTTTTGCTCGTCGCCAAATCCATACATCATATGCTGCACTGGAAAAATCAACAAAAGCAGCAAAAACATTGTTACCAGAAGAAACACAAAATGAAGAATACAAGATTTGTTAATCTGGTTTTAGCTAAAGAGTGTAAGAAAACCAATTTACATTCTTTCTGAAAGAGGGTTTTGCGCTTTTCCTGTGGCTGAGAAGTTCCCGCAGCTTTCGATTTAGACGCCGCCGTTGCTGGTGTGTTACTCATCTTCTTCTTCTTCTTCTTCTTCTTCTGATAATCAAAACCCAAATCCTTAAATTTAGTGAAATCCCTCTACCGAGATAATCCAATTGAGTCGAATACTAACCCTAGGGGAAATTTAACAGTCTAAATTCAACTAGAAAATAAAATTCCGAGCCTAGATTCTAGATTCCTATCGAAATCAAAACCAGAAAGCTACCGGAAAGTTGTATTCAGGTACAGTGAAAGAGCCAACGGAGTGAAATCGAATAAGGTTCTATATCCAAATATTCGTCGTGATGGATAAGGAATGAAAATTGAAAAGGGGAAGTGAGAGCAGAGAGCTCACCGGAGATGGATCGACGGGAGTAGCAGAGATGGTCGTAGCAAAATCGGCGATGAAGATGATGAAAACGAAGAAACGGGAGACTTCTTCTTCAGTGATCTCTCTCTCTCGCAGTCTAGTAGAAGAAGCACATTAGCGGAGCACTCTTTTTTCTATACGAAGTATTTGGGCTTAACAAATAGGCCCATTTATAATAAACCCAGCCCATAATTTAAACGAGAAATCCCTAAACCAATCGACCGACATGTAACTAAGTTCTCACGGTATGGCTCAAACCGGCCATGGCTTCATGCTCAATAATCTTAGAGACAAGCAGGAGAGTTTGTGATCCAATTCATATACATATGTATCAAACTAAAAGCATCACCCCATTAAAGTAATTATTTCCATCTCCTTGGGCCGTCCCCGTCCACAACTGAACGTGTGTTCATTCGTTCTTTGAGACGACTTTGGTCTTAGGTCCAACACGCTAGCTGATCATAAACCAGCCATCATCATGTAATACCATGATATTTAAAATCTTAGATCAGCTTCCACACATCATACAGTTTAGTTAAGCTTAAGCACGAGACCTTAAACCCACAAGTTCGAGTCACAATTAACCGTAATTATGTTCTTAATTAACAGAAAACATATATCTCCGTTAGAGCTATATATTTTCACATATATTATTTGAAATGTATCATGATAATAACATTGTTGATCAGAAGGAGAAAAAGAAGAAGGAAGAGTTAATTAGCTGTTAGTTTCGTGCAAGAAGTTGGAGATTTCATTTTCGATTTAAACTCACGAAGAAGCAACCCAACATGACATGCAAGCACACAACAGTTAAAGACAAGGCGCGTGAGCATCCCGATCACGCCACGTGTTCAATTGGATAGAACCCAAAATCTTGGAACACGTCACATGGTTTGTCCACCTATATCCAGTTTTACACCTTGCACGACTCTGACGTGGCAGTCTTCACCTTTGTCGTCCCCACGTGGGCATTCTCCGAAACTTCCATTTTCAACTTTATAACTTAAAATAATTTTAATAAAGCATGAAAATTAAATAATATGAAATATTTTTTGTCATTTGTAGTAAATACAATTAATTAATTCCTTTCAATAAAGTATGAATTTGGAAATTCCTTTAGCTTTAGTTAAGTCGGCAAATTTTCTGAACCAAGTCGACTAACCCATTTCTCAGTGGGTCCCATGTGGGGTAACACGTGTTAAACAGATATGTCACACGTATTACACGTATGGTACACCTAAACGACGACGTTCCAACATTTGCTGAGAATTTTTCTTAACTATTTCTCTTCTTTTAAAAATATCGTAAAAGAGGGTAATCAAAGAAAACAAAACAAAAACAAATATCACGGAAAAATAAATAAAAAGTCTTCTTTTTGGCTAATTTATTTAAAATAGAAAAACGAAAATATAGCATAAAAGAGATCTCTCACACAGAAGTTTCCTCTTCAGCGATCTGTTCGGCTGATAAACAATTTTATTTTCTTGCTCTTTCTAAATTTTCTCAATTCTAAATCTTTCTGTGGGTACAATTTCACATTCTAAACAAATTTTAAAGATCGTTAATAATTTTAACTTGTGAATAAGAACCCCAAAGAGATAGACATTCCCAAAAGGAAAACAGATTTTTTTTTCTTTAATACGATGGACAGTTTGTGTTTGAATAGCGGTTTACACGGTGTAATTCCAGCGATCACTGCGGTTGGAAACGGTGTAAGCGGTGGAGTTGTTGAAGTCCGTGCAACTGCAACGGCACCATCGCAAAAAAGAGGTCCTTTTGGATTCTCATTTAAGTACCCATTGACGCCGTTTTGGTCTCGCGGCGGTGGAGGAGGAATTGCGTCGAGGAGACGAAGTGGGTTGTGTTTAGACGACGCCGTTTTGGTTGATTCTGGCGATTCGAGAAAGCCGATCGCGGAGGAGACGGCGGTGGAAATGGAGACGGAGAGGCGAAATGAGAGCTGGGTTTTGAAGATCTTGGATGTACAATCTATGTGGAGAGATAGAGAAGACGAAGTAGAAGATGATGATGACGATGAAGAAGAAGAAGATGAAGACGAGGATGTTGAATCAGACGACGCCGTATTAGCTGAAGATGATGGTGGATGCGATGTATGTTCGATTTTGGAAGATGATGGTGACGAAGCAAACAAATTTCAGCTTGATAGTGAATCGTTCTCCAAATTGCTGAGGAGGGTTACGTTACCAGAATCAAAACTCTATGCCCAAATGTCGTATTTAGGAAACTTGGCTTATTCAATTTCAAAAATCAAGGTTTGATTTTGAACTTTTTACTTCATTAGATTTTTTAAATCGAATCACGAATATTAGGGCCTCATTTCTAGGTGTTAATTTTCACAAAAAGGATTAGACTTTAGAAGAGACAATGTGTAAAATTTGCAGGATCTTGGATTTTGTTGCATTGTGATTTTGGTTAATTTGTGGCATTTTCCTTGCAGCCTGCGAATCTATCGAAATATTACGGCCTGAGATTTGTAACTTCATCAGCTGAGAAAACAGAATCTGCGTTAAAAGCTGGGAATGGTGAGGTTTCAGGAGAGACTAAGCCAATTGAGGAAGAAGAAGAAGCTAAAGAAGAAGAAGAAGAAGAAGAGAAGAAGAAAGGTCGCAAGATTAGTGCTTCTGCTGCATATGAGATTGTTGCATCAGCTGCTTCTTACCTGCACTCTCGTACCAACAACATACTTCCTTTCAATTCTTCATCGAAAGCTGACAAAAATGATGTAAATTTGGCAAATGCGGAGTCATCAACAGATGTTGCTTATTCTGTTACTTCTGTTGTTGCTGCTGAGGAAGATGTGAAGCAAGCTGTTGCAGACGATTTGAAATCGACGATTTCGTCTCCCTGCGATTGGTTTATATGTGATGATGATCAGAGTCACACTAGATTCGTTGTGATTCAGGTAAAAACAAACAAACTCAAAAGCCGGTTCATTTGTTGAGATTTCATTCTCTTACGTGTTGTTGATGAGAAATGTGAAATTGCTTGTAGGGATCTGAATCTCTAGCTTCTTGGCAAGCAAATTTACTCTTTGAGCCTATTGAATTTGAGGTATTTGTTCTTTTTTTTACAATCCTGACAATTATGGAAACAGGAATGTGTCATTTAGAACTTACAAGGACCTGTTTTTGATCTGTTAGGGACTTGGTGCGATCGTACACAGAGGAATATACGAAGCTGCAAAAGGAATGTATGAACAAATGCTACCTGAAGTTAAAGCCCATATTAAAACCCACGGGACCAGCGCTAAATTCCGTTTCACCGGTCATTCATTAGGTGGAAGCTTATCGCTATTACTAAACCTCATGTTACTCGTTCGAGGCGAAGTACCTGCTTCTTCTTTACTTCCGGTTATAACATATGGTGCACCATTTGTGCTATGTGGAGGCGACCGTCTTCTTAAAAAACTCGGGTTGCCTAAAAGCCATGTTCAAGCTGTCATAATGCACCGTGACATTGTCCCAAGAGCTTTTTCTTGTAACTATCCGTACCATGTTGCCGAGCTTCTCAAAGCTGTTAATGGAAACTTCCGTAGCCATCCTTGTCTTAACAAACAGGTACTACATCTACAACTATAATCCCTCATCAATTGCTAGCTATAATTCAGAATCTTGTAGTTAATGACATTTTTCTTGCAGAGTATGTTGTATTCCCCGATGGGCGAGCTTCTGATTCTTCAACCAGATGAGACATTCTCTCCTGGACATGAACTTCTTCCTCCCGGGAACGGTTTATATCTTCTAACAGGCGATTTCGAATCGCCGAATAATGAAGATTCTGAGGAGGAACGGTTAAGAGCCGCGCAGACGGTTTTCTTAAACACCCCGCATCCTCTTGACATACTCAGCGACAGATCGGCTTATGGGTCCAGCGGAACAATCCAAAGAGACCATGATATGAACTCGTATCTGAAAGCGGTTAGGAGTGTAATAAGAAAAGAAGTGAATCAGATAAGAAGAGCGAAAAGGGAGCATCGCCGGAGTCTCTGGTGGCCAATTCTGGTGGCTAGAGAAAGCGGAAGCTCGGGGATTGCAATCAGTAACGGCCAAATCAACAGTCAGGATTTCTCTGGCATGATGAAGACAGGAAGAAAGTCGTTGCAGAGGTTTAGCCGCCTTGTGGCGTCTCAACATATGCCGTTGATCGTTGTTATGTTGTTTCCGGTTAAGTTGTTGTTCCTTGGTGCTTTCAACATCTTTAGTTTCCGTTGAAAAGTTTCTTTTGGCGGGTTTTATGATCGTTTGCTTATACCGGTCCAGACTGAATTTTGGTTTGACCGGTTTAGATCATTCTTTATTCATATATCTTGTTTGTTTGTTTGTTTGTTTGTTGGGGCCATTGGAGGCTTTCTCTGTTAGATACATTGGTTTCACGCATAAAGGTTGTGGAAAAGGAACAAAAGGGACCAGTATTTAATATTTGTAATTATAAATTGTGCAAAAGTATTGTGTAAACAAGTGGGAAGAACCAATTTGATTACACTCTATTAGTCAACAATCATGTATATATATATATATATATTTTTTTTTATATGTATATATTTGTAATTCACATTCATATTTGAGATTTCTTCTTTTTAACCACTGATTGCTAAGATTTCATATATTAAATTTTCGAAAACCATGCAAATCCATAAAAAAAAAAAATAAAAAAAAATCACCTTTTTAAGACATATTTTGAAGAAATTAATATTGTAATTTGAAGGCTTATCAATCTGACTTCAATTATTTTCAAATTGCGAAGATATTTTGTGCGGAAAACTGTCTAATCCTAGAAATGACTTTTGGATCATCAAATTGTTAATTTCTTCACAGCAAATAAATATAGACTGGTCGCATGGATTTTTTGTTTTTTAGTTAATTTATTTAATTATGTTTTACGAAAAGAAAAAACCAGTTGGGAGAGTTGTCAAGAAAGTGGCCCAATGGAGAGTTCGATGTTTATCCAATCCAACAAGACACGTTGCCACCAATCACACGCAGGCTAATTATACGACCACGAATATTTAGCTGGAGGTCTTAATCAAACGCGCATGTTATGAACGTGAAGTCTAATCGCTTTCGATTCTTTCATTTTATTTTATTTGGGCATCTATAAACCCTAATTTGATCTTATTAGGAACCTCTTTTGTTAACTTTTTCCATTCTATTTTATGGTAGCTTTTATACAATTTCCTCAATGATCTGAATGGAAATGTAGTTGGTGCCGTGTCAATAGTTTAACGTATGTTTTCTTAAATATTTTGATTCTTTATTGTTGGTTAGTTGTGTATCATGCCAGTTCATTAATGGTCGGACAATGGTTGTTCTGATTTGGTTTGACCTTTCTATGCAACTGGGTATGATGTTTTACTCGAGGCTTTGCAACTGTTAACTTCATTAACGTGGTTGTATTTCTGTGAATGATTTTAAAAATAAAAAATAAAAAAAAATCTGTGAATGATTCATGTAACTTTTGAAATGTCTTATTTGACTATTGAGTGTCTTCGTATTAAAGCTTGTCCAACTTTTTTTTTTTTTTTTTTTACTTTTTTTCATTTTCTTTTTATTTTTTATTCATCATTTTACTTTTCCACCTGAAAAAATAGTTTCGAGAGCTTTTCCTAACCACCAAAGTAGGTGAAATGAAAAATGTTGACTTTTACTTGGGTTGTTTCAACCTGGTCTTGAAGTAATGGTAATTTACTAATTTCGTTTTGAGAAAAAACAAATACTATCATTAATCAAATCATTTACGCGTCTGACGAGGGCAAAATTGTCTCGATTTTGTCCAAAACAAAAAAAAAATTGTCTCGATTTTGTCATATTTACAAGAGTCGGTTAATCGGTTTGTCGTAAACGAGCTTAATAATTTTAATCTCACTCTCACTTTGATATGATGTCAAAATCTCATAAGATAATACATAAAGTGTGAAAAAGGTTCGTTTTATTTTCCAACGTCAAAAACAAAATTAACTTTTTTTTTTATTCAGCGGAAAAAATAAAAACGAGAGATAAATCTCCAAAATCCTATGACATGCAATCATGCATGCAACTAAACCGTAATTGGTTGTCTTAAACCGGCACGGGAAATCAAACTCCCAACCGCCGCCATATCTCTACAAAACACTCCTTTAACCACTTTTAAATTGTTGTTACTCTTCCTCACAACCGCCATTGCTGCTTTATCACCATCCATCGGCGTTTCAATCCGTCGATTATCGATTGCAGCCGCTTTGTCCGCTTCTACGGTTTCAATGTCTCTCATTACGGCGTAATATCCCTTCTGGATCAATCTATAGAGTAACAACGTTGACATTCTAGCTCGGTTCTTAACCGAAACTAATTCTTGCTCATCGATTATATCGAACCGGTCTATAGACGTCATTGATCTCTCCGGTTTATGTCTTAGATTCAGTAACAAGTAAGCCCGGTTCAGCTCCGATCTCAAGCACCCACGTTCAATTCCCATCAATGAGTAATAATCCTCATTACCGTTTTCTCCGTTTGTAATTTTCTCCTTCATTTGTTTGATATTAGAGGTTAATTCACATAATTTTCCCGGGATTTCTCTGTACCGGATATTATGCCGTTTCCAAACCGGGCCGGTTAATGACCGGTCATGTAAAAGGAGTTTCAAGTGTTCGAGATCGTGAAGCGAGTCGGGGAAACACCGTATCGATCGGAACAATTCGGCTCTGGTTTCTAAAGCTTCTATGCACGACGGATCTAAGGCTAGGGTTAAGTTGCAATCGGCGATGGAATCCGCGATTCGGCCGGCGGATTTGTAGGCGGAGGCACGACGGATTAAGCAATCGACGAGGAAACTCTGCGGTGCACCACGACGGCTGTCTATGATCTTAGAGAAATGGCGGATGGATTCGGAGTAGAGACCGGCGTTGAGTGCTGCGAGCGCCGCCGTGCGCCGTCGGAGGAAGAGCTTGATTTGGGAGAGCATTTGCGATACGATCTCGGATTCGGTGATTGGTTGTGGCTGAGATTCGGAGGTGAAAAGGATGAAGCTATCGTCGGACCAGCAAATGCTTTCGCGGCGGAGCTCGGCCGTGGCAAGGCGTTTACCGGTTTGGAGTAGGATTATCGCGTCGTCCATTAAACCCAGATGGTAACAAGCTTGGCCCAAAACCAAGTATCTGCCACAGAGAAGAGAAGATCCGAATCAGTTACGGTCGGGTTAAATCAAATCCGGGTCATAACTAAAAAGTGTGAAATACCTCCATTGCCCTTGTACTTGAGAATTATTACTTAACCCTGCCATGACCTTCTTCTTCAAGTAGGAATAAGAGAAACACTTAAACGACGAGTCATGACTCGGTGAGTCACTCAGAAGAAGAAGCCTGAGAGAGGAAAGCTCCGATGAAGCGACGACAACACTGCTGACATCTTCGTTATCGGTTCTAAGACTGGGAATGTAATCGTGAAGCAAAACGGCGACGTCTTTGAAGCGACGAAGGTAGAGAAGCGATCTGGCTTTGAGTTCCAGAGCGAGTTCGTGGTTAGGAGAGATAGAAAGCGTTGAATTCAAGAGGCTTAGAGCTGATACGACGTCGTTTGGATCTTGGCTCGTTATCAAATCCTTCGCGTTCTTCATGTACTTATCCACTTTCTGGAGATAAATGAAAACATTTAAAATCAGATGATACATGTAACATGTTTCAATAAACCTAATAACCAAATTTTGATTGGTGTTGAAAAACAGAGTATTTACCTTTCTGTTACGTTTCCACCAAGGATGAATCGCCATCGCCGGAAAAGCAATGAAGTCTCTGTTCTTTTTCTTAATAAACAGTGATTAAAGGTGAGAGAGACAGGTGGGAAACTGTAAAGTCGAGAGAGAGTTGAAAATCATGTGAAGTCAAGTGAATCGTCTTAAATACGAGATAAACAGAGACAGATAAAAGAAAGCTAAAATGACGGACTTGCCCTTGAAAACTTATAGCTCAATCTTACTTTCAATATGTCTGAATGTGGACAATGTATTGACGGACCATGGAGTGATTACAAAATTCTACATAAAGTAGGATTGACAATCTGACATTATCGAAACGTTTATGCAGGAAAAAAACGAAGTCTTGTCTCGAAAGCCAAAAAGACTCATGTTTTCTACTATTTGTTTATTGCCACGTCGTAGACTAGCGTTACTTGTTTTTGTTTTTGTTAAAGTTCTGTTTAAATTAATGCACTTTGCTTTTGGATTTACCAAATGTCTATCAATGAATGCACATGTGTATGTTGACAAAAACACAAGGCTCATTTGTATTTTTTTACTTATTTATAGATTTCTTTCATCATACTCCAAGAAGATTAATGGCAATCTTTAGACGTAATTAGCATTAGTGTTTGTATTATCATATACTTGTGTATATATTTCCGTAGAGTAGTCCACAGAATCTGCAATACATAGATTCAATCTGAAAGATAAATCTAACAAGATTATATGTGTGTACAACATACATATTACATAGGAATAAAATGCATGTATATTAAGGGTTTGAATGGTGTTCAAATAGTAATAAGAGGAACATATAGAATTAAATAGAGAACAAATTAGGAGAATATGTTTTTTTTTTCACTGTGTTACACATCCATAAACTAGTTGAAAGTTTTCTTCTAGATTTGTATTTGTGCTTTAAATTGTTAATGGACGAAAAAGAAATCCGAAAAGAAGCTTTTATTTCAAAAATCAAAAGCCATACAATTCAATATCAAATACATTTTTTTGAATCATAAATTCATAAGAAACAGATTTCTTTCTTTTTTACCTTACATACTACCCTCACGTCAATCGACCTGTTACAACAATCCAATTCGTTTCTTTAGAAACATTTAGATCTCTTAAAAATACTATAATGGTAACAACAATAAAAGTAGAAAAAACAGAGTCAAGACTTGATGACTCCAAGAGTAGAAGCTTGAAGCGACACCGTATGGCTCTCATCTCCAATATGAATCCCATGATCACCGATCGGAATCCTTCGGTTTCCGGCTCGGTCCACTACACTTAAATACTTACACACGTGTATATTCACCTGCACACGCTTCTTCTCTCCAACAGCGACGTGTACTCTCTCGAAAGCAACTAGCTGTTTCTTCGGAGCCCATTCTCCACCCGGCGGAGCCGAGAACACTAGCATTGTGTGAGTCCCATCTCTCGAGCCAACGTTAGTAACATCCACATGGACACCGAGAGAGAGACGATTACACCTAGCGTGCGTGACACGAATTGATTTCCCTGAAACGGTGCCGTTTCTACCACGTACAGCTATAGGAATCACCTTTGGCGCGTCGGCTATGCTGTGAGTAAAGCGCGTGTAACTCAAACCATGCCCGAACGGGTAAACAACCGGACCGTCGTAGAACCGGTAAGTCCGACCCGGAATCCGCTTCGAGTGGATAGGTCGCATCGACATTTCCGTCATCGGTAAATTCGTTAAATAATCTTGCGGATACCACGTCATCGGAAGCTTTCCTCCGGGATTAGCACTGCCGAATAAGATATCGGCGATTGCGGTACCACCTTCCTGACCCGGATACCCGGCCCAAACAATCGCTGGAATTTTCCGATCCTTCTCTGCAAAAGATATGTCGATAGGCCCACCAGACATCAATACTAATATAACTGGGCCTTTAGCGGCCTTAGCAATTCTAGAGATAAGCTCTTGTTGTTTCCCAGGCAAAAGCAAACTGTTTCTGTCCTTAAACTCAGCTTCAATAGACTGATCCAAACCCATCACAAGAACCGTCGCATCAGCTCCACGAGCAGCTTCAACCGCGGCATCGAACAATCTATCATCCATGCAATGTACGTCCACGCAACCCTTTTGATGAATGGTTCGTGCATAACCGGTAATTCCTTGAACCGGACTGGTATATCCACAAGCAATCCCTGCATAATTACCAATCATTGCGACTGTAGCGTCAGAATTAGGTCCAATTACGGCGACAGTTCGGTGACGTTGGCTTGAGAGAGGTAGAGACGAGCCATGATTCTTGAGTAGGACGATTCCTTGTTGAGCTGCTTCGAGAGCTAGTCCTTTGTGAACCGGTGTACACACGTGTGCCGGTCCAAGGTGTCCGTACGGTTGAGCCGCTATATCGCCATCAAACATTCCTAGTCTCATTTGGACTGTAAGCGTGTTGACTAAGGCATTGTCAACGTCAGACTCACGCAACAAGTTTTTCTTCACTGCATCGATTGTATGGGCTCCAAGAAACGGCCCACAATCTAAATCCAAGCCTACACAACCAATATACACAAGATTGGTTAGTTTAAGGAAAAATATCCAATTTTGTTTTCAGTCTACTTAAAATTTACAATTTAAATTACCAGCTTTGATGGAATCAGCAGCAGCTTCTTCAGGAGTACCAGTGTAATGTTGCGTATCGTATAAAACACCGACAGAGTCACAATCAGACACGATATACCTGTTGTTGCAAACAAAAAATCAACGGTCAACGATACTTTAAATTCCATATTGGGAATGTTTTGAGCTGACGTGGCATGATCTTACCCGTTGAGACCCCATTGATTGCGTATGGTCTTCTTTAAGAGATTAGGATCAGCACATGTGGGAACACCATTAACTTGATTGTACGAACACATAATGCTCGCAACGTTACCTTCTTTAACACACATACGGAACGGTACGTCGAACGTGTCCTCTATGTCTTGCTTGCTTACCTATCAAAACCCAAACACGTGAGAACAAAAAATGAAGAGTGAGAGACAAAAAAAAAAAAAAAAAAAAAAAAAAACCTTAGCGTTGAAATGGAATCTATCGACGCCGTTCCAATTATCGAGATCGTAAGCTGTGAAATGTTTGCAACAAGCAGCTACTTTTAACCGGCTTGGGTCGTTTCCCTGTAAACCTCTGACGTAGCTCGCTGCGTATTTACCGGCTACGACTGGATCTTCACCGGGAGTTTCCTGTCCACGTCCCCAACGTGGGTCCCGCAATATGTTAACGTTTGGGCTCCAATAAGTAAGCCCACCAACACCACCGTTGTACATGGCTCTGGCCTCATTTGATACAACCTACGCATCCCCGAGAGCGTAATTTAGTCGTCGTTGCATTAATTGATGATAAAATGCGCTTTGACTAATGTTGCAAGTTGAGAGCATCGTATGCAACTTGATGCCTCGGTTTTAGCGAAAAGCGTACGATATGTAGTTCTATTATTTTGCTTTTATATATTATCCTAGTAACCTATAAATATCATTAATTAATTCAATTATTTTTTTAAAAAATTGTTAGAATCAGATCTTCGTCATAAATTGGAGAGGCGAAAAAACAAAACCAAGAAAAGAATAATATTTAAAGTAAGTTACTTTAAATAAAATAGTTTTAATAAGAAAAGTTACTTTAAATAGCGGTAGGCTAGTAAGAGATTCGTGCGTATGTTTCATTTGCATGAAGTACCGGACAAATCAGAACACGAAAACTGTCCAACTATCACAATTGTATATAATCAAATAAATTATTTCAACAAAAAAACGAATATTAGTTACACTTCGAGAAAAGAGAATATTTCGGTCCAGTAAAAGTATAGATAATTAAATACATACGGCTATTTTAATAAATATGAGCTGTATGTGTATATAATTAATAACATTATTACTTACATTTTTAACAAAAAAAAAAGAAACATTATTACTTACGTCATTTTCACAGAGAAAATAGTGAAAAGTATTTTTAGTAGTTAGATCGGGCACACACAAAAATAATTGAAATAGGTGTTTTTATTTAATGGATAAAAGAGATAAGAATGTGAGAAATAATCTGACCCGTCCGATGGATTCCCACAAAGAGGCATTGAAAGAAGCAACGGTGGTGATGACTTGAGGGAAACTGGTGGCTGCAGGGTAAACCCCACCGAACTTAGTACCGGGTCCTACATTTGAAACGCCGTGCAAAGCCTCCGACCACCACTCGTACCCTTTGATTCCTAGCCGTGGTATCGCCGCCGCAGTGTTCCCTAACAAGCTCACTTTCTCGACCAATGTCAACCGTCCGATCAAATCCTTCACTCTCTCCGTTATCGGAATTGATAGTTGACAGAATCTCAGTGTAGCTGTTGCTGCGTCCTTTGTGTCGCAAGCAAACGTTTCGCGGCTCTGAACGCAAACGCTGCTGCTGCTTATCAAGAAGAAGAGAAAAGCGGCCAAGAACGCCATTTTGTGGAGAATCATTTCTTCTTGTTTTCTCCTCTTCCAAGTTTTTTCTGCGTTTTATCTTTTATGGAAGAGAGAAAAATGTAAATGTGATGAAGGATTTGTTGTGAGTGAAGTTTGTGTGTTATGTTTATATAGAGAGGCAATGATAATGGCATGATAATGATAATGAGTAGCTCTTCGTGAAATAATCATTTTTTTTACGCTACCAAGGAAATATCATTTTTTAATATATATATATATATATATATATATATATATATATATATATATATATATATATGACTATTTCGAAACCAAACATATCTAGATCTAAAGAATTGGTTTTATATTTAAATTTTAGAATTTACATTTAATTTGAGGAGAAGACAAGTTGAGAGATTTGATGAGTGAACTAACCTGCTATTTTGGATATGTAATGGTTAGAAACTAGAAAGTGTTGGAAGACAGTTGTCACAGTGTGGGTCCTGGTTCCTAAGAGATTTTTTATGTGCAGTTAAATAGATTTGATTCTAATTCGACTTTGTTACTTAAATGGGCGAAAAAATTAGTTACTTGAATTTCGTTTTATTATGTTACCCTGTTAGGTTTTATCGTAAGAAAGAAAAATGTTGGTTTATATCTGAAGCAATCTGTTTTGCAATCTGTTGTTTTTTGTTAACAAAACTTTTTGTTTCCCACTTGCAGGTTAACAAATTAACTTGGCTTGCACGAGATGTCACCATTCTAAATTCCTTAACGATCTTTATTTTCCTCTTCTTCTTTTTAAAGATTTTATTTTTGGTTCTTTTTTTTCTTACATACATGTGGCCGGTGAAGTGGAATTACACGAATCATTTCTTATATACATGTAGATATGCGAATATTTATAATAGACGAGTAATTCTTTGTACTATTGCATCCTTTGGGCAGATTAAAGGGATGTGGAACAAATTTTGCGGGTAATCAATTATATACAATGTTAGAACAAGTATAGATCGAATCTTTTCTGGTTGAGTATCAATGTTTTTGTCAATATTTTTTTTTTGTTTGTCAATATATACTACATAAATTTTGATTTAGCAAAGTTTAATTTGGATTTACCGTATTCATGATTATATGGTTTGTATAATCCATTTACATATATTTTGAATAATAATAAGACGATCAAATTTTGAAACGAAACCGTGAATATATGCAGAAAAAAAACCGTGAGAATAGGAAAGGATAAATTAAATTTTATTCGAACGACTAAGAGGTCACGAAGAAGAAGGCAACGTAATAAGTAATTGAAAAAAGAAATAGTTTAAGTATGGGCTTGTGTGTCGGAAACAGACATCAACTTGTGCTCTTGTTACTTCAGTGTCCCAAATCTCACACTCTATTGGCTCATATCTTCGGTGTTCATTATGAAACTAATACTAAAGTAATAACTCATTGGTTATTGCGATCCTTGGGAAACACCTAATCAGCAGTAATAAGACTTCGAAAACTTTTACTTTTACCATAAAATTAAAAACAAAACTCCACGGACTATAACTTGATTAGCACTACATAATTTGTATGTTTAAGTGTTGAGTGGGAAAAAACTTAAGAAAGGCATTGATCATAAGAAGAAATGAAAGTAGTCAATGGAATATAAGGGTACTGAAAAGAAGAGTCCCGACCAATGTCATGCACAAAAGTAGTAACTTTAATCCTAACCCATCTGTTTTGTGTCCCACCAAAAAACATACAGTCTCGTGTGTCTTTGTACTACTAGCTATGATCTCTAGAGCCATATCAGAGAATCGTAATCCCGAATAATAATGCTAAGATGTGACTCGTGTTGGTCTTGCTACCACCAAATCTCACAACCATCTAATCAATTCTCTATCACACTCACCTTGCTTTATAATGAAAGCAACATCAGAAAGATTTCAAGAACGCAAAGTAGTGAGATCAAGAGAGAAAAGAAAAGGAGTTACAATGGTTGATGAGAAAGTAAGTGTTGATGAAGTTGAGACAAGAGACGCTTATAGAGTTGCGTACGTGATCCATTTCTTGTTGGGGGCTGGTAGTTTAATACCATGGAATGCTTTGATCACAGCCGTTGATTACTTTGGCTACTTGTACCCGGACAAGCATGTAGAGAAGACTTTCACCGTGGCTTACATGAGCTGCTCGGTCCTTGTTTTGGTTTTGATGATGACTTGGAACACAAGGCTGAGCTATAGAGTGAGGATGAACTTGGGGTTTTCCATGTTCATCATCGCCATGATGATTTCTCCTTTCATAGATTGGGTTTGGAAAGGTGAAAAGGGTGAGAATGTTTCTTACGGATTGATGGTTGGATCAGTCGTGATCTGTGGTTTAGCTGATGGATTGGTCGGAGGAAGTTTGATTGGTTCAGCTGGAAAGCTTCCTAGACAGTACATGCAAGCCATTTTTGCAGGCACTGCTTCTTCAGGTAAACCTAATGTTTTGTATAGGCTAGTGTTGGTCTCTTCACAATTTCGATTTGAAATCCTCACAACTTTGAGCTAAACACTTAGATATATAGTTAAGCCCTATGAGTTGAGCCATTGATCTTCTCAGAAGCTTATTAGGTTTTCTCTGTTTTTGCTAGGTATTATTATCTCCCTCCTTAGGATTGCCACTAAAGCTTCGCTGCCACAAACACCGCAGGGGATGCGAACCAGTGCTCATTCCTATTTTATAGTTAGTTCTACCATCCTCGTATGTTGCTTCATTTGTTGTAACGTGCTCCACAAGTTACCAGTAATGCAACAACACCTCAAATTTCATCAACCTTTGCATTCGACTCTGACAATATGGATGGTTGGGAGGAAGATCAAGTGGCCAGCTTCGGGTATGCTAATAATATACACCGTTACCTTATCGATATTTCCAGGATTTATAGCTGAGAATTTGAAGTCCCAACTTCTCCAAAGTTGGTATCCTATTTTGCTCATCACTGTGTACAACATCTCGGATTTCGTAGGCAAGTCACTCACTGCACTCTATCTATGGCAGAGTATAAAATCGGCTACATGGGCTTGTATCGTGAGGCTTCTGTTTTATCCTCTTTTCTCTGCGTGTATACGTGGACCGCAATGGTTAAGAACAGAAGTGCCAGTGGTTGTCTTGACGTTCATGCTAGGTCTTACCAACGGCTACCTCACTAGCGTGCTCATGATCATGGCTCCCAAAACGGTTCATGCATCAGAAGCAGAACTTGCAGCCATCTTCATGGTTGTTTTTCTAGGACTAGGTCTTGTTTGTGGCTCTGTTATTGGTTGGCTCTGGCTCATCTAAACTTTTAACTGTATACATCAAAACTTATTTTGTCAAAACGTCGAGCATGTTACAATATCGAAGTAGTCTCTTTTCTAGCATTAATATTTTCCCCAAAAATATTTGACGAAGTACAATGAATGTGCCACTGCTCTATTTACAAAATTCATTAAAACATTATACTAAGATACAAAAGGGGAAAAAGGAATCAAAATCCACTTGCGGTGTATCTTACCTTGTCTTGATTGGTGGAATTTTTTTATTAGAGTCTCCGTGTGAAATGTTTTCTACTTTTTTTTTAAATAACATATTTACATGTATAATTAATCTTTGATTATAGTACATTATTATATTATCTTCTTGAATTATAAATATTTTGTCTTTATATGTGGTATGTTTAAGAAAATTTAATATTTTATTATTCTTCCGAGGATATGGATAACAAGTGTACACCCATTACTTTTGACTCAAAAGTTTTGAGCAAGAGATATCTCACATATTTTAACCTCTTCTGCAATAATAAGGTATAAGGCGAAAAAAGTGTAAATATTATGAAATTTAGATAGAATAACAGAGTACAATAATGAAATTTCGGGAGTATTATTGGTTGATTGTGAATAAAGCAAAGTGTTGAAAACAAAGGAGGGACTAATAATGAACTTTGGTTGGGTCCTTAAGATAAAAAAGGAGGGAGCAGTTACGTTATAACGTTAAACATTGTCCACCACCACCATCATATTCATATTCATATGATGTTGACATTATTAGCTGATACGATCTTCGTTTTATTACTTGTTAATTCCCATCATTTTATGTAACAGAAAAAGTACTTAAATCACCTCAACAAATATAAGAAATGAACATTTCAACAGAATTCAGTTCCATTATGATCCAATAAAAAGTTCTGTTTGGTTAATCTAATAAAAAGAAAGAAAGCAAAAAGGAAAAAGATGACACAGAGAATGGGCATTCTTATCCATATCAAACTTGCATCATCGACTAAGGGAGGGATAAGGAATGAAATTGTCATTTCTTTTTGTTTCTTCTACATAAATTTATCTAGAGATTGTTCATGTCAGTGGACCAACCAGAAAAAAGTAAAAAAGATACCATATAATATAATCTTATTTGCCATGAATATGTTCAAATGTATATTGAATGTTTTTTTTAAATTCAATTTTCATTGATATACCAAACACCATCAATGGAACAACCAAACAAGTGCATACACATTTCTTGTTAGCCAGAAATACCTTTCATATTTCTCCCCTTCTAGAATAACATGGGTTATATTATAAACTATAGTATTTATTTGTTTATATTCATAAAGATGGAAAATAGAGAAGGATGTTGAATTGAATGCTTGTGAATAACGCAAAGCCGGAAAGTTTTGAAAACATATATTTTTCTAGATAATGGCTCGAGGCTTTTAGCCACATAGTCTGAGAATTATATTTATGTCGGTCAATTAGTTATTGACTTATTTCCCATAGAGGTTGTGGGCCGAGATAATATAAATGGGCTTTTTTCTGAAGCCCAAAATTTAAAGTGAAAAAGGAAAGTAGTCCGTATAAATAAGGATGTACTGTAATGTGCATCTTCTAGAGAGAAGTCTCCCGCCGAACGACTCTCGTCGATCCATCCCCGGTGAGCTCTCTGAATAGTGATCTAGTCGATCTAGATTACTGCGATTTGCTTTCCTAGTTTTGAAAATTTGATTATCTCTTGGTTTGGTTAGGTTTTTAGAAGAAGATTCGTCTTGAACGATGAAGAAGGCTACGCAGGAGCAGGCTAAGGCTTTAACATTGGTCTTTTGGGACATCATCAAGTGTCCGGTTCCAGATGGTTGTGACCCTCGTGTGGTCCGTCCAAGTATTAAACGGCTTTTGGAGAATAATGGCTACTGTGGTCCTCTCACCGTCACTGCCATTGGCAAACTAGCCGACGTCCCTATTGACATCCTGAGAGAACTCTATTCCAGTGGAATCCATCTTACCATCGCCCCCTTCGGTTAGATATCTTCTCTCATACTTTTATTCCTTTCGAAATAGAGATAAAGTAATAGAGAGTCTCATCATGTCTTTATTTTTTCTCAAACAGGTTCCTCTGACATTAGAGGTTTAATTGAGATGGATAAGACAGCTAATTTTATGGTCATATCCGATGATAAAGCCTGCTCTGGTTTATTACTGACTCTAAAAGCTATTGGCTACAACCCTCTCATGCCGTTTCCATATGGTTCTCTTGACTTGTTAATCATGGAAGGTGTGTGTGTGTGTGTTTGTCCTCTCGAATGAAACAAGCAACAAATGAATCTGTTGCTGATCAACTGGCTACTTTTTTTTTCCCCACACAGATTCACTGATACTTGAGGAGGAAACAGGGGATTCTGCCTTGTGGGATTGCTTAGTATGCCTCCATGATCCTCCTGCCCACGGCTTTGAAAATTTCATCACACATCTATCAAGTGGAGAACATAAAGTGCTGGTAATCAAGCATCCTAGCATTACTTTTTTTTTTTTTTGCTTTGTTTTGAGTTTTGACTACTCCATGTTTAATGTTCCAGCTGATGATGCCTAGGAACACTGGGCCTCGTCCCCCGATTGATCTCTCCAGGGTGAGTAAGCTACCAAAGTCATGTTTTCATCACTTTTTAATTTTTAGTTTGTTTACCATGTTATCTGCTTTAAATCCTCTTACCACAAGCTTCCCTTTCTCTTTTATAGGTGCATGTGAATCACTATCTGACGGAGCGCGATCTGATGCGTCGCAATCAGCTGTGGGCGGACGAGCGGCCTACACCTTTATCAACAAGTGTCTATCAATTGAATGACTTGGAGGCTGTAAAGTCCAAGGGTGAGACGTTTGTCTATTGGGACATCAAGTTGTGTCCGGTTCCCCCCTACTGTGATGCTAGTCTGGTCGCTCCGCGCATCAAACGCTTCTTGAAGGAAGAAGGCTTCTCTGGTCCTCTCACCATCATTGCCATTGGCGTACTAACAGACGTCCCTATTGACATCCTGCAAAAAGTCTATTCCAGTGGCATCGCACTTCATATCGTCCCCAACGGTTAGTATCTTCTCATCATTGGGCCATTCTACAGTATTGGATATTTTCCTTGATGATTAGCAAGTGTCTCAAGTCTTCTACTTTCTGAAACAGGTCCTTCAGACATCCGGAGCCTCATTTTTGATAGGGTCCATAGAAATGGACCTCTACGTAATATAATGGTCATATCCAATGACGAATACTTCCCTAATCATTTTGACTTGCTACATTCGACAGCATTTTGCAACTTTAAGCTGTTTGATTCTCTTCCTATGGAAGGTGTGTCTTTGTCCTCTCTTACAGTGTTGTTGAAATAACCAGCAAATCTGTTGATTCATTACTTTTTTTTTTTCTTTTCCTCAGGCTCTGGTGGTGAGTGCAGTAAAACGGGTGAATCTCCGTTCTGGTTTTGCTCATTATGCAATTTCCGAAATTTTCCTTACCAAGACATTGATAGTTTCACCAACCATCTCTCTGGTACATATCATCAACGAAAGGTAATCAGGCATCCTAGCCAAACTGGACGGACTTATTGTAACAATTCATTTTGTTAATGTCTTAACTATTTTTGAGTCAAACAACTTCTTCTTGTTTTGTTTGCCTAAATTTGACTGGATGTGCATTTGGTTTTCAAGCAGTTGTCTGACCTGTTGAGCATGAGAAGTGGACATTGCTTGGGTGCACCACTACGTGAGCCTCTTAAGGAAAACCTGGAGGCTGTAACATCGGTCTATTGGGATATCAAGATGTGTCCGGTTCCACCTGGCTGTGATCCTCGTCGTGTCGGTCCGTGTATTAAACGGTTTTTGGATAATAAAGGCTACTCTGGTCCTCTCACCATCACTGCCATGGGAGCACTAGAAGACGTCCCTAATGACATCCTGAGAGGAGTCCATTCAAGTGGAATCGCTCTTAATTGCATCCCCTACGGTTATGATTTTTTCATCCTTGTGTCTTTTCTTAGTATTGGATGTTGAATAGAGAGTCTCAAGTCTTTAAGTTTCTGAAACAGGGTTTTCAATCTCTCTGGAACGTCATATTTATGAGTTTATGGATTGGAATCCACCTCCAGCTAATATAATGGTGATATCCGATGCAAAACACTCCGCTTCTAATGATGTTTTCGGGATACAGTCGAAGGGATACAACTTTGTTGAGCCGGTTCCATGTGATTCTCTTGAAAGCTTTTTTCTGGCAGGTGATTCAGGGGCACTTGAGGATGATAAGTGCGGTGAAACGAGTTTGCTGGGGTACTTGTATTGCTGGGTATGCTGCCGTGATCTTGATAATTTTAAAAATTTCACCACTCATCTTACTGGTAGGCGACATCAACGTAAGGTAATCAAGCATCCTAGCCAAACCGGACGGATTTGTTGTATTAATATATTTTGTCATTGCTTGCAAGTAGTTTTGTTTGCCTAATTTTTAACCCCCCTCCTTCTGCATTTGTTTTTTAAGCAGTTATTGCACTGGTCCCGGGTATGCCCACGCCCTCCCATTTTGACAAAGGCAAGTTATAAAATCTGATAACCTTTGAGATTTCTACTCTTAAGGATTCTAGGGCTAACCTAAATGAAATTTAAAATATTGTAGCTAGAGTGCAAGAAGAGTGTGGACATGAAGAAGGTCCAAGGTGTTTTGGTTTAACTAAGAACGAATTTAGCTTTCTTCATTCTTCGTAAAAAATGGTGAATACTGAATCTCACTTGACTAAATTTTATAATGTGGAAGCTGATCCACTGGATCTGAGACCAAAGTTCATCATTCTAAGAGTTATTCTCCTTCTCTTTTAAAGATTATTGGGCATGATACAAATCGGATCACCAACTCTTCTCTTTTCAAGATTATTGGGCATGATGAACAAACCGGAGAAAGCGAGAGAGAGAATTAGTCAAGATCATCCGCTGATGAATTACATGAAACTGATGATATATTCAGAATACGAATCTAAATACAAGATAGAGAGCTAAAGTACGAGAAGCAAAATATGAGAAAACAGTACAAGAAGCAAATTACGGAAAACAGACATATAGATTCTATAGAGGAACTCAAAGGGATAGGGCGATCTATTTGATGTATTGAGAGAGCCACTTGAAGCCTTCACCATATCCCATTTTTCTAACAATGCTGCACATAAACACCTCCAATGGTCTCACATTCGAATCAGTTAGATTCACTTTGCCTTTACCAGTTGTGAAATTGGAGAGACCAAGATGGAATCGAAGCTCGTCCTCAGATGCAGCGTAAGGTATGTCGATTTTGTTCCCTAGGATGAGGAATGGGACAGTGGCTAAGGATTCATCTGAGAGAAGTGCATCAAGCTCCTTTTTTGATTCTGCAAATCTCTCCTTGTCATAAGCATCCACTAGGTAGACCACAGCATCAACCTGTGAAAACCCTCAACAAGAATCAATACCCTATGAATGACTTCAAACATATAATGATGTATATAGAATGTTTTCGATTCGAAGAAAAACCAATAAGGTCTATAGTGAGAGAATGTGAAGTAATCTTCAAAGAAGGCTTCTCAAGGTTCTTAGTACATAAAGGAATGAGTAGTTAATAAGATATTTAACCTTAGCATAGTAATCTTTCCACACTCTTCGTGCAATTTGATGACCGCCCAAGTCAAAAGCCTTGAATTTGATTTTGCCAATGCTAAGCTCTTCAGAGGTTGGATGCTGAGTTGGTTGATGCTGCACCAATCTCTGTTACACAAATCTCCAAAAGCGTTAAGCTAAATTCAGTAAGAAACAAATAAAAACTGATGAACACCATCCAAAGCAAAATTCAATCAGGAAACGAAAATTGATATCAAAGTAAACATCTGGAGTTACGTGAGATCGAGCCTGAATGCATAAAAAGTAAAACCCTAATTTGGATCAAACTGCTAAATTAAGATCAGAATCTACTCCAAAACTAGACTCTTCTAAGCTCTGTTTCAACACCCAGATTCCAATTACACATGAATTTGAACATCTAATAATCAGTTGAAGAACAAATCCAGACAAATCAAACGAAATTTCAACGGGAGCAAATGGAAATCAAAAACGAATTGGATCGATTCGATAGCTGAAACTAGAACATGATCTAAGAAGAAGGAGGTGAAATAAGGGAGAAGCGAGAGGATCGAACCTCGTCTTTCAACATGTGAAGCAAGGTGGTTTTACCGGCATTATCGAGACCTAGAAACAAGATCTTGGCTTCTTTCTGCCATAGACCTAACGATGCGAGCACGCCGTAGAACCAATCTACCAAGAACATCGCCGCACGATCCACGAATACCAGATCGCGACGAGATCGTTGTTAACCTTTTTCGAAATTTTAGCTTCGAAGACGAGTAAAGAGAAAAGAGACAATCAGAGAGGAAGAAGAAAACTTGTGAGGATATTCTAAGTAAGTTTGAAACGGCAAGCAGTGTGTTGATTCTGATGTTAATATCTCTCTTAAACGGCAAGGAGTGTGTAGATTCTTGTAACAATGAAAGGACGATGAAACGGCGTCGTGTTAATCCACGCACTTAGATAAGCTATTACAGGCTTTTGGACCGAGTGAGAGGGCCCATTAATAGGAGATATTTGCTTAGCAAGTGGAATGGTCACTTTCAAATACTATCTCTATCTTTTATTTTTTTCCTACAACCCACACACCATAATACATTGTAACTTAGATTGAAATTCGAATGATATGATTGTGGAATTAGTTAAAAGAAACTGAAAATCTCGATTTTATTTGTGATTAGCAACCGAACTTTGTGATTTAAAAATTGTTGTTTGTTAACTTGAAATAACAAAAATTAAATGGGATGTAATTAAAATCATAAGTTTGAAGGAGGTCAATGTTCTGATACGAAAAGTGATTCGATTTGTTTTGTGATATTTTCATGAAATTTAGACGAAAGATATTTCTATTACTAGTTCTTATTATTTGTTGTATTTCTAGTAATAATGGGAGGATTTTGCCGACCATCAATATTATTTTTTGCCTTTTGTGGATGTTAATAATAATCAGCCGAATAAAAACTCCAACGTAGTAGATAAGATCGGAACAGAATAAGATAAGCCCAAATGTCTACGTCCAAGTGTACTTTGAGAGTGGGAAAAAGCTAAAAAAATTCTTATGTGTGTTCGTTCGCATTTAGTCTTCTTTATCTCAACGTGTGCAAAAAATTTCGCATCAACATTCAACAATCATCGATGACTCGATGTTATATTGATTAATGATTATATTAGTTATATGTCGCATAAAATACATAATACCGATTACTGTTTACTGTAGTAGAGTGTTTTATAATTATAAAGAAAAAAATCTCGAAAACTGTTTAATAAAAAAGAATGCCCAAGAAATAAGAAATCATTTCTTAAACAACTAAATAAGTAAATATGAGAGCTATCTATATGAATTAGTTATCATTATGTTGTGGTGGAGATTGGAGAATTGTTTATGATATGCATCTAAATATTCGTGTGGGTTTGTCGCTGTCGTTCTCAGTGTGACTAAATGACTATAATCTTTGTATCTCTTACAAAACTTGAATATAATTAATTGTTTATAAATACATAACATATACAACTATATTTAGTATGTGCTATCAAATATTATACAAAACAAAAGATAGATGCCAAAAAAATACAGCGAATGCTTTGACTTGTGTGATCTCGTAACCATACAAAACTTTTTTGTATATCCATTTGTATGTTCCAGCTTTCGCAATTTCTTAAATAAAAACAGTCTTTGTTTTCTAAAAACGTTATCTTACAAGTCAAAATTCAAAGTTACAACTATAGTATTATCTGAACAGCCAAAACAAACCACAGCAAAGAGTCAAAAACATTTGGTCAAAGCTTACAATGTTGGGAAATTGTTATTACAGCTTACATTATTAGTAAAATAATGATTATATATTAGTAGAATCTAGGACCATTAGCGAAGGGAATTAAAATAAATAAGGAATATTATCCAGAAAAAAACAAGGGAACAGAGGAAAAGGGTAAATTTGTAAATTCATAAACGTTTGCTTACGAGCACCTTTTAAAGTTGGACTCTTTCTCTTCTCATTCATTTGTTCTTTCTTCAGAGGAAAACAAAAAACAGAGCATTTTTTTTTGGTCAAGAACAAAAAAAACAGAGCATACTTTTGAAAAGCAGAGCTTGGAGCGCTTTTTCCATCTAAAATTCAAAAGCAGAGAAGATGGGAGAAGTAGTATTGTTCATAGATGAAACATATTTGAAATCGAGTTTTAATCGCTGTAGAATCTGTCACGAAGAAGAAGCTGAGAGCTACTTTGAAGCTCCTTGTTCTTGTTCAGGAACCATCAAGGTATATATCGAAATCAAGATTTGTTTTTTTTTTAATGTTAACTTTGAGTTTAAATTTGAGAACCGATATTGAATATTGTGATTTCGTTGGATTAGTTCGCTCACAGAGATTGCATACAACGATGGTGTGATGAGAAAGGAAACACTATTTGTGAAATTTGTCTCCAGGTTTGATTTCTAATTTATCAATATTTTTTTATTTGTCTAATATTTAATTTCTTTTTTTGGGGTTTTGCTTTTGTGATGTTTAGATTATAATTTGTTTTTCTATCTTCTCCCAAAATTTTGAACTTACGTAATTTGTTTTATTTTTTTGTTTCTTCTAAGTTTCATCTATTTTCTTGAATAACAACGATTGTAACAAAAACTTTTATCCTTCGTGTCCCATAATCTTTGGCATAATTAGAAAAGGAAAAATATTCGATTCTCGTAAAAGATCGTAATCAATGAGCCAATGCCACTCTGTTTATGATATCATATTTTCGATTATTTATTTATGTAATCTATAAATTAAATGAATTACAAAAAGAGTTAGGAACAAAAATGGTAACTGGATCCATCGTTTTATGGGACCCATAACATACTTTTCTGATTCTGGCTTGGATTATTTCAGTTACTAACTTTATTTTCTTTATTGGCTTGATTTTTTTATTGGTCTATAAATCTACTCAGAATTAACACTATAATGTTGACTGAGAAATTACTTTAAGAAATTTGTAATATTGTGCAGGAGTATAAACCTGGATACACCACAACTTCAAAACCATCTCGACTGATTGAAGCAGCAGTCACAATCAGGTGATTCATTTTCTTAAGAACTTAAATTTCAGGTTTAGATTAAACTTTGAAGATTTAGAATGAAATTTCTGTTCTTGAAAATTGAAATTCATGTTTTTGTTATAATTCCCCAGTTATTATAACAACAATAATCCAAAACGAATAAAATTTAATTTATGAACAGAGATAATTTACACATAGCGAGAATAGAAAATGGAAGAAGAAGAAATAGAAGATTAGTGAATAGAGAAGAATCAGATTTTCAAGAATGCAACTCTGGTGTTGATAGAGGCGCCTCTTGTTGTAGATACTTGGCTTTCATTGTAAGTTCTAATATCTATCCCCTGTTTTTTTTTGTTTTTTTTTTAAATGTTTCACGTAATATATTTATTATATTCGTATGATATTATTAAAAATACAATTATGTTTAGATGATATAGACATCAAACAAATTAGTTAAAATTAAATGATGGGTGTGGAAACGAGAAACCTTGGTTTAGTGAGGTCCAAATCATAGAAATGGTGGCAACCACTTCTATCGAATCGACATTTAAGGTTCGCATGATTGGTAACCACAAATAATAAATATGTCCACTTGATTATCAATCGTTTATAATTTATAGTAATACAAAAGCTAGTGAAACAATTAATTGCTAACAAAAACGGGTATATACTTGTTAACACGAACTTTAATATTTTAATTTTGAAAACAAAGTTTGTATCGTTTTGCGTTAGAAATGGTTCAAGTTTGGTGGTGCTATGAAATATAGAGATAAATACAGGCATTTAGGTTCGGTGGGTTTGTTCGGTCGACCAAAAAACACTAAAGAAAGAAAAAGGTTTCCTCTTTTGGAACCAAAAGAATGTCTGTGTTACTAAATTCAGAAATGGTTCATAGTGGTAAGTGGTAACATAGCCCATGACGTCTTTTCCAAGCTTTAACCCATATTCAAGCCATACCCAAATTGAACCAAACCAATTTTATTTGAGCTAGATATCATATCATAACATAGCCATATTCTTATGGGTACATCTTTTACGGCGTGACTCTTTTGGTTGGAATTAAATTGATAAAAAAATAATTTTTTTTTTTTTTTTTTTGCAGTTTTCGGTTGTTTTGTTGATAAAGCATGCATTTGATGCGGTTTATGGAACTGAAGAATATCCCTATACAATATTCACGGTAAATTGCTCTTCTTTTTCTAACTATATGATTCTAGAGATAAACAAATTGATTTACTATTTAGTTTTGTTTTGTATGTCTTCAAAACTAATGAATAGTGAAAATAATGGCAGGTATTAACATTGAAGGCCATAGGCATACTATTGCCAATGCTAGTTATCATTAGAACCATCGCAGCTATTCAAAGGAGTCTCCGATATCAAATTCTCGTAAGCTCTCAAAATATGAACTGCTGATTGTTATGTTTGTTGTTGTACAAATGTTTTAACGATTTTGTCTCATTCTTACATTCCACACTTTACATATGATTCTAAGTTGTTAGACCTCTATATATTGTCTCTATGTTGACATTTAATTTTGGTCATTTGTTTCAATAGGAATCTGAAGAAGATACATTGAGCTCTGAAGAAGGAGATCATGGTTTCGAGGAGGAAGAGCAACAACAACATTTGGCTTGAACTTTTTTTTTTCATTTTCTTCAAACCTTTATTCAGAAAATATGGAATGTACCCCCACAAAATAGGAATATGTAACCATTAGCAAATGTATATTATGTTAAGGACTATACGTAGATGTTAATCAAATATTTAAACATAAATATAGGATAAAGACTTGACCATTATCTTCTAGATGAAATGTTCATGGAAACTTGCTGAAAAAACAAAGCGAAATTGAAAGATCTTAAAAACAGATATAATGATTCGGCCCACTGGGAATAATTCAAGTAGCCCAATTTGATTGAGTTAATCAAAACAGAGATAGCGCAATTGAAGGACATGTGGAGATATGGACGGTCAAGATCTAATGACAATTTAAGGGTTAAATGACGAAAACACCCCTTTATGAAGAAAAGGATAAAAAAGGTTTTAAGTGTGGCTGCTGGGATTCGAGCCCAGGTCTCCACGGCCACAACGTGGAATTCTTACCACTAAACTACAGCCACTTTGTTGATGATCTTTCCATGTTTTATTTAATAAACCTAAAACAGTCATGTTGATCAATGCGATTGTCTCAGAGTGAAAATTCAGTTTATAATAGACTAGAATATTATAATCTCCAAAAAACGTTTTAAAATTCATAAAAGACTAAACATTCTAACTATACTCTTCATTCATAACCAATTTTTTTTTTTTAAGTTACCATTAATTTTGACATTTTTATACATTACGTACCATACTTGTTGTAATGTGCTTTTTCGATATATGAAGACTAATAACTGTAAATTTCTGCATAGCATTTTTTTCAAAGTTCTATGCAAATTAACAACATAAACATTGTTTTTTTAAATTGAAATACAAAAAGAAACTTTGAGAGTTTAATACACAGATGACAAACAAATTGAAAACCTTAAAAAAAAAAAAACTTAAGTTTTGGTTTAGTAACACAAAATAGCATTACATTATTTATTGATATTACCATAACTTTAAAAAACGACTGCTTGAATTGCTGCTTCTCCTCAGATCCAAATCTATCTAGATGGACGGGATTGCTTAGACCTTTTAGAAGCACCAGTCTTTCTAGGTTGTCGACCACGAGACCAAACCGCATGTTCTGGTCCATAGCAGTAGTCGAAGAAAAGCTCCTCATTTTGTTCGATTGCTCTCTCTGCAAATAGACCAATCCTCTGATCTCCTCTCACAATCATCAACTGCACACGAAACCATTATTTGAGTTTTTTGGAATGTTTTGGAGATGTATGATTCTATATGAGAACCAATCAGCAACGAGTAAAGTTAATATATGATTTAACTAAAAAAAACTAACATAAGTATTTTTGTTTGTTAATGTTAGTATATGTACTTCAAGATAAAGTAGAATGGCTTGGTACCTTGGCGTAGCAGTTAGGTCTTGCTGAGTGATTGAGAAATTTGAACTTGTTTCCATAACGGCGAGCATCGATTTCGAGCTGTAAAATGTTACTTTGATTAGAATAAATGTGTAAATCGCGAATAATTAAAATGTTACTTTGATTATTCTAAAGTTACCTGATCATTCAAGGTAAAGAGGTAGGAAGAACCAATCCGATCTTCTACTCTCCCACGCTCATTTGCTTCCTCATGAGTGATCAGTTCTCCAGTATATTCTCCGAGAAACTCATTCTTTTTAAGAGAGTCCTGACGGATCAAACCAAATCACACAACATATTTAATGGTCGAAAGTATAAAACATTAAAAACAAACAAAGAGAAGAGTTATATAACAATGCACCAGTAACTATTAAATTTATCCTTATATTCAGAAGATTGCTTACCGGTGTAAATGCACCCCATCCATGAACACTAGACTTTCCAATGAGAATCTAGTGAATACGAAAAGAAGATAATTAAATTTTTTCTGTATAATCAGTTTAAATTTTAGATACGGATTTGACGTTGATGGTTACCTTCTTATTTTTTTTAAGGAGGAAATGCATGTTCTTGCATTGTATTTGCTCTGATGGCTCACCAAGAGAGCCATCTCCACAGCTATATATAAAGACTTTTAGTTTGAACTTTAATTATCGAATTTGTAAAGAGATATATTAAAGTGAAAGTGTTACCTAAGAGGACAACTCCGACATAGATCTGGATCGCATTCACGATTAGCAGCAAAACAAGGACATTGTCGGTTTGTGCATTGGCCAATTGCACAATAACATCCTCCAAAGCGATTGTTGCAATCCTTGGGGCACCTGAACAAAAAAATACAAACTCATGTTCAAATTAAATCTTATGGATTATAGACCTTAAAAGAATGACATATATACCCGCAATATTTCTCGCAGCAATTTTCATTAGTTAAACAAGGGCATTGAGCTCCACATTTTGACTTGCAAGTGCATGGTGTGTAGTGCTTATAAAACTTAGCTTCTCCATTAGTTGTTTTCTTTAAAGCAGGCGGATAACGAGCATACTTTCGGAGTCTGGATTTTTTGCGGACCGACCTAGTACCTTTTCGAGATACTTTTTTGTTAACCTGTAATTATGAGACCATCAAAATGAAACTTGAATAATGTGTTTCTATAACATATATACATGTCATGAGGATTGGGACATAAGTTTTGTTTACCTGATTTTTTGTTTTTGTAGTTTTGTAAAGGACTAATGACATAGTACATTGATCTTGTTCAAGCATGTAATTGTAAACCTCTAGACAAGTCTTAAGCCCCCGAAGTATGTTTAAGGTAATAACACAACTGCGAACAAGCATGATCAAGGAATACAGTGTAAGTATATATATTCATGCATGAAATCTATTTTCAATTTTTTACCTGTTTCTCCCAAAGATTTGAACTCCTTTCAAGTAAAGATCCTTCTCCACAGGCGTCCACATAGTTGTGTTTGGATCTGAGACCACATTCTTGTTTGATATAGAGTTATCATTATCTACCGCATGATCAGCTTCTGTCACACTCCTCACCTATTAAATATTAAACCAGTAATAAAACGTAATTAAGAAATAAACAAATATTGCGAGAGAGAGAGAGAGAGAGAGGGAGAGAGATAGAGACCTTGAGGTAACAATGCTCACTGCATGGTTGTCTATCTTCATTCTCAAACAAACCAGATTTGTCTTCGGTCTGACAAGCCAAAGCAATCTAATTAAGTTATATATAAGGCTTGTGGAACTAAAAACTTATTTAAATGAATAAATTTAAGCTTACGGGTCTAAACTCGGGCTCAAACTTCTCATGCATATGACAATCAAATATCTGTAAAAAGGAATTAATAAAATAAAATAAAAATATGTATGATCTTCTCTTTTTTTTTTGTGGCTAAATTAAAAAGGAAAGATTCAAAGTTACCAAGCAACGGCGGCAATGACGTCTATCAGCAAAATCCTGAAAAGCAGTAGTTATTGTCTTGGATGTCATATCAGAAGCCTCACCAACAGTTTCATCATTCTTAAGCTTGAGCTCATTGTATCTTTCCTGCATAGATTTTGAAAAATTCAAAACATTTCGCAACGGGGAAAAAAGAACAAAAATAAGCGAGACGATTATTGATCGATGTATGAAGATTCGAATCGATTATTACCAATATATCGGAAACTTCCACTTCAAGGAACTTGGCGAGAGCACGCTGCACGACCAGATCATCCAAACCATAATCCTGCCCAACCGTCCTGGAAATTTCTTGACCAGTTTATTAAATATGGACTAGTTGAGTACATATATACATTAATAATCAAGAACATATGTTATGCAAAAAACTAACCATATAAACCGGTCTACATCTTTGGAAAATTCGCATTTTTCTTTCTTGATTTCTTCCTCGTCTTCTTCTTCATCTTCTTCATCTTCTTCGCTGCTCAATTCTAGTGTCTCACCATTCAAATAATAGATTTGTCTCTTACCAATCACAGAATCACTTTCAGCCATCAGCTGGCTACTGCAGTGTTAAAGACATGTATTTATGCACTATGAGTGAATAATATAGACATATAGTATATGATTAATATTTTGAAACTAGTATGGAACAAGAAAAAACATGCCTTTTGATGAAGACCCATGTAAGGGATCGTGGTAGCTGCTCAACAACTGGAAGGTTGACACTTGGAAATAATGGTGCCTTTTCCTTACTAACACAACCTTGATCTTCGTAAGTATCAGAATCAGATAATGGTGCCTTTTCCTTAAAAACATAACCTTGATCTTCGTAAGTATCAGAATCAGATAAGGCACTGAAATGATGAAGTGGGTTTTGCATTCTAGAAAGAAGTGTTTTGTTGTCTCCTTCATTATCATCCTCTGCAAGGGGCTGGTTTAAGTCAAACGATTGATGGTGTGAAGCATGAGCAGCTACACTTGGAATGCATCTCAGCTCGAATGTTTTCTGTTAACCAATTAACATATAGGTAAATGATTTTCAAAATATCAGAAACTGGAACTCTATAGTGAAACTAGAATATTTGAATATAAAAGTTTTGATTTAGAATCCTTTATATATGCATCAATCTTGGCTTCTTATATACATATCCCTGACCCATTAAATTTTGAAGTCCTAGGCATAAAATATATACAGTTTTGGATTTGGACCTATATAGTTTCTTTGTACTTTAAAAACAAATTGTATTACTATTTTGTTTGACAAAAACAAAAAATTGTACTACTATTTTCAATTTTATTGTTTTAATTAAAACCTAATTTTCAGCTTTATATTATAAATATATTAAATATTTTTTATTCTAAGTTTTGGACGGATATCCAAAACTTAAGATCCGGTAGATCTGGATGTCTGTTATCGATTGCCCATATTTTCAACGAAAATATACAGCAGAGAATAATATATTGAAGCAACCAAATGTCTTTTACCTTGATATGCTGAAATCTCTCCTCTTCGATTTGCTCTTTTATCTGATTTATTTCGGGTGGCAAATCCTCACCATCGTCCTCATGGTTGTCCTAGACAAAATCAACAATACAAGTTTTATTAGATCATGGGACGAATAACATAAATCTATCACAAGAAAATTCAACCCTAAATGTTATTGATCTATCATAAAACACAATTAAAATATATGGATTTCATAACCTAGTCACTTCAGATCTGTTTGGAGTAAAACTAACCTTCTCCATTACCACTCGCCTCTTCTTCTTTTTTGTCTTCTCTGATGTTGTTGTTGAAAAGGATAATGCAAAGGGGTTTTTAATTAAATAAGAAGTTGAATTTTTTGGAAAAAACCTTAATAAGGAAAATTATAAATCTGGAAGAAACGTATTTGGACTTGCTTGCTTTAAAAGGAAAACAATATGGGAAATTTAAGAAAATTTTAATTTTCAAAATATTGTACTATATGTATGTGGATGTTGGGTTTGCTATTAATTGACGTTTTGACAGCTCAAGTTTAAAGTCATATACTATATCATAAGCAAAAAAAAAATTAAACTCATCTTTATGTGACCAATGAAAAAAAAAATGTTGATAGATATAATAAAATGTTGGAGTGCCCGGTAAATGAAACTAATATTAATGTCGTTATCTTTTAGTATTTACTCCTAGCTAGTTTTCTGTTTAAGCTTATAAATGTATACATATATGGAAGAAACGAAATGAGTTTAAATCGTCGAAAATATATATATAGTGTATATTATTCTATACGTAAATTTAAATACATGCATTTACAACGTAAATTTTACGTAATTCCGATACTTTTTTACTATTTATAACGTTAATTAAATGTTCAAGTTTTTTTCTTAAAAAGTAACTACGCTACGTGTTATAAATATAACTATAAAAAGATTTAAATCCACTTAAATTAATGTTCAATGGATAACTTTAGATATAAAAAAAAACTTTTGCTGTTTGATATTCTATTAATTTTCTCACATAAGGGTTAAAATTCATAGCAAGAAAGAAGAAATTTAAATGAAAAATTCTCAAAAATATTCAACTGAATTTGAGTATAATATGTCCAATCTCTTACACATGATCATCAACAACACACGATTCGCACCCTTTTCTCGACCTCCTAATGGTCAAAACTAACATGTTCACAAAGTACAAAAACCCTTTGATGATCTTCACCAAACCAATTCCAACACAGATGTAATACATACACCAGTTCACAAAATTGAGACCCTCCAAACGAATGGGGAGGTTACGTTTATCCTCTGTAACCACCACAAGAAGACTTTCTACCTCATCTCTTAGCCTCCACCACCACATTAGACCAAAGGTCAGTGCCACAACGGCTCTCTCGGACCACCTCTCTTCCACGTAAACCCCATATATAGTTTTGTCAACCACAGGCTTAACCACGACTCTAAACCACATCAGCATCACTTCGTGTAGCCCCAAAAAGAACAAAACCCTAACCAGCACACATCTTTCATGTGTCGCAAGAAACAAGTTTTTGTCTGGATTTATAGACATGGTCGTGCTCATGGTTCTTTTGATTCCGAAGGCACAAGCTTGGGCGATGAAGAGAACGATCCAGCAGATGTAGAGATGGGAATGGAGAACAGAGCATTCTGGTTTACCTAAGAGACTGTGGAATAAAGTGAAGACGATGATGAGAAACAAGATCGTGTATAAGACTGCGACATCGGCCTGGTGAAGAACAGAGAATACGCCGGAGACGGTGACAGGAGCTGAGGAGGTATAGAGAGAGAGACGTGAAAGGAAAAGGAAAGATAGAGGGAGGAGGAGGCTAAGAAAGCTAATGGAGATCATTTGAGATGGTCGAACCAGTGACCAGCTGTTTCTTGTGTTCTTTTGTGTTTCTTCATGTTCCATCTTAATTCGCAAAGATTGAAACACTCAGAAGAAGAAGAAAATGGGAAGACACACTGTTTCTTGAATGTGAAGGAACAGAGGATGTAAGAAAGATCTATATAAAAGCACTAAAACAGTGTGTTTGGCAGCCACGTCTATGTTCAGCTCTTAGCCCACAAGATTTAATATATATGTTCACCGATGAATACAGCCGGCAGATGGATAATCGTCGTGCGTAATAGAGTTGGAGAAATTTTATTTAAAGAAATAATGGTTACTAAAGTCTACAAGTGGGTTTATATTCAAAATAGTTTTTATGACCAAAATGAATTCGACGTTCCCAATATATCTAGTGTTCGACCATTACATGGATATAGTTCATCGATATCTTTTTTTTTTAATTAGATTAATCGTGTGTACACAATATTATAACTAGATTAAATGTTATATTAAATATTAAATAATTCTTTGAAAAAGAGGATAAATTCAACTTCTTGAGTGGACAGGTAAATTAACTCTATAGGAAAGTTCGTTATAAATCCTTGAGTTAAAAATTGACAAACTCAGGATTAAGACTATTTAAATCGTAACTTACTAAATTTTACGTAACTCAGAGGATTAGAGCACGTGGCTACGAACTACGGTGTTTCCGATATTTTTTACTATATTTATAACGTTAAATAAATGTTCAAGTTTTTCTTAAAAAGTTACTTTATATATTATGCACGTGTTATAAATATAACTAGAAAAGACTCAAATCCACGTAAATTAATGTTGAATGGTTAACTTTAGATTTATTTATTTTTTTGCTATTTGATATTCTAAGGTTAAATTTATAGCAAGAAAGAAGAAATTTAAATGTAAAATTCTCAAAAAATTTCAATTGAGTTTGAGTGTAATATGTCAAATCTACACATGATTATCATTACACATATCATCAACAACACACGATTCACAGCCTTTTCTGGACCTCTTAATGGTCAAGATTAACATATTCACAACATACAAGAACCCTTTGAAAATCTTCACGAAACCAATTCCAACACTGATGTAATACATCCACCAGTTCACAAAATCGAGACCCTCCAAATGTATCAGAAGGCTACGTTTAACCTCTGCAACCACCACCAGACTTTCTACCTCATCTCTTAGCCTCCACCACCACATTAGACCAAAAGTCACAGCCACGACGGCTCTCTCCGACCATCTCTCCTCCTCCATGTAAACCCCGAAAACAGTGTCGTCGACCACCGGCTTAACCACTACTCTAAACCACATCAGCATCACTTCGTGTAGGCCCAAAAAGAACATAACCCTAACCAAAACCCACCTTTCTTGAGCAGCAAGAGAAAAGCTTTTGTCTGTAGTTATAGACATGGTCGTGCTCATGGTTCCTTCTATTCCGAAGGCGACACAAGCTTGGACGATGAAGAGAACGATCCAGCAGATGTAGAGATGGGAATGGAGAACAGAGCATTCTGGTTTTCCGGAGAGATTGTGGATTAAAGTGGAGACGATGATAAGAGACAAGATTGTGTATAAAACTCCGACGTCGACTTGGTGAAGAAGCGAGAATACGCTGGAAACGGTGACTGGAGCTGAGGAGGAGGAAACAGAGAGACGTGAAAGGAAGAGGAAAGAGAGAGGGACAAGGAGACTAAGAAGGCTAATGGAGATCATTTGAAATGGTCGAAGCGGTGACCAGCTGCTTCTTGTGATCTTCTGTGTTTCTTCATGTTCCATCTTAATTCGCAAAGAAGAAAAACGGGAAGAGACTGTTGCTTGAATGAGAAGAAACAGAGTATGTAAGAAAGATGTATATAAAGCTTTAAGAAAGTGTGTTTGGCAACCACGTCTATCGTCAACCACAAAGTTCCTTTTCTTATTCCTTTATTTTTTTTAATCTACTACACATACATATTTAATTAAAAATGTCGAGACTATTTATAATTTTCATTTATTTGCTCATTGATAAACAGAGCCGGCTGATGGATGATCTTCGTTTTAACAAAAAAATATCTGAGAAATAATAGAAATAGAGATTTTTTTCATATTTAAGCTAAGGATTTTTTTTTTTAAATGGTTACTACAAGTTGGTAATAATAATTTAAATTTCACAAATAGTATCTTTGACCAAAATGCATCCGACGGACCCAACATATCTTAAATATGGATAAAGTTCCTCGATATCTTCTTTTTGTTTTTATTTAGATCACAAATACGTGTGAATATAGTATTATAAGTAGATTAAATGTTATATTAAACATCTTCTGATTTTTTTGAAAGAAAAAGAGTATAAATTCAAGGTCTCGAGTGACAGGTAATAAATCAATAGAAAAGTTAGTTATAAATCCTTGTGATAAAAATTGACAAACTCAGGATTAGTGGAGTTGTAACTTTCAGTTTGAAAATGAAAGTCAAATCAAAATGCATAAATCTTCAACTCCTTACCGTTAAATAATTAAGCAGCAGCAATGGTAACTTTTTGCCTTTGTTAACAAAAATTTAAAATAGGCTAATAATTCGATTAGACTGGATAAAAAAATTGCTTAAAGATCAAGGTTGTTCAATCAAACAGCAGGGCAAGAAAATTTACTTTGTTCTTCATGTATGTATCAACTACAGATTTTGATCCCAAACAAATCTGATTTTCCTTCTAGAAGCATATTTCATGGAAAATCTCAGTTCATAAAAGGCCAAAAAAAAAAAAAAGTGCTAAAGCTGAACCACTACCTTCAGGCGATTAAGCTGCTGCAAGTGGCTGGAGAGCTTTAAGAGGGTTCATGATAACACCGTCGATAAGTCCATACTCTTTTGCTTCTTTAGCACTCATGAAGAAATCACGGTCTGTGTCCTGGTTTATCTTCTCCAGGCTTTGACCAGTGTGGTACGCGAGGTAACCGTTTAGGTTTGCCTTGTGATGCAGCATTTCATTTGCCTGGTTTCAGACCATGAACATGTACATTTAGGTTTCAAAAATCATCTGATATTCCAATCAATCTAGTCTCTCCAAAAAACTTAAGAGGATGACTGGGATTAAAAATCGAAATATAAAGGCGAGGATGAATGACCTGAATGTCAATGTCGGTTTGGCCACCTTGAGCTCCACCAAGCGGCTGATGGATCATTATCCTTGAGTTTGGTAGACTGTATCTTTTCCCTACAGTTTTACAAATAAAGCATGGCTCACATCAGGAAAATGAAATTAATAGACTTAACTAAAAGATTTTGCTAATGAATGAAAGGATCAAGAAGAGACTACCTTTGGTTCCAGCACTAAGCAGAAAAGCTCCCATACTGTTCATAATAAAGCCAACACAGAAAAAGAAGAGGGTGTCATAATCTAGGGAACCCACATTTAACCACACAGAAAAAAATTCCGTTTTTCGAGAAACACTATGTTTTTGACTGGTAACTTTTGGTCATGCATCCAACAAAAGTTTAGTTAACCACATTGAAAAGAGAAATTTTAAAATGTACAAGAAACTATCAATTTACCAAGGACCCTAAGAAAACCAAGAGGTAATGTGAGGTAAAGGATGGAGAAAGTCTCACCTAGCAGCTAGACCGACACAAACAGTGGACACATCAGGCCGGATATGCCTCATAGTATCGAATATAGCCATGCCTGGGTAAAGTAAGAGATACAAGAGTCAACAACCATAAAAGTCGGAAAAGAAAATAAAAAACTTCAAGAGATCATAGGGAAACAAGTAAGCTGACAAAGTTGTTATTACCAGCTGTAACTGATCCACCAGGAGAATTAACATACATGACAATATCCTGTTCAACATAAGCAACTATCAGAATCCTAAAACAAAAACATCTGAATCAAGTAACAAGACATGAATTAGAATTCAACAATATCTAACCTTAGTAGGATCAACAGCATCAAGATACAGAAGTTGAGCTACAATTATGTTTGCCATATCATCATCCACAGCACCACCACAGCGAATAATCCTCTAAACGATCAAAACAAAAGAAACCATCAATCAACAAGAACACTAAGCTAATAAATGTTAAACAAAGACGAGAGATTTTTATCAGCATACATATTGGAAGAGCTGACTAATGATACTCTGGAAACGTTCTTGCACCATAGGAGGTGGTCCTTGTCCTTGAGCATACACAGGAAAATACGGCGAAGAAGGGACTTGTAAATCATCTCTGCAAAGTAACAAATTTAACCATCAAAAAGAGTTCAGAATCAAAGTTCAAGAACATCGTCAAAATTTTCACCTAATGGACCAAACTCCTTGAGGAGAAGGAATCTCCGGTGTCCAGAGATTGCCGGAATATACAGCTTTCGGAGTTGAATTCTTCCAATTCTTTCTATCGCTAACTAACTTCTTCGTCTTCCTGCAAACAAAATCCCTAAATTAACCTAAAGATTTTGAAGTATCGAGAGAAATCACAGTGGAAATGGCAAAACCTTGAACGAAGGGGCTCGAAAGGAAGAGAAAGCTTGGGAGAATCGAAAGAGGAACCATTGGGACTAGCGGAGACGAATCCAGCTGTGAATCTGAGAGAAGAAGCCGATGTAGAGACGCAAGCATGAGCCATTTTCTTGTTGGTCAATTTGGGAGATGAATGAAACCCTAGTTCCGTTCACCGGCGAGGAACTTCCGGCTCTTATCCTTGTAGAAATTTGGGGATTTTTGTTTTGCTTTCTTCGAAGAGTAATGGTGAGACTAATGGTGGTGATATCTGTGTGTGTTATCGGGTCGGGTTTTAACCCGTTAATCTGGGAATGGGGCGGGTCAATTTTAGGTCCGATTATTGTACACGCTAACGCTTTTTGGTACTTACAAAACGCGATTGTCACGTGTTGTTTTCTAAGAGGAAGTTTTAGCATTAAACAATAAATATCTGTTCCAAAATTATGTGTTTATGGGCTTTGTGTGAATAACTGGGCCAAAAATATATTTGTTCCAAAATTATCTGTTTATGGGCTTTGTGTAGAACAGAGAACTGGGCCAAGGCTTCTTATCTGTTTTTTGCTTCTTCTTTTTTCTCATGCAAATTGATCAAAAGATAAATAATTTAGACGGTTTTCTAGTCTAATGATTGGCCAATAAATTAATTTATCTACACGACATATTTAATGTATTTCATGGCAAATCATGAGTATATTGTTTGGACTCCACCACATTAATGGACTCTTTAACATTTATACATACGCATTTACATGTGGATCATCTGAGAAATAGCCAAGACATTACTACAAAGCTTCTTAAGAAAATCATCAACGTTAGCCATCGGCGACTCAAGCTCCGACGACCCAGTGAACGCGTCCGAGCAAGTCACCACATCAGCGATCGCAGCACTCACTACACTCTCGAGCCTTCCAAAGTCTCCATCATCGACGGCTACGGAAGCATCTTTGAGATCATCGAGAAGCGACTCGTAGTTATCGACACATAAGTCCAAAACATCAGCCACGTCACGCGGCGTTGACTGGTCAACGATGAGACGCTTGGCTAAGTCAAGCGTGGCGTTAGCTTTCTCGTAGAGCGCACTCATCTCCATTCGAAGGACGTCGATGGGTTTTGGCTCGAATTTGCGGAAGTCACGGAGGAGTGGGAGGATTGAGACGACGCATTCGGCGGCGTAGTCGGTGTTAGAGCAGACGGAGCCAACGGCGGGTGACACGTGGAGGGATGAGATGTTGAGCTTAGAGAGATCCGGGAGGTTTTTAAAGGTGCTTTTGAGGTCCGTTAGGTTTAAAATGTTCCATTGCGTGAAGGCGGAGAAATCGGTTTCATCTACGCCGCCGCCGGTTGTGGTGGATACGGCGGGAGAAGGAGCGGCGGAGGGGACAAGGGAGGAGAAGATACGAGCGGAAGAGGAAGGAGATGATAGGAGAGAAAACAGAGCAAGAGAGAAACAGAGCAATGGTGATGACTTCTTCATCTTTTTTTGTTTGAAAAAGCTATAAGAGAGGGTTATTTTGAATGAAGATTTTAGAGAAATTGTTTTGTTTATAAACACTAAAACACTAATTTTAGAGTAATTTTTGTTATCTAAATTTTCAGTTTTTATTTAACACCGAACTAGTTCATGGATGGTTTGTTGCCAGTTAATGTTGTTACTTGTTAAATATCTTTTATCATTATGGTAATTTATTTACTAAATATAGATCATATCAGAGATTATTTAGTAAAATTAGTGTCAATTAGACAAGTAATGAAGTAGATACTTTATATAAATATTGCAGCACAAAACAGAGTATACAAGAGCTTTTTAGTTTGCTTAACGACGATCGGTTATTACAGTTTATCTATGCTATCAAATCGTAAAGAATCACCAAGTTTGGATATATGATTAGCCACTAACTTATTCTGCACGTAACCAATCTTATAGAGTTATCTAATGAACTCCTTTGTATTTTTAGAATAGGAAAAAAAACATTATACAATTTTAATTAAAATAAATTTTGAAAAAATCTTTTATTTTGATTAAGCAGATGGGTTGATAACTTTTAATCCAAAAGATAAAATTCATAAACCAAAACATATCATATCAATTAGAAGCAGTCATGTGTAGCTGAACTAGCGAGGCATAAACCCCACCGTCGATTTTGATCAAAGTCCCGTGAGTCCCTTTCTCAGCGATCACACCATTCTTAACGACGGCAATTACGTCAGCGTTTTTAATGGTCGATAACCGATGAGCTACCACTACCGTGGTTCGGTTTACCATCACTCGGTCAAGCGCATCCTGAACCACTCGTTCTGATTCGGCATCAAGAGCGCTTGTTGCTTCGTCCAAAAGCAATATCTTCGGCTCTTTCACGATGGCGCGTGCTAAAGCTACGCGCTGTTTCTGTCCTCCTGATAATTGAATTCCTCTCTCTCCCACCACTGTGTCGTAACCCTAAAAAAATATTTTCCTTGCGTCGTAAGTAAACTTTGGAAAAACAGAGTTTCTACAAAAGAAAATTATTTTTCTTATCTTACCTGTTGTATGCTAGAGATAAATTTGTGTGCATTGGCGAGTTCGGCGGCAGCTATGATTTCAGCCTCGGTTGCAGCGTCTTCGCTTCCTTTGCCATAAGCAATATTGGCTCGAATCGTGTCGTTGAACAAGACCGGTTCTTGTCCCACTAGTCCCATTTGTTGTCTCAACCATTTCAACTGCAGCTTCTTGAGCTCAACTCCGTCTAAAGTTATATGACCGGAATCTGGATCATAAAATCTTTGTAACAGCGAAATCACCGTCGATTTCCCCGACCCGCTTTCTCCTACCAAAGCAACCGTCTGCAAGAAAAATATAGAGAGGCAGAACTGATCAGAACAAATTTCTTAAGAGAAGGTTTAGTCCAACGATTTGTGTACCTTTCCTGCGCGAATGGTTAAGCAAAGATCACAAAAGATCTGAATGTCTGGTCTTGCTGGATAAGTGAAGCTTAAGTGACGAAGGTCGATATCTCCCTTAACGTTCTCCAACACTGTCCCTGACTCTTCGCTCGAGTCTATCTTCGATTTTCTATCGATGATTGCAAAGATCGAAGCAGCTGCAGCCTTGGCTTTGCTCGAATCTGGAGCGAAAGTACTCGACTGAGAAACCCCAATCGCTGCCATTGTTAACGCAAAGAACACCTGCAAGATCCATTCTACTACATTACTAGGTCACAGAGATATTCAAAAATATTTAAGCATGATCATTAGGACAGCAATTTACCTGGAAAACATCAATGAAAGTAGTCCTGCCATCTTCAACCAATCTAGCAGCCGCGTAGAAGCTTGTCGCGTAGAAACAAAACAGAATGAAGAAAGAGAATCCAAACCCTAATCCGCTGATGAAACCTTGCTTTATTCCATCTTTTATCGGACCTTCGCATTGCTTCTTATACATCTGCATCACTTTTTCCTCCGCGCAGAAAGAAGCAACTGTTCTTATACTCCCTACCGCATCATTCGCTACCTGACTCGCCTCCTCATACTTTGACTACATAGTTATCCAAAACCAGAGTAAGTTTCTTGATTCACAAGAAAAAAAACAGAGGATGTTAGAAGCAACCAAATTGATTGATGAACGGACCTTTGCGTCGGCACTGAATCCTTTCATAAACTTGACTTGAAGGAAGCCATTGATACCAATAAGAGGAAGCATCAATAATATTATAAGCGCCAGTTCCCAACTCGCAGTGAACGCTATAATCAATCCAGACGCAGCAGATGCAGCATTTTGAACCGCTAGAGACAATGCATCTCCAACTAGAGCTCTAATCAAAGCTGCATCAGTCGAGAGCCTGGCCCCCATTGTACCACTCGAGTTCTCTGGCTCATCGAACCATCCAACTTCCATGTGAACCGCTTTCTCAAAGCACATTGACTGAATTCGTCGAATTAGTTTTCCTCCAGCTACTGCAAACAGATACATTTGAGACGGTGAGACAATCAACGAAGTTACTCCCAGAGCTACAAATATAATCGCCCAGAATCTTGATTCGTTTTTTAGTTGGTCAGCTGGTTTGAAGAACGCTTCGATGACTCTTGAAATCAGAATCCCGAAAAGCGGGAAAATAACGCCATTGATTGCTGCTGCTACAGTTCCTAGAAGAAGAACAGGGATCTCAGGTTTGTTTAGAGCTGCAATTCGGGTGAGTGATACTTTTGGGAGCGGTTCTTGACTTGCCGTTCCAGTTTCCTCTTGACCTACTCGTTGGCTACCGCTACCGAGGTCTAGTCCTGCAAATAAACCAAGAACATTCAAAGAATGATGACGGCTGCTATTTCCAACCGACGAGGTTCCGCCACTGATAACCGATCCCTCTATTGATTTTTTCAAACTCGAATTCCAGAAAGACGATCCCGCAGATATGTCTGATGGTTTCACATCATTACCCTTGTTTATCTCTTGTAACCGAATGAGCTGCGTATAAGCTCCCTCAGAATCTTTCAACAACTCGGAATGTGAACCTTTTTCCACCATTTTTCCGCGGTGAATTACTGCAATCATATCCGCATTTCTTACCGTGCTTAACCTATGCGCAATAATCAGCGTAGTCCGGTTAACCATCACTCTATCTAAAGCCTCTTGAACAACTCTTTCGGATTCCACATCGAGTGCACTTGTTGCTTCATCCAGCAACAAAATCCGCGGATCTTTAAGAATCGCTCTCGCAATTGCTATCCTCTGTTTCTGTCCTCCCGAGAGCTGTGTCCCGTGCTCTCCTACCAATGTATCCAACCCCTGAGGTAAGTTATCTATGAACTTCGCCGCATTAGCTAGTTCTGTTGCAGCTTTAATCTCTTGAAGCGTCGCATTTTCTTTCCCATAGGTGATATTCTCCATGATGCTCGACGAAAACAGAACCGGCTCTTGACTGACCAATCCGATTTTGCTTCTGATCCATCTCAACTGAAACTCCTTAAGATTAACTCCATCAATTAGTACTGCGCCGGATTTTGGATCATAAAACCTCTCAATCAAACTGATCACGGTAGATTTTCCACTTCCACTTTCTCCTACTAATGCTGCTGTTGCACCGCTGGGAATAAACAGAGAGAATCCGTCGAATATATCCTCGTCTGGCCTCGCGGGGTAACTGAAATGCACATCTTTAAGTTCAATGTCTCCTCGGATATCTTCAAGAACCTTTCCATTAACGTCATAAGCATCAATCAAAGGCTTTTGTTTGATTGTCTCAAACATCTTATATGCTGCAGCCTGACCAGCTGAAAATGCGGTTACACATGGAGATGTTTGCCCAAGCGACCTAAAGAAAAAAATAAGAATCTCACATCTTTAAGTAAAAGACATAATCTAGTATATATACCTATAGAAGTGATTGTCAAGGCTTTTACTTACATTGAACCCGCAACCACAATGATGATCACGTTGATCACAGCGCCACCAGTATACCCTTTTTCGAGTATCATCTTCCCACCAAACCAAATAGCCAAAGCATAGCTGCTGAAAAACACAAAGAACATTACTCCAAGTCCTAAACCGGTTGAGAAACCTTGTTGAATGCTTGATTTATACGCCAATGTTATGAACGTCTTGTAGCTGTTAATGGCTTGCTTCTCTCCCGTAAAAGAAGCAACCTTCAAACCAAAACAAAAGAAAAAATCAAGTAACAAAAAAGAGTTAAAGAGTGTTTTGTAGCTTAGAAAGATTGAGTTTTACCGTTCGGATAGACCCGATTGTCTGTTCAACAACAGTTGCTGCTTTTGCATAAGCGGCTTGTCCCCGAGAAGAAGCTCTAGTGACGATAAGGGCCATGGCTGCACCAGCCATAGCAAGAAGAGGAATCGAAGTTAACATAACCAATGTTAGTAACCATCCTTCAGCAAAAGCTAAAGCAAATCCGCCAACGAAAGTAGATACCAGCTGAATAAACTTCCCAACCTGCAAGATTCAAGAAAAGTTACAAACTTTTGTTTTAAGCCTGAAGTCGCAATATCGAAGTTTCTTTGTTAGTTATTTTACCTTCTCACCCATGGCATCTTGAATAAGAACAGTATCTCCAGACATTCTACCAACAACCTCTCCTGTGTTTGCTTCGACATCAAAGAATCCAATGTCTTGTCTCAGAATTGTTTTCAGATACGTACTTCTTATCCTTGCGGCTTGTCTCTCTCCCGTAATCATCCAACAAGCAACCTCTACAACAACAAGAACAAGAACAACATCACCTCATCAATTCTCTAACCCTTAAGTAAAATGCAATGGGGAAACCAAAAGAACAAAACTTTTCTTCCTCAATTCTCTCATTGCAACAGGAGAAACAAGCAAATCGCAGGTGATGACTTACGAAGAAAGGCTGCTCCAAGTCTTCCAAGTCCAAGGTAGACGAATTTAAGACAAACCTATAAGAAGACACATTATTAGTAATGTGATCTAAGGATACAATCATAAAGTTAGAAAGTTTTGATTTTTACCTTGGAGACAACATCAACAATGTCTTTGTTGTTCTGATTTTTTCCAAAGGAATCGATGAGATTACCAAACAACAATGTCATAAGAGGTAAACACACACCATTCCCAATAGCTCCAATTGAGCCACATATCATCAAGAGGACATCAAAGGAATCTGCAAACGCAAATAGCTTGTAGAAAGGAACTGTCTTCGCCTTTTCTTCGTTTTTTTCCTTTTTCTTCGTCTCTTCTTCTTCTTCTTTAGGACTTTTAGATGTTAAAGGTTCGTGTGAAACAGAGTCGCCTTCTCCGGCGCCGTCACGGTTCATTTTCCGGCGCTGACACAAATCAGAAAGTTCTTAAGAAATCTGATCATTCCCAGATCGGAATCCACGGTATATAATGATAAAGTTACGAGCTTTCTTCTTCCTAAAACCCAGAAAAGAGAGCTTTTTTAACTTTTTCCTAAAACCCAGAAAAGGCCGAGAAACTTAAAGAATTTAAGGAAACATTTCAATTCAGTCGTAGTTGAGAAATCTTAGAGTTTACTAATATAAATCCAAAAAATCCCACTTGTGATTTGTGTAAAGAGTGGTCCTTTTATTAAATTTCAATCTAAACAGTTCCCAGAAATTATCAAATTTAGGTGAAATTTTATTTTTTAATAATTATTTTATAACTTTATAGATGAATGTTAAATAAATTAAAAATACTTATTGTTCACAAAAATATTAAAATACTAATTATACTAATGTATAATATTATATTAGTAATTTAGTACAAAGATTTAATGGAAATAAAATTAGGTTTAACAATCAATTTATAGTAGTAATGAATAAGATTCTTTTTTTTTTTACTTTGAATTAATAGTGAAAATAATTAATTAAAAGAAAGAAGGAGAATTTAAGACTTAGACATGTGACAGATGGAGAGATTAAAAGAGAGGGGTAGTTATTATAGAAGTGATTTGTTATAGTAATCGGATGAACAGAGTATGTTAATTAAAGGGAAAAGAGTCACATGCTTACTCGTAAAATCAGACATCAAATTAAAACACAAAACCCAATCAGAAACTTAAAAGGGAAATAAGTGGAGAACAGACAATATTAAATGGTAGATGAAGACAATTCCGTAGACAATTTACACAAATTAACAGAGACAGAGGATTTCATTTTACCGGAAGTTGACTAACTTCCTTAGCAACTAAGCTTAAAAGTCAACAAAGATTCAAGATATTCAAGAAACATGTATGCTTGGAAGACAATATATATCACTTCAATGACTTGTATACAACAACAACAACAATAATATATGTTATGGAAACAAAACAAAAAATAAATACAAAACCTTTTGTACATAGGCTAGTTTTGACACTGAAGTTTTTAGCTCTCATAAACCAAAAATATATCATCAAAATGTCTCAATTAGAAGCAGTCATGTGAAGCTGAACAAGTGAAGCATAAACCCCGCCGTCGATTTTGATCAACGTCTCGTGAGTCCCTGTCTCAGCGATCACTCCGTTCTTAACTACGGCAATGACGTCAGCGTTTTTAATAGTCGATAACCGGTGAGCCACCACTATCGTAGTTCGGTTTACCATCACTCGGTCAAGCGCATCCTGAACCACTCGCTCTGATTCAGCATCAAGAGCGCTTGTTGCTTCGTCCAAAAGCAATATCTTCGGCTCTTTCACGATGGCGCGTGCTATAGCTACGCGCTGTTTCTGTCCTCCTGATAATTGAATCCCTCTCTCTCCCACCACTGTGTCGTAACCCTAAAAAAAATGTTTTGCTTGCGTCGTAAGTAAACTTGGAAAAACAGAGTTTCTATAAAAGAAAAATAATTTGAAAATAATTTTATTTTCTTACCTGTTGTATGCTAGAGATGAATTTGTGTGCATTGGCGAGTTCTGCAGCGGCTATGATTTCAGACTCGGTTGCGGCCTCTTCGCTTCCTTTGCCATAAGCAATATTGGCTCGAATCGTGTCGTTGAACAAGACAGGTTCTTGTCCCACTAGTCCCATTTGTTGTCTCAACCATTTCAACTGCAGCTTCTTGAGCTCAACTCCGTCTAAAGTTATATGACCGGAATCTGGATCGTAAAATCTTTGTAAGAGCGAGATCACCGTCGATTTCCCAGACCCACTTTCGCCGACCAAAGCAACCGTCTGAAAGAAAAATAAAGAGAGACAGAAACTTGAGCGATAAAACTTCATAAGAGAAAGTTTGGGTTTAGTCCAATGATTTGTTTACCTTTCCTGCGTGAATGGTTAAGCAAAGATCACGAAAGATCTGAATGTCTGGTCTTGCTGGATAAGTGAAGCTTAAGTGACGAAGCTCAATATCTCCCTTAACGTTCTCCAACACTGTCCCTGACTCATCGCTCGAGTCTATCTTCGATTTTCTATCGATGATTGCAAAGATTGAAGCAGCTGCAACCCTAGCTTTGCTCGAATCTGGAGCGAAAGTACTCGACTGAGAAATCCCGATTGCTGCCATTGTTAACGCAAAGAATACCTGCCAGATCCAGATCAAGATCCATTATTTTTCATTACTAGGCCACAGAGATATTCAAAAATAATTAAGCAGTGATGATGACAGTGATTCACCTGGAAAACATCATTGAAAGTAATCTTGCCATCTTCAACCAATCTAGCCCCCGCGTAGAAGCTTGTCGCGTAGACAGAGAACAGAATGAAGAAGGATAATCCAAACCCTAGTCCACTGATGAAACCTTGCTTTATTCCATCTTTTATCGGACCTTCGCATTGCTTCTTATACATCTGCATCACTTTCTCCTCCGCGCAGAAAGACGCGACTGTTCTTATACTCCCCACTGCATCGTTCGCTACCTGACTCGCCTCCTCATACTTCGACTGCATAGTTATCCAAAAACAGAGTAAGTTTCTTGATTCACAAGAAAAAAACAGAGGATTTTTGGAGAACCGAAAAAAAATGGAACCAAACCGATTGATGTACGAACCTTTGCGTCGGCGCTGAATCCTTTCATGAACTTGACTTGAACAAAGCCATTGATACCAATAAGAGGAAGCATCACCAAGATTATAAGCGCCAGTTCCCAACTCGCAGTGAATGCTATAATCAATCCAGACGCAGCAGATGCAACGTTTTGAACCGCTAGAGACAATGCATCTCCAACTAGAGCCCTAATCAAAGCTGCATCAGCAGATAGCCTTGCACCCATCGTTCCACTCGAGTTCTGTGGCTCATCGAACCACCCAACTTCCATGTGAACCGCTTTCTCAAAGCACATTGATCGAATTCGTCTAATCAGTTTTCCGCCAGCTACTGCAAACAGATACATTTGACTCGGTGAGACGATCAACGAAGTTACTCCAAGAGCTACGAATATAATCGCCCAGAATCTTGAATCTTTCTTTAATTGGTCAGCTGGTTTGAAGAACGCTTCGATGACTCTTGAAATCAGAATCCCGAAAAGCGGGAAAATAGCGCCATTGATTGCTGCTGCTACGGTTCCTAGAAGGAGAACCGGGATCTCAGGTTTGTTAAGAGCAGCGATTCGTGTGAGTGATACTTTCGGGTGCGGTTCTTGACTCGTCGTTCCAGTTTCCTCTTGGCCTACTCGTTGGCTACCACTACTGAGGTCTAGTCCTGCAGATAAACCAAGAACATTCAAAGAATGATGACGGCTGCTATTCCCAGCCGACGAGGTTCCGCCACTGATAACCGATCCCTCTATTGATTTTTTCAAATTCGAATTTCGGAAAGACGATTCCGAAGATATGTCTGATGGTTTCGCATCATGACCCTTGTTTATCTCTTGTAACCGAATGAGCTGCGAATAAGCTCCCTCAGAATCTTTCAACAACTCAGAATGCGAACCTTTTTCCACCATTTTTCCACGGTGAATTACCGCAATCATATCCGCATTTCTGACAGTACTTAACCGATGAGCGACTATAAGTGTAGTCCGGTTAACCATCACTCTATCTAAAGCCTCTTGAACAACTCTTTCGGATTCAGCATCGAGCGCGCTTGTTGCTTCATCCAGCAGCAAAATCCGCGGATCTTTAAGAATAGCTCTCGCAATTGCTATCCTCTGTTTCTGTCCTCCCGAAAGCTGAGTCCCGTGCTCTCCTACCATTGTATCCAACCCCTGAGGCAACTTATCTATAAATTTCGCGGCATTTGCTAGCTCTGTCGCAGCTTTAATCTCTTCAACCGTTGCATTTTCTTTCCCGTAGGCGATATTCTCCATGATGCTCGATGAAAACAGAACCGGTTCTTGACTGACCAATCCAATTTTGCTTCTGATCCATTTCAACTGGAACTCCTTAAGATTAACTCCATCAATGAGTATTTCGCCGGCTTTCGGATCATAAAACCTCTCAATCAAACTGATCACGGTAGATTTTCCACTTCCGCTTTCTCCTACTAATGCTGCTGTAGCACCGCTCGGGATGAACAGAGAGAATCCATTAAATATATCCTCGTCTGGCCTCGCGGGGTAACTGAAATGCACATCTTTAAGTTCAATGTCTCCTCGAATATCTTCAAGAACCTTTCCATTAACGTCATAAGCATCAATCAAAGGCTTTCTTTTGATCGTCTCAAACATCTTATATGCTGCAGCTTGACCCGCTGCAAATGCAGTTACACATGGAGATGTTTGCCCAAGCGACCTAAACAAGAAAAAAAATAGAACATAACTGTTAGGAATCCGAATCTCACATCATATATATATATAAAGGTGATTGTCTCGGCTTTTACTTACATTGAACCCGCAACCACAATGATGATCACGTTGATCACAGCGCCACCGGTATACCCTTTTTCGAGTATCATCTTCCCACCAAACCAGATAGCCAAAGCATAGCTGCTGAAAAACACGAAGAACATTACTCCTAGTCCTAAACCGGTGGAGAAACCTTGTTGAATGCTTGATTTATACGCCGATGTTATGAACTTCTTGTAGCTGTTAATGGCTTGCTTCTCTCCAGTAAAAGAAGCAACCTTCAAACCATTACAAAACAAAAAGTCAAGAAGCAAATATCAGTTACAAATTGTTTTGTAGCTTAGAAAGATTGATTTTTACCGTTCGGATAGACCCGATAGTCTGTTCAACAACAGTTGCTGCTTTTGCATAAGCGGCTTGTCCCCGAGAAGAAGCTCGAGTGACTATAATCGCCATGGCTGCACCAGCCATAGCCAGAAGAGGGATCGAAGTTAACATAACCAATGTTAGTAACCATCCTTTAATGAAAGCTAAAACAAATCCGCCGACGAAAGTAGATACCAGCTGAATAAACTTCCCAACCTGCAAGATTCAAGAAAAGTTACAAACTTCAAAAACGAATCCAATCATTATATATAAGCTTCTATATCCATTGCATTACCTTTTCACCCATGGCATCTTGAATAAGAACAGTATCTCCAGACATTCTACCAACAACCTCTCCTGTGTTTGTTTCCAAATCAAAGAATCCAATGTCTTGTCTCAGAATTGTTTTCAGATACGTACTTCTTATCCTCGCGGCTTGTCTCTCTCCCGTAATCATCCAACAAGCCACCTCTACAATAACAAGAACACCAAAACTCTATCATTCTCTAAACCTTATGTAAAATGCAATGAAGAAACCAAAAAGGAAACTTCTATGAAGAAATCAATAAAACTGTAAACTTACGAAGAAAGGCTGCTCCAAGTGTTCCAAGTCCAAGGTAGACAAATTTAAGACAAACCTATTAGAAGACACATTAATTAGTAAAATGAGATCACCAAACAACAATGTCAAACACCTAATTAGTAAAGTTTTGATTTTTACCTTCGAGACAACATCAACAATGTCTTTGTTGTTCTGATTTTTCCAAAGGAATCTATGAGATCACCAAACAACAATGTCATAAGAGGTAAACACACACCATTCCCAATAGCTCCAATTGAGCCACATATCATCAAGAGGACATCAAAAGAATCTGCAAACGCAAATAGCTTGTAGAAAGGAACTGTCTTCGCCTTTTCATCGCTTTTTTCCTCTTTCTTCGTCTCTTCTACTTCTTTAGGACTTTTAGATGTTGAAGGTTCGTGTGAAACAGAGTCGCCTTCTCCGGCGCCGTCACGGTTCATTTCCGGCGCTGACACAAATCAGAAAGTTTTTAAGAAATCTGCTAATACCCAGTTCGAAATCGACGGAATATAATTAAAAAGAACTATAAAGTTACGAGCTTTCTTCTTCAGGTTTTGAAAAAGAAAGGTTTTTTTTTAACTTTTTCCTAAAACCCAGAGAAAATTAAAGAATTTAAGGAAACATTTCAATCCTAAATTGAGACATCTTAGAGTTTACTAATATAAATCCAAAAACCCCACTTGTGATTTCTGAAAAAGATTTGTCCTTTTTTGATTAAATTTCAATCTAAAGAGTTCCCAGAAAAAAAAAAAAAAAGAGTTCCCAGAAAAGTATCACCAATGAAACAGAGTCTGTTAAGAGAAAAAGAGTCACATGCTTTTTTTGCTTACCCGTAAAATCAGAGATCTAATTAAAACCCTAAACCCAATCAAAAAACTGAAATTAAAAAGGAAAGAAGTTTAAAAGAGAACAGACCTGAAAGATGTGGCGAGAAGCTGTGGAAAGCGAAAAGAATTGCAACTTTCGGGGAATAAGACAGACGTGTGCGAAGCTGTTGTTGTTGAACTTGTTAATCTAATCTTTGTTTAATCTATTCAACTTTTTAGAGTCAAATTTGTTTCTGCAGAAAAATATAAGAATTTTGCCTTTTTATATGCAACTCTTGTTTCTTGGGTTTTGCGATAATTGCTTGAGAAGCAAGGAGAGTGGGAATAAACTATTTTCATGGTCAAAAAGCATAATAATTATGTATTTTGAAGTGTTTACTAAAATATCATATATATTCTTCTTCTATAGATCCAACTCCAGAAATAATTATGCCTTTATAACAAACAAACAAAAACGAAGGAGAAATTCTCTAAATTTTCATGTTTTAAATTTACTCTTCACTAGTACTTTTATATATGAAATGTTAGGTAAGAATCCCATAAAACTTACCAGACACAACTGCGTGGTTGGTTTTACTTTTTCCAAACAATGAACATGATATAATTTCAAATTTCAAAAATATCATATATTGTGGAAATACCAACGAATTAATGTTTCGTGTATTAATATGATTTTTAAAATTTAGTTTGAATAAACCAATTCAAATTTAGTAGTTTGACCTAGTTGTCATTCATGTGTAGTAATCACTTGAATTCAAATACATGCATATTGCATGTTATTAACAAACAAAAAGACTTTTTTTTTTTTATAAACTAAAGTAATTATGTATCTTGATATTTAAGATTAAACTATAATCTGGTTTTCATTTTAAATGTAAGTTCACTTATTTGCTATTCTTCTAATACAGAAGATCATGATCAAACTTGTCCGATTTTTATAAGGGTGTGCAAATATTAAATGGTAGATGCGGACAATTCGTAGAGAATTTTCATTTTACCGGAAGTTGACTAACTTGCTTGGCAACTAAGCAAAAAGTCAACTTAATATATTGTAGTAAAACATATTTCACCTTGAGAGTTGAGACATCCATTTTCTTGGCCGCTAAGGCTATTGACAAAACTCATACTCGTCCCTACTTATATAGTAGTATTAAACTATCTATGTTCAAGCTTAAATGAGATTTATACAACAATGAACTTGATCATAATCATTCGTCCGTTGTATGGTGCCTTCTGTAATAGGAAAACATGATGGTCCAATTATTATAAAATAAGTGATAATAATATTCAAAGGTTTCTACAACGTCATAATTAAAAAGTTAATTTTGTGCTAAGTACTGCTAACTACTCCTATTAAAAAAAAAAACAAACTACTCCTATAAGACAAGAAGAAATACACTGTCAACTAATTATAAATTGTAAGAAAAGAAAACTACTAAATAAATTAATTAAAACTACTAAATAAATAAATAATACACTGTCCACAAAAACAATCCTTTTGTGTTTTTTGGATTGTTTTTGTGGCAAACTCTTTGAGATTTATATATAAATCATTCAGACGAAAAAAAAAAAAAAAAATTAATTAAAATGATAATCGACAAAAAAAAATTGTTAACATAAGTTTTGATAAAACTCCAAGTCTTGAAAACAACTCGAACAAAGAGAAAGCGTCACTGCTTGCGTCATCAGAGAAAACACATCACACACGAGAATATTTTTACCACCTTGAAATAAGAAAACATAATTAGTAATTTAATTTAGTAGTATATCCGTTGTAGTAGTAGTGGTCGTGGGGGCCACTATTAGCTTCTTTCTTGCCAATTCCCAATTCCCCGCTAAATCTTCTTCTGTACGGGAGAGATGCTATTGCCTATTTGCATTCATTGTCTGTTTCGACTTAAAACGCAGCGTTTTATACCCTTGTCCAATACAAAGCTCTCACTTGGATTTCGATATTTTACGATTTATATTGGGCCGTTGATGGGCCTTATTAATCAACTCTTTACTTCCCTGATCTCTTGATAAATTTCTTAACCAACCAAACCCAAAACCCGGAAGATAGATAGAGAAGCACATAAAGATCATGAACTTCAAAAATCTCACTCGTCAAAAAAGCAAAAACCTTTCCTTTCAAATTTGATAATCTCGTCAGAAGCTACCAAGAAGAAAGAAGAAGAAGAAGAAGAAGAAGAAGAAGAAGAGAAGAAGAAGAAGAAGAAGAAGAAGAGGAGCGTTTTATAAATGGAAGAAGCGACCCTTCTCAATGAGAACCTTCTCCATCCCCACGAGTCCTCACCGGAAGAAACTCAAGTCACCGCCGTCACCACCGTATCAAATCGAAATGGACCATTCTTGTACTAGCGATGATCCTCCTCTTGATCTACTTAACCTTCGGGTTTTCACATACTCATATTTTCGAGACCAGTTCTCCGGCACCGAGACCAATCTTTTCGTCGACGCTTCTATTTCTCCATCGTCACATTCTGTACAGTCGGTTACGGCGACATTGTCCCGTCAACTTCAACGACCAAGATCTTGACCATTGTCTTGGTATCAACCGGCGTCGTATTTCTCGATTATCTACTCAACCGCGTCGTGAGTCACGTTTCTCAGTCTTCAAGAAAACGCGATTCTTGATCGAATCAAGAAGACAAGAAACAGAGCGATTAGAGATCACATTGCCGAAGATGGGAAGATAAGGTTAAAGTGGAAACTGTGTTTAGCGTTTTGCGCCGTTGGTCTCTGCGTCGGAAGTGGAGCTTTGTTTCTTCACGTTTTCGAGCGATTGGATTGGTTAGATTCGGTTTACTTTGTCGGTTATTTCGGTTACGACGGTTGGTTACGGAGATAAAACGTTTTAAGACAGTTGAAGGGAGAGGTTTCGCAGTGTTATGGATTCTTCTTTCAACTATTGCAATGGCTACTTTGTTTCTTTACTTGGCTGAGATGAGAATTGATCGTACTACTGTCATGAAATTGCCCACGAGGGTAAAACATTTGCAAGTTCTGTTTCTTTCATTCGAAATTCTGTTTTGGTTACTGATTGAGTTTTTTTTGTTGGTTGTGATTAGTGAATCAGAGTTTATTGTGTTCAAGCTTAGAGAAGTGGGAAGATTAGTGAGGATGATATAAAGCAGATCGTAAGAGAGTTCGAGAATCTTGAAAAAGTGCCATCAAGGCCGATCGTGACAATTACCAAGATCACATTTCCCTAACTCTTTCCGGGTAAATAGATATGAGATTGCAGAGATGTACATCTTTAGTTTTTCTTTTAATTAATTTTAGTCGAAAATTGTATAGCAGAATCATGACAATGATGATGATTATGATGATACTCTGTTTGACCTCTTGGGACTTGAAAAGGAAGCAACTACTTTGTTATAATTAAGTCGTTGCCCAATGTTTTTTTTTTTTTATTTACTACTTGTGAGCATCTTTTGGCAGTAGTAGTTCATGATAAAACGATTATGATTACAATTTAAATATTTCATGACAAATAGTTTATATTAATTTTTCATGGAAAATTAATATAAGAACAACATGAAACTTACTATAAAGTTAAAACAAACACCCAATTGAAATAGCTCAAGTACATGATACATAACCACATTAAAAAACAAAAACAGAGAATAAAAACGTGAGCAGATAATTGGTTTGCGGAAGGAAGATAGAAACAGAGTAGGTAAAATTTAAGCTTGAGGTTTGTCCCACTTGAGTGGCTTGACGACTTCCCAGGTGAAGTCAGGGTCGTCCCTTCCGAAGTGTCCGTATGCCGCAGTTTTCAAGAACCTCCGTTTCCTCCTCTCTTCAGGTCAAGGTTAATTGTCATCATTCCTGGTCTGAAGTCGAAGCTCTCCTTCACAATCTTCAGTATCTCCTTGTCTGGAATCACCCAGTCTCGTAAGTGTCCACAAAGACAGATAATGGCTCAGGGACTCCAATGGCGTATGAGACCTGAACAAGAGCCCTACGAGCCATCCCGTTAGCCACAACGCTCTAGCTGCTTGTCTCACAATGTAGGCTCCGCTTCTGTCGACCTTGGTTGGGTCTTTGCCAGAGAATGCACCGCCTCCGTGAGCTCCCCATCCACCGTAAGTGTCGATGATGATCTTACGCCCTGTGAGACCAGCGTCTCCATGGGGTCCACCAATGACGAATCGGCCTGATGGGTTCAAGTGAAAGATGGTTTTCTCGTCTAGGTACTTCTCTGGGATGACCGGCTTGATGACATGCTCCTTAAGGTCACGGGCAATTTCGTCGTTGGTCACAGTTTCAATCGTGTTGGGTGGAGATGAGGACTGTGTGGACACGGATTGGGACCATGGCACCCTTATCGTTGTAGTACTCAACAGTGACTTGGGTTTTGCCGTCAGGTCTTAGCCAAGCGCAAGTACCATTCTTTCTGACTTCTGTTAGGCGAGCAACCGAGCTTGGTGGCAAGAACATGGCTCAGGGGCATTAACTCAGGGGTTTCATCAGTAGCGTAACCAAACATGTGGCCTTGGTCACCAGCTCCAATATCTTCAGGACATTTGTGAAGTGACCGTGAACTCCTTGAGCAATGTCTGGGCTCTGTTGCTCAATGTTGACTAGGACTTTGCACTTGTCAGCATCAAGACCACGTCATCAGAGACAATCCAATGGCGCGACATGTGTCACGGACAATCTTCTCGTAGTCAACAGTAGCCTTGGTGGTGATCTCACCAAAGACCATGACCATGTTGGTCTTGGTGCAAGTCTCACAAGCAACTTTGCTGTCAGGGTCTTGTTCAAGGCAGGCATCGAGGACTGCATCAGAGATCTGGTCACAGAGCTTGTCTGGGTGTCCCTCGTTCACAGACTCGGATGTGAATAGGAAAGTCTCCATTTCGCTACAAAGAAATAGAATAACAACTGACTTAGCCATTGTATAATCATAAAAGAAGCATCATGCAAATCTACTTAAATCCCACACATCTGAGGAAAAATTTGAGAATCTAGAATGAAATCGTTGCAGATCCAATAACAATAATGGTTCACGAGTATCATAACTCTAATTAAAATCATATATACTCTCAATTATCATGGATTCATTCAACAATCAATAGTCCCTGAAATCTACTTCCATCGAGCAAAAGTACTCAAAACAGAAATGAACCATAGATCGAGAGAGAAACGAGAAGCGAAGATGAAGAACAATACCGGCGTCGAAGAGAGATTATGAGATTCGGCGATCAGATCTCGAAGGAGAGAAACTCAGATCTCTGTATCTCTGTCGCTCGAGCCTTTGCCTTTAAAAGAACAAGTGTTAAAAGAAGAGAAGGAACGGTTTGGGACGAGTAAGTGAGTCAGAACACGTTGGTTATTTATAGGCCTTTTACGGTTCACTAACTAATGACTGGTCACCGGTTTATTTGGTTAAAGCACCCTACTTGTTGGACTTATAAAGAAAATGAAATATATTACTTTTTTAAGGCTTTGGCCTACCAATATTTACTATTTTTTGTCATTATTTTGAAAACATTTCTGACTCTTGGGACCAGTTGGTCGGACTTGTTATACCGTGAACCAATCGGATTTTTCATTTCAAAGAAAATAATTGTGTTTGTAAATGGTAATTGAGGGAAAAAAATACTAGAAATTAAAAATAAATACCATACGAAATTGTTGAACCGGGACGTTTACAAATCAAAATCACACTATTAAAGTAGTTTTTTTTTTTGGTTTTGATGCAAGTGAGATAAGAAAAAACGTTTTCAATGCAACTAAAAAACAAGGAATAGTTAATTACTAAAAGGCATTACTCATTATAGTCTTATTACTCACACACATGAAAATGCACACACCCAGTTTCATGCTTTACTAGGTTTGTGGTAGGTGAGGATTTTAGACTTTTAATTGGGGTTGTTGGTGCTGACCAACAAAATATCGTGGTTATTGGTGAGATTAAATGGGTGACCGTTGGATTATTTTGTTTAACGGCTGATTAATGCATGATATAGAGAGCTTTGGGGTTTGGTAAAGGATTTTGACATACCTCACCCACAATCATATTCTATCTACCGTATCTTAACTTTATTCTTCAAAATGGATTAAAACATTCTTCATATTTCATTTTTTTCGTGGTTTGTAATTTTTTTATAATTTTATATTTCATGTCAAAATAGCAACCATTGTCATCAATGCTTATTGTTTTACACGAAACAGATATATAAAAGCTGTCAATGAAACAAACAAACAATGGAAAACCTTTAAAGAATAAATAAATCAAACATATAAAAGCCGATAGAAAACTAAAAACCGAAAAAATGGTTTGTCGATTGAACCGTTGTCATAACTCATACGTTAGTTCATAATTAGTTACCGGGAGGTGCCAGTCACTTTGCAACCATCTTAAGAGTTGGTTACGTGTTTGTAGCCACTCCTCTTTTGGTAGTGGCGAGGTGGGTAATGTATTTCTAACTCATGGGCTCATAATATTTTCCGATTACTTTTCCTAACATTTTTCTTATGAAAATTAAAGCTAATTAATGATTGGAAAAAAGAGTTTGTTTTTTTTTGCTAAGTTTCACAAAGAAGTTGGGCATTCACAAAGAAAATTATTACTTTTTGTCAACGATTTTTATGAAGAAAATTCGAAGGTTGGCAAAACCCATGTGGTTTGAATATTGTCTTGTTTCCCTCTGGTTCCCAATTAGCCACAAGAATCCCTGCTTTTGACCCTTCCTGCAGCAGATGTAGTGACTTGGAATCCACAGCACACATACTGTTTAATTGCCAGTTTGCTCAACGGGTGTGGAAGATGGCACCCCTTGAAGGTATGGATCTATTACCTGTTTTTACAGATGTTATCTTGGGCCTGGTATGGCTCAAGCAGAGGAAGACCCTCCCACCAGTGGGTTTGGGGCACTGTGCTTTGTTCCCTTGGATATGCTGGACCCTTTGGACTTCTAGAAACCAAAGGGTCTTTTCTAAAACAATGTTCTGTGAAAAAGAATTGTCCTTAAAGCTATCCAAGACGCCAAGAGTGGCAAGCTGCACAGGAATCAAACCTTTTTTAAGCCTTGCAGGTTGTCTGTTAGGGTATCTACCCTCAGGAAGAATCCTCTTTCCCTGGTGATCCACACGGATGCTTCGTGGGATAGTTCTACTAAGGCTTCGGGCTTGGGATGGACTCTCTCCTCTCCAGGATGTCCTTTCAAAAAGAATTCAGCTCTTTGTGAGCATGTCTCTTCTCCGCTAGCCGCGGAATCTTTAGCTGTGCGCACGGCTCTTCTGTCTGCGGTGTCTCTGGGTTACCAGGATATTCAGCTCTTCTCGGATTGTCAAATCCTCGTTAAAGCAATCCTATCTAAGTCTCTTCTCGTGGAAATTCATGGCATACTGTTGGATATTTTTGAGTGTACCATGCGCCTCAACAATTTCTCCTGCTGCTTTGTTCCTAGATCTTCTAATGTTGTAGCTGATGCTCTTGCTAAAAAAGCTCTTGCTTTGTATTCTCAAAACATTTGATTAATGCAATGCGGTTTGACAAAAAAAAAAAGAATATTGTCTTGTATAGGCGGTTGAATATGTTTTTGTGGGGAGAAAAAATAAAATATAGTTAGGTTAAAGAGCGTTTGTTGTTTACTATTGATTCTGAAAGTAATTTTGTGCAGATACTAGTCTTACTTTGGTCTCAAGTTTAAAAAGATGATTTACCTCTCTGTCTCGAGCCTGTTTAAACATAACTTTATATACATGGTTAAAGATGTTGCCTTTTTATATTCGAATGTCAAGTGTCTGATGTCTTCTTACTCTGTTTCCGACTAACCAAACAGCGTACATGTGTGATTACATGAACATAGACCAAAAGAAGAAGAGAACCAAACACAAACCTCTAAATAAGATTGGCTCTTCAAAACAGGGGATATACCACGAAATAAACACAATCTCGTATAAGAAGAAGCAATGTCAATCCTTCCACTGCATTTTTTTAATCACCAAAACTCAGACACATGACATTTCCCCCGGTAGCAATCCCACTATTAATGGATCTTTCTTGTAGATACAAGACTTGCAAACTTCATACTACATCAAAGAAAACAATGTTGTTGGTTTGCATAACAATCATTTGGGTCAAACTTGTGAGGGAACTCACATAGCAGATTCTATCACCTCCACGATCAAGCAAGAAGAACATTCCTTCCCTCATAGCCGTGGAGTTGCCAGTGTTAGTGGTCAGAATCAAGATTGAGGATGAATGGCTCCATAAACAGGTTCTGCATTAGGAGGAACAGAATTCCAGAGATAGTAGAGGCTTCAAAGAAGACAAATCATGCCTCTTCTTCTTCCATGTTGTTCTCGAGTTGCAGAATTGCAGGTCCAAAGATGGAAATCGGGTATTGATCCTTTTGGAGCCCAATATTGTAAAAAAGGAAACAATCTAAAGTTAACAAAAACAAACAAAGGAATAACAGAGTCGTCGAAAAAAGGAAATAACAAAACTCATCGAAAAAAGGAAACAATCGAAAGTTTCCTTTTTGTTTGGAAGAAGCTAATGCTTATAAATAAACGCCTGAGAGAATGCTAATCTCCAACATCACTCATTCTCTCTTCTTCCTTGAGATATCAAAATTCACTCTTTCTCTCTTCTTCTTCTTCTTCTTCTTCGGTACCAAAACAAAAGCATTCTTCCATCTTTCATTCTTCATCTTTCATTATCTCTTCTCCGTAAGATTGATGGGAGCGGAAAATAATCTCGTTTCGTAGTTGATATCCATCCTCTGTTGTGACTCATCTTCAATCTATCCAAACGATTTCAAATCCGGCCAACGATGGGCCACCGAGACGCTTTCACCGACGGCCAAGGAGAGCACCAAGACGGCCAAGGATGGGACAGCGGGAAAGAGGACAATGATGAGAGAGACAAAGAGAGAATGTGTTTCCATGGCTCTGATCATGATGAAAGCGTCTCCTCAGGGTGATCGATTAGTAGTCTCTGTTTCGTCGAACAAGGTACCTCTCTTAATTTCCTTTTCTCCTCTTTTCTCTTAATAAATATTTTGATTTTAGTATTTTAATTATTGATTTTGTTTTTTTTAATATTTTTTTTTTTCTTTTTTTTTAAGTGTTAAATTTTTAAATTTTGTGTAAACTAATTGGATACAACATCCAAACCCCTAAAAGGTGTTTTAGGTTCAATGTGGTTACACATAATTTAATTTTTAACACTTATATTTTTTTAAAATCTTTTGTTTTTTTTTCTTGTTTTTTTTATAAGTGTTTAATTTTTTAATTTTGTGTAAACTAATTGGATACATCATCCAAACCCCTAAGAGGTGTTCTAGGTTCAATATGGTTTACATATAATTAAATTATTTACACTTGTTTTTTTATAAAAATGTTTTGTTTTGTTTTTTTTTTCTTATAAGTGTTTCAATTTTTTAATTTTGTGTAAACTAATTGGATACATCATCCAAACCCCTAAGAGGTGTTCTAGGTTCAATATGGTTTACACATAATTAAATTTTTAACATTTGTTTTTTTAATGTTTTTTTTCTTTTTTGTAAGTGTTAATTTTTTTTTAATTTTGTATAAACTAATTGGATATAACATCCAAATCCCTAAGAGATGTTCTAGGTTTAATATAGTTTACACATAATTAAAATTTTAACATTTGTTTATTTTTATTAAAATATGTTTTTATAATTTATATTTTTATATTACAATTAAAATGTGAATGGTTTTTTATTTTTCAAATATATTTTGGATAAAGTATCTGATTTATTTGTTTCAAAGTATCTGATTTATTTGTTTCAAAGTATCTGATGATATCATCAACCTTAATAATATTCTGTAATTCTGTTATTCTGTAAGACTGTAACTTACCAGTCACTTCGTAAAGTTTACTGCATTATCATTTTCTTATTTAGTTGTTGCATATCTTTCGTTACTAAGCCACATTAGCAAAAAAAAAGCCACATTAGCAAATGGGCACGCTAACGCGCTCGGTAGAACACTCTAAATGGGCTCATATTTGAAAGTAAATAAAAGTCCAATGGGCTTTGAATAAATCATAAAAAAATGTCACAAAAATGCGGTGAGCGTGGATCGAACACGCGACCTTCAGATCTTCAGTCTGACGCTCTCCCAACTGAGCTATCCCCGCTTTTGCTTTAATCACGTTAAACAATATACTTAAACCCTAAATTCCGTTATATTACAAATATTATACCATGATTATCTTCTAATTTTTGTACGGACACATCAGTAACAGCAATTTGAGTTCTTGTGGTTGCTAAAGTTTTTAGTCTTCTTATCCTTCCAAACAAAAACTGAGAAAGCTTCAATGTCTGTAGTAGCAATTAACATGAACACGATCAATCACTTGTCCAAAACTTGTAAAATCCCAAATCTCCAATCACCAATTTGCTTCAATCGCAAACCCTTTTCATATTCTCTCATTCCTCTGTTTTCCAAAAACCCTAAATGGCTTCTCCTCTTACTCTTCTTCCGTTAGTCGCAGATCTAGATTCATCATTCCCAAGAGACGACGATTCTCTGTTTCCATGGAGTGGCAAGACTGCTCGTAAAAATCTCTCCTTTTTTATCTTCTCTGCTTTCAATTCCACTTTATTTGTTGAAGTTGATATGATTCTGTCTTCAATCTTTGTTGGTTTGGAGAAAATCAGAGTAAAGATGGAAGTAGATGTTCCAGTCTCAGTGGCGTATAATTTCTACTTGGATCGTGAATCTTTTCCTAAATGGATGCCTTTTATTTCTTCTGTCGAGGTAGATTTGTTTTGATCTATCTATCTCTCATCAACTTCAAAGTTTCGATTTTTGAAAGCTTCTTGCTTTAGATTTCAACTTGGTATGTGTTCTGTTGTTATTAGGTTTTAAAGGACAAGCCTGATCTATCACGTTGGTCACTCAAATACAACGCTTTTGGTCAAGACATTAAGTATTCTTGGCTTGCTCGTAATCTACAGGCAAGAACCCATCATTCAGTTTTAGATCAATGCTCCTCTGTGGTTCTTTAACTAATTGTGTAAAAAGGTTGGCTTTTTGTTGGTTTGTTTGTTGCAGCCTACTCCTAATCAGAAAATCCATTGGAGATCTCTTGAAGGTCTTCCTAATAAGTAAGCAAGAAGAGATCATGAATGTTCAAGTTTAGTCTTAGATCTTATCTATTTGAGGCTAACATTTGGTATTTAATCGATGCAGAGGCAGCGTTCGATTCTTTCCTAAAGGTCCTTCATCGTGCATCGTAGAAGTAAAGAACACTCCATTTGATTACACATCATCTAGATCCTATACTAGTAGAATTGTTCTCTAATGCTTTTCCTTTCTGTTGCATTTGTTCTATCTTTTGTAGCTAACTGTATCATATGAAGTCCCTGCGCTATTAACCCCGGTTGCATCGGTGAGTAACCTGTTACCTTGGAATCTCTATGTGACGCGGAATGTTACAGACTGTCTCTCTTATACTTTATTTCCCCCAATTTAGGTGCTCCGACCATTTTTAGAAAGCTTGCTTAGAGGTGGACTTGAAAGATTTGCAGCCTTAGCCAAAACTACTTGAAAAGGTCAGCTTTTATATTCTAAATCTTAGTGAACAATACCTTAAACTCTACTAAAACCATTTCATTATCTGAAAATATCAACACTTTGCATTTGCAGGAATATGTATGCATCTTTCTCTTGGTATATACATGATTTGGAAACTCTACCAGATCTCATAATTAGGAGATCTCTATTGTGACTTTTGTATGATTAAAGTAACAAATATTTCTTTCTATCACAACAGAAGTTTTGGTTTAGGTCACCAAGAAAAAAAAGAGAAACTCAATAAACCAACCAGAAAAAATAACAAAAGAAACCAAACAAGAAACAAAGTCACGGCAAAGAGAGCTTTCCTCTTTCCAAGTTTAGCTTATTTGTCTAAACACGACAACACACTTTGCGTGGAGTGTAATAACACATTCAAGAGAATGGGTCCTGAAAAGTCTCTGTTCCTAACTTGTCTCTTTGGAAAAGCAAGATTACACATCTTAAATCTATGAATACTCATCTGATCAACTCTAAATCTCTTTCTCTCAAGAGCAAAAGAGATGTCATCAATAGCTTCTGGTACAGTTCCAACAATCAGATCCACAGTTTGTTCCAGAAAAATCCCAAAGTCTGCAACTTTTTTATCCATGCTTCATCGATCTTCTTCTTCTTTTACACGAATGTTATTATTGTTGTCTTCTTCTTCATCAGCTAACTATGCAAAACTACTGAACTCTAACAATGGTTCCTCAATTTCTTCTTCTCCAAAACCCTTCAGACCCGTTATGCAATGGCAAGACGTCACGTAAGTTCCTCCAGACAACAAAACTATACATGTTTTTATTTATAATCATTAAGTTTCATTCCTTATACAGAGATTCTTTGGTTTGGGATTAAGCAGGGTAAAGATGGTGGTGGATGCACCAGCTTCCGTGGCTTACAAGTTATACGCAGATCGTGAAATGTTCCCCAAGTGGATGCCATTTTTGTCATCTGTTGAGGTATTTTTGTTACTTTAACTCTAAAAAACAGAGTCCAGAAGATTTCATTATTGCTCACAAATCTTTTGCTTCCTCGTAGGCAATGGAGGGTAGTCCAGACCTATCGCGTTATTTGGTAAAACTCGAGTCTTTTGGACAAAATATTGAATATCATTTTCTCGCAAAAAATTTACAGGTGAAGTTTTATTATATCAATCAACCAATCAGAATTTTCTTTCTTGATTAGAGAGATTTAACATTTCAATGAATCTTTTTATCCTCTCAATAGCCAATTCCAGATCGAAAGATACATTGGAGATCTATCGAAGGCTTTGAAAATAGGTAAACTCAAGAAATTGGTTTAGAAACAGAACAATAGTTTCAATTTCTTTGTGAAAGTGATTTGCTTGATCCTTGATTTCAACTTCAATATATTTCTGTATTTATAAAAACAGAGGCAGTGTTCGATTTTTCCCAAGAGGACCTTCCTCGTGCTTAGTAGAGGTTAGTTAGTTATCTTGTCCTTTTCACTTATATGATAAAAGTTCAAATTGTTTTTAAGTTTCATTTATCCACTATCTTTTTTTTTCAGATTAATTTTTCATATGAAGTTCCAAATGCTTTTGCTCCAGTTGCATTTGTAAGCCTATTTTACATATTGTGTATCACGACTTATTCACAAATTAAACTTGTCAATGTATGTATTTATGTTTAAACAAAATTTCAGGCAATGAAACCGTTTATGGAGAAGCTTATTCGTGGAGGATTGGAACGTTTTGCTACTTTCGTGAAGACCATTTAAGGCAAAAATCAAGAATCATTACCAGAAAACTTTTACTTCAGCCAAATAAATGATTTATTTGTTTTTGGATATGAAACGTCCAAACATGTAATGTTGTTCATATTAATTTACTGAAAAGTAAATAGTCTAAGGTCAATTTTTTCTAGAAGATCATAACGATTGCTACGTGACAAAACTATTATTGATTAATTTTGGATGGAAAAAAATCAAGTTAAAACAATTAATAGAAGTAAGAAATCCGGTTTTAGGTAAAAGACTGAAATTAAATAAAATATTTGTAGTTCAGTTTGGTTTGATCTGGTTATAGTAAAATCAGTGTTCTATCGTTTTATTTTTGAATTTTTGGATTTTTGAAATAATAAAACTAATCAATTTATAAACAAAATTTTTGCTCGAATGAGAGTTCAACTTTTTAAAGTTGGTCTTTTTGATTATATATATGCCCACCCTTAATAATTAGTATAAATTGTTAGTCAACTAATTACAAGATTTAATCATTTGTTTGTTGAAATGTTAAGTGTTATTATTGCTAGTTATAACCAAAGTTGCCGGTTTGTCAGTTTTGATTCGATCACTCATAGTTGCTAATGGGCTTGGCCCACGAGTCACGGACAAATTCTTTTTAGTTCCACTCCGTTCTGTTTTGTCTTATCCCGTCCCAAGTTTTCGTTTTCGCACAGCTTTTTAGATATACGGTCTATGAAAAACCGTTACAAGATTTGGCTAACGATAATTCTAGAAAGGCCCTTGGTAGTGTGAGATAGAGAGTGTCTCAACTCTCAAAGCCATTGAGAAGTGGGAGATACAGTAAATGGGTGGGTAAAATCATGCGGATGTCACAAGTCTCCTTTAATCATTTCGAATTTAGCCGACATCTCCACTCCTTTGTATAATTTTGTAACGGATCTCTTTGTTTTGTCTGTGTATATGTAATCTTTATAGGAAAAAATGCAATATAATGTAAGAGCAACTTCTTCTTTTTTTTTTTAAAGCTGCAATTCTACAAACAATTATCAATGATCAATCTAACTAAAAACCGCCAATTCAACCCCTAAAGTTAACATCGTTAAATTGTATTGATGGATTCTTAAAACACAATCATTTTAATTTGAACAAAAATGCCATTACAAGGGATTTCGATGCCATTTACAGTATTAAAAAAATAAAAAATCAGTGCATCATTTTACAGTACTCTATATAAACATAGGCGATTGAAATATTTTTTCTTCAATTTATCGCATTCCACACTTTTTGATTTTGATAAATTCGGAAATTAAAATAAATATATGATGAGAAATTGTTAAAAATGCCCCTTTTTCAATACCCCTTTTCAAAAATGCCCCCTTTGAGAGTCCATTTTTAAGTTTGCCCTCTTTTATTTTTTAATGACCATTTTACCCTTATTTGAAACAAAATTAGGTCCACAAAATACAAAATATTTTTTGGCGGGAAAAGTAATCCCGCAATTTTCCCGCCAAAACACTTGTAAAAAACCTTTAAAATACCTTGTAAAATTTTCCCGTAAAAATTTTTCCCGCCAAAAAATTTCCCGGCAAAAATTTTTTTTTGCGGGAAAAGTGATTCCGCAATTTTTTTGGCGGGAAAATTTTTGGCGGGAAAAATTTACAAGGTTTTTTAAAGGTTTTACAGAGTATTTACAAGTGTTTTGTAAGGTTTTACAATGTATTTTAAAAGGTTTTACAAGGTACTTATAAGGTTTTATAACTTGTAAAACCTTATAAAAAACTTGTAAAACCTTATAACTTGTAAAACCTTATAAAATTGCTTGTAAAATCTTATAATATCTTATAAATACCTTATAAATACGTTGTAAAACCTTTTAAAATACATTGTAAAACCTTATAAATACCCTGTAAAAAACCTTTAAAATACCTTGTAAATTTTTCCCGCCAAAAATTTTCCCGCCAAAAAAATTGCGGAATCACTTTTCCCGCAAAAAAAAATTTTTGGCGGGAAAATTTTTTGGCGGGAAAAAATTTTACGGGAAAATTTTACAAGGTATTTTAAAGGTTTTTATAAGTTTTTACAAGTGTTTTGGCGGGAAAAATTGCGGGATCACTTTTCCCGCAAAAAAATATTTTGTATTTTGTGGACCTACTTTTGTTATATTTCCTTATATATTTGTGATATATTTTATTAAAAGAAGGGTAATTTAGTCATTTTGTACATAAAAAGGGGTATTTTTAAAAATGGACAGCCAAATGGGGCATTTTTGAAAAGGGGTATTGAAAAAGGGGCATTTTTGTGAGTCTCTCATAAATAAATCGATGATAAACTTACAAAAATAAGAATCCACATTCCAAGACACCAACATACAAGAACTCAAACTCAATGATAAGCTCACAAAAATTTGAGACCTACATAAACTTTTCAATGCACCATATCAAATATACTTTATATATCTACATGAAACTATACTTTTCAATACATTAAATATACTTTATATATCTACATGAAAATATGAAAAAAAATCAGCCGCCTAAGTAATAAGCATTGTATTATGGCCACAACTTTAATTTAGTCGACCCATTTTATTTCAATTGAACAGTTTTTTTCAAGTATAAACTTCACAAACGAAATTCAGAATTTAAAGATTTCTACTAAGCCTTGGTTTATATAGAGAAAACAAAATAACACAGTCAATAATATATATCATTGGTCAACCCCAACGAATTGGAAACACTTCTACGTATTTACCCTCTTAAAGATGAAAAATTGTTGGATAAATTAGAAGATGGAGCAAAGTATGGACTATAGAGACGTGCACTGGAATTGAAGCAAAGTGTATATCTACCAAATCCTCTAGATTGGGGCAGAAGTTTGAAGAGCCAATATCTTCTATTCACACTCACAATGTTAAATACACATGTGCATATATGTATGTAACTTTTTTTTTGGTAAAATATATGTATGTAACTTCTTTCATAATATCCTATTTCACAAACCCACGATGTGATAGATACATACTGCATACATGTATATAGAATATATGTATGTATGTATCCTTGTAAAGAAGCATGCAATATCTTCCATCCTCTTAAAGTAGCCATAGACATTTAGAGTCTTATAGGTATTCTTAAGCACTTCACATAGCCTCTTGCCGTATATGGACCAACTAGTTCATACAACCTCCATCTCAGATGGTGACTTTACCTTCCACTTTCAACACACTATTTCACAGATGTGACCATAAAACATACTATTCCGAAAATATATTATAACATATGTACATGCTCATTTTGTTAAGAAAAACGATCTTAATATTAGTGTAGTTAAAAGTTTTGAACTACAGAATATTCTTAAGAAAATAGATAGATTCCACTTTTCTTATCTCTCTTGTAGACTATAAATAAATACTCAAATAGATCAGTTATCTAAGAGGATAATATAACAAGTAACAACTATAAGTTTTACAATATCTTTGGATATTATAGAATTTAAAATTTTATATTTATATTTAAAATATTATTATATGTGTAGTAAAAATGATTGGACAAACTATCCAGTCTTCTAATATTTTTTTTGTTTACACAAACATTTTTGTGTGAAAACACTTCTTTTCTTTGATATACACACACACATACATATATATATATATATATATATATAGATATCTATATTATACAAAATTTAATTATGTTATTTATAATGTGTCCGTACTTAGCCTAAGCAATTCTTTTGGCAATAATTATTTGCTTTAGTATGTCGCATTATAGCCGCCATTTTTGTGTGGAGGATGAGGTCACAAGCTGCACGTATAATTCATTATACTCTTGTTGACAAACAAAACGCATTTTATTATGCTCTTATATGATATTTTTGGGGTGACTCAACTGAATATCCTAAAAAGGAAAAATTAGGTAAATGAGGTTGGTTGATAAATATTGATTACATAAAATAATTGGTCCATCAAAATACGAAAGTTAATGGGATGAAAAGAAGAAGAATAAGTGTTCTAGTTTTGTTTTCAAAATTATGCGTCTTATAACATTAATAAATCATTTAAATAACTAATTTTATTTATTTATCAGTATGTTGTTTTATAGAATAATATTTTTCACTATGATCATATGATAATTTGTCAAAAGCATTAATTTTAGTTTTGCAAATAACTAGCTAAAATTGAGTAAATTAGTGTTCTTTTTTTTCAACAATATGCAATATGCAAATTTGTATGATTTTATTCCACTTTTCCATTTATCAAACTAAATACTTGTATTCAAAATTATAGATAAGTAATTTAATATAAAAATATCATTATAAATATCTTAACGTTTAGGGTTTTTGATATCAATAATCAATTGAATTCAGTTTAGGTAAAATTATGTGCTACAAATATTATAACTTTTTTTGTGTGGAAAAGTGGCAGAAAAGAGAAAAGAAGATGAGATGAGAGACCAAACATAATTGGTTTCCACCGAAAAGTGTAGAGATGGGCGGTGAAATTCTCAAATACGATCAGACAATACTCAATAGTGTTTTCTGGGTATACAATCAATAATGGTTGGTCGGTTATACAAATTTATATTTTATTTTGGTTGATAAACCAATGAATTTATCCATGTATTTAACAATTCATGTGTTCCTTACCTTTTCTGTAAATATAAAAATACATGTAAAAGGATTTGGGCCACTGAAGAAGCCGAAAGAAGTTAGATATAACCCACTCGTGGATTGGCAAAAAAAAAAAAAAAAACCCACTCGTGGACATTCTCTTCTTGTTTTCTTTGTTTAAAAGAAAAACGAAATTCTATATATATAATATAGTTAAGAGATGCATTTCATATGTTTTCCCAATTATCCCTAGTGGAGAATAATTCTTTTTACATGTTATATGTTTCGTCGTGTATTGAAGGAACTGTCCTAAATACAATATATATACATATCCACCGGAAAAGACTTCCAAAGTGGGGATAAATTAAACTAAAAGGGGATAACAAGTATTACTAAACTCCATTTGTAAGGTGTGCGTTTAAAAAAAATGTTAGGATGTATGGAATACTTACATAAAGACAAAAAAAAAAAAAAAAAAAAAAAAAAACTGATTTTATCAAGCATTTAAGAAATTAATTAGAGTTTAAGAACAATTTCATTATAAATAACTTATTGTTCTTA